TGCAGATTCCTCCGAGGCCCCCAGCACTGACCCAGCGGAGGAGTCACTCGCAGGCCCACTACGTTAGGTCTGCCTGCTGGTCAGCCCGCGTTTTTGGGTACAGGTGCCTCCTATGGCCGATCCCCGCTGGTGATCCCCATATGCTTTTCCGCCACGGTCAAGTCCCCCCCCACTGGGTGGACCCGTGCTTTCCCTATCCGCTAACCACCTTCTTATGCGCACTCCCCCTTCTCAGGGTTAGTCCATATGTAATTCCATTTGTCTCTCCATTGGGTGCTGATGGTCTCCGCAGCGTCCTCCCTACTGGGATGGCACGCTTCCCAACGTACTGTCGTATATTCCTAGAATTATCTAGACGCTAGCGACTCCCAAAAAAATATACCTATTCCTTAAAGCTTCTTTAGAAGTGGGGATAAGTTAGGGCCAAGGGCACGTTGGAGGACCGCGCCTCCCATATTTGGGTGCGTCACGCTTGCCTGACTGCCCTCTCATGGTGGGTGTTGGTAAGGTGCAGTCATTATGGCGCTTTCAATGGGCTCCCATACGTGGATTTAGAACATCAACTCCACTTATAGTGCTGAAGTTCCCCCCGAAGGGGAATGTTCGAGGTTACTAAAGTAACCCTTCGTTCCCCAAGGAGGGGAACGGAAGCACTATACTCCGTCGCCATATTGACTGTCCCTTAGCTGTTAAAAGTCTCTTCAGCTTAAAAAGGATAGCGTTTGTTAGCGCCAGGTGTGCTTATATGCTCAGTTAATTGGTGATGCAGCACACCTGCGCAAGCTTGCGCTGCCAATTCATTGCTTTCATTGGCCCCTTCAATACTCTTTCAGACGAGTAGCTTCTGAACCGAATCCTCCCATACGTGGATTTAGAACATCAAATCCACTTATAGTGCTGAAGTTCCCCTCCTCGGGGAACGAAGGGTTACTTTATTACCCTCGAATGTTAGTTTAGACAGTTCAGACGTCTCGTCAGGTTTAGTTGAAATATATAATTGAGTATCATCTGCATAGCAGTGAAAGCTGATCCCATGTCTTCTAATAATGTCTCCCAGAGGTAGCATGTAAATTGAAAACAGTAAAGGGCCTAAAACTGATCCTTGAGGCACCCCATACTTTACTGGGCTGACTTGTGAATCATGAGGGGGGTCTCTCCACAGCACCACCAGTGTGCAGTTCCAATTAGATGATGCAACGGCAGCCACAGGACAACGGTGCCTGTGCTTCACCACACACCAGCTATTGGTGGAGTGGAGAGACAGTGATAGAGCCAATTCAGTGGATGGGGATGATTGGGAGGCCATGATGGATAAGGGCCGATAGGGAATAAGGCCAGGACACCAAACTGTAGGGTCCTATGGCTGGAATTGCTAAGTATTTGTAGTATTTGCATTTGTAGCTCCGCCCTTTTCTGGAAAGAGCACAGTCTCATTCAAATTTAAATCGACAGTCACTAAAACAACACAATAAGGATCAAAGTCTAAAAGGATCAGTTTCCGGGGAACCCGGGGGAAAGCCACGTGAGCACGGGGAGAACGTGTAAACTCCACACAGAAACGTCAGATGGCTTGGTAAGGACTAGAACTATGGCTTTACATTAACACCCGCCAACCCGCCAAATGCGGCTAGACTTCGGCGGTGGCGGGTAAGATAGACACTCCCACTAGCCATTTTGGCTGATTAAAAATCATTTTCCCAGATAATAATTCTTAAAAGCAGGGCTTGACAAAAAGGATGGTCCAATATGCATGCACAGGCAATCGAGAAGCAACTCGACTGACAAAAATAATTGAGTTCACAACTTCATGCGAGCAAAGCAGGTGAATACCGAATGAGAGGATAATCCCAACAGCTGAGGTGATGCGCGCAACTGTTTATAATGCGTGCTCACTCGCGTTTCCTTTTGTGAAGCAACTGTATCTAGAAACACAACGTTCGAGGTTACAGAAGTACCCCTTCGTTCCCCGAGGAGGGGAACGGAAGTGCCATAGAGTGGATTGATTGAAATCCATGAATGAGAGGATTCGGTTCAGAAGCCGCTTGTCTGAAAGAGTATTGAACGGGCCAATGAATGCAATGAATTGGCAGCGTAAACTTGCACAGGTGTTCTTCATTGCCAATTATCCCAGCATATAAGCACACCTGGAGCGAGCAAACGCCATCCTTTTAAGCTGAAGAGACTTTCAAACAGCTAGGGGACAGTCATTATGGTGACAAAGTATGGCACTTCCGTTCCCCTCCTCGGGGAACGAAGGGTTACTTCTGTAACCTCGAACGTTCCCCTTCGGTTGGGGAACTTCAGTGCCATAGAGTGGATTGATTGAAATCCACGAATGGGAGAAGTATGGAAAGCGCCATAATGACTGCACCTTACCAACGCCCCGGATGAGGGGATAGTCAAGAAAGCGTGACGCACCCACATCATGGGGGGCGCGGTCCTCCAACGTGTCCCTGGCCCTAATTTATCCTACTTAACCGTGGCGGAATAAGCATATGGGATCGCCTAGTGGGGATCACACATAGCAGGCACCTTTACCCAAAACGCGGGCTGACCAGCGGGCAGACCTACAACGTAGTGGGCCAGCAAGTGACTCCTCCGCTGAGTCAGTGCTGGGGGCCACGGAGGAATCTGCAGGGCTCACCTGACAGGGAACTTTACTGACAGATAAAAAGGCGCACGTACCTCCGTGTTTGGGAGAATAGCGCAGCAAGCGTGTTTCAACACCCTACCGAATTGTTTCCTCAATCACCAAGGGTTACCTAATACCCTTGAGGAAACCGGCTCCACTTGCAGAATGTAAAACCTTGCAAATGTGTTGGGTTTCACCCAGCCCGCAGCTCTACAGATGTCTGTTAGAGAGGCGCCGCGTGCACGCGCTCGAGAAGATGCGGAGCTCCGAGTGGAGTGCGCACGCACTCTCGGGGGACGCGGCTCACCTCGGCTCTGATAGCGAAAGAGAGGCATCCACAATCTAGTGGGAACTTATTTCGGTACGGCACTTCCCTGCTGCCGACCGCTATAACAGACGAAGAGCTGCTCAGATGATCTAAACTCTGAGTGCGGTCCGGATAATACGCAAAACGCGAACTGGACAATAAAGAAGGGCTGGGTCTGCCTCCTCCGAGGGCAGCGCTTGCAGGCTCACTACCTCGTATTAAATTGGAGTGGTAGGAACCTTGGGCACATATCGCGGGCGGGGTCTCAGGACGTGAGAGAAAGCCAGCCCAATTACAGGCACGAGTCACTGACCGAAAAATGCCTCCGGGTCCCCGACCCTCTAATCGATATCAACGCGACCAGCAGAGCTGTCTTCAGGAACAGAAAGATACTGAGTCGAGGACCGAAGGGATCTGACGCAGCTTGTGTAGCGAGGGCGAGATCCTAAGAGGGCATGAGAGGGGGCGAGGTGGATTAATTCGCTTAGCGCTTCCCAACGTACTGTCGTATTTTCCTAGAATTATCTAGATGCTCACGACTTCCCAAAAAATATATCTAAATCCGTAAGACTTCTGTCGATGTAGGATAAATTAGGGCCAGGGACACGTTGGAGGACCGCGCCTCCCATGATGTGGGTGCGTCACGCTTTCTTGACTATCCCCTCATCGGGGGCGTTGGTAAGGTGCAGTCATTATGGCGCTTTCCATACTTCTCCCATTCGTGGATTTCAATCAATCCACTCTATGGCACTGAAGTTCCCCAACCGAAGGGGAACGTTCGAGGTTACAGAAGTAACCCTTCGTGCCATACTCCGTCGCCATAATGACTGTCCCCTAGCTGTTTAAAAGTCTCTTCAGCTTAAAAGGATGGCATTTGCTCGCTCCAGGTGTGCTTATATGCTGGGATAATTGGCAATGAAGAACACCTGTGCAAGTTTACGCTGCCAATTCATTGCATTCATTGGCCCGTTCAATACTCTTTCAGACAAGCGGCTTCTGAACCGAATCCTCTCATTCGTGGATTTCAATCAATCCACTCTATGGCACTTCCATTCCCCTCCTCGGGGAACGAAGGGGTACTTCTGTAACCTCGAACGTATTCTGCTATATTTTGCATGTTTTCACACATTTAAAATTTGTGGCTAAGAAATAAACTGTTTATTTATGTTGTGGTCAGAGATAAATTGGGTAAATCCTTCATTTTGGGCTCTGAAAATTATGAAAACTAATTGTAATATGTGAAACCCTGACCCATCTGCTCATGATTATTGAGCAAGCTCATACACAACACACAAAAAGTGAAATGAATGAGGAGGCATGTAGAGATAACGCAAACTCTAAACCAAGTAATTTTAGCATGTCAAAGTCATATTTATGTGTATAAAATATATTTTCCTAACAATAAAATTGTGGCTAGTGAAAATGGCGAGTGGCTAGTAATGTTGGAAAACTACTAGCCACAATGGCTGGTGGTCAAAAAAAGTTAATGTTAAGCCCTGACTAGAACCAGTGACGTTCTTGCTGGAAGGGGGGATTCTTCAAAACGAAGATGGCTGTGATATTTATAGTGGCTTAGCAATCGTCTGATTGGTGAATCATAAATTAAATAATGCTGGGACGGCTACAAGCAATCGTAAGCACGTGATCCTCTCGACATTAGTTTATAAATGAACTTCACATGGTGTAAAAAGTGGCATAATAGATCGCCTTTTAAAACAAAAATTTTAATTCATAACTGTATTATATTTCATAACTGCTTGCAACAACAAACCCTAAATTTCTTTAATCAAGCGTACCTCACTATGCGCACCAAAGACATGCAAATCACATGTATTAATCATTTTGTTCAAATGCATCAAATCATGTGTGTCAAATTCAATTCAAAGCACAACTCATACAATTCCTGTTTCCTTCTCTCCTCTTCCTTTAAAAAACAATACCATTACAGCATTTTAAAGAGCCCCTTACGTATTATTGTACTGTAATGAAAAATGTTTACAATAGTGAATTGCTCTAAGCATAGCATTTTACCTGCTATTTGCATATTTTATTTTTTTCTAGTTTGTATGTTATCCTCGCTGGGAGAAAGAGGTGCTGGGAAAAGTTCATCAGAAGAAACATTCTTGCGTGGACCAGCATTTGCCTCAAAGAAAAGCTCTACATTCTCACAAGATGCCGCTGTGGAGGCTGGAGATTGGTTTCCAGTCCCTGTTTTTAACACACCAGGATTATCTGGTTCATATATGACAGGAGGGGGTCAGCAGATGAGGAATGAAAGCTTTTCACGTCTTCAAACAATGGGTGAGCTTTTTGTACACACTTTTTTTGTGTATACATGTATTTAGTTTTTTTGTATCACATCAAATGCAATTTATAATTTGTTTTTATCTTTACAGCAAGTAAAGCAGAGCGAAAAAAGCCAGAACACACTCTAGTGTCCAGTCTCTCCTCCAGACGGATTGTTCTTCTGGGTAAATCTGGTGTTGGTAAAAGTACAGTTGGAAACACAATCCTGGGACAGAAAAAGTTCTCATGTCAGATAAGGAGCCATTCAGTAACGCGTGTTTGTTCAGCAGCTCAGGCCACAGTTTCAGGCAGATCTGTGTCTGTAGTCGACACTCCGGGATTCTTTCACACACATATGAACAACAATGAGTTAATGATGGAGATCCGCAGAAGTGTGTATATCTCCAGTCCTGGACCTCACGCTTTCCTCATTGTGCTGCGTGCAAATGACAGATTCACTGAACTGGAGCAACAGACTCTTCAGAAGATTGAGCTGATGTTTGGTAAGGATGTGTTGAATTACTGCATCATTCTCTTCACTCATGGAGATCTGCTGGATGGAGAAGTGTCCATAGAGAAGCTGATAGAGGAGAACAGTAGATTAAGATCTGTAGTCCAGCAGTGTGGAGGCAGATATCATGTGTTCAACAACAGAGATGAGGAGAACAGAGAGCAGGTGGAGGATCTACTGCAGAAGATTGACTCAATGATACAGCAGAATGGAGGAGGACACTACACTAACCAGATGTATGAAGACGCTCAGAGATTCAGACAAGAGCAGGAAGAGAAAAAGCTAGAGAGCAACTTGAAAGATTGGCACAGGAGGGAGTGGACAAAATGAAAAAAAAAAAAAAACAAACGAACAAAAACAATAAACAGTTTTCACACATTTCTTAATCTCTCAAATGAGTAACTGGAAATGTTGCTCGGTTCTCACACTGTTCATGGCATTCCCATCCTGTTGTATTTATAAAAAAACGACTATCTTCACAATTTTTAAATCTATGTTGCATAAATGTACGTACATGTATGACAGTTCTTACATCATTGAAATCTAAACATGAACTTGTATTTTAAACTTGTGATCTGCTTATATTGCTGTATCTGAGATGCATGTGGGATCAGGATCAGCTGCTGCTTTCACCTTTTTTCTCGACGAGGCTGACTCTAGCTCTTTAAATATCAGCTTCATATTTGATAAACTATCCATTCCACATTAAAATGTTATTTGATTGTAACTCCTCACTGCTCAGTTTTATTGGCTGTTTTTCTTAAAGGAACCACTGGACTAATTCCTACAGCTTGTGTCATAACTGTTTTATTTCTTAATAGACAAGGTCAGTCAGTTGGCGATTCTGTGTGGAGTTTGCATGTTCTCCCTACGTTCGCGTCAGGCACGTGCACACATAGGGCTAAACCTGTGCAGTGCACATGCCCTTTTTAGTCTTGGATAGAAAGTGCCCTTACAAAATGATCAAAAGTGCCCCCGCGACATTCCATTTTTTACAACACAACAATTCCCAAAGTGCTGAACACAATCAATACTAAATAAAGTAAAACCTACATCACATACATAACAATTAAAACATAAGGCAAACCCCTCAACATTAAAAAGGCTCAAATGCTAAAGAACAAGGATGCAGTTTCAGAAGCTTTTTAAAAATCTGGATTTGCTTGTTTGTTAAATTTCAGACCACTATCGAAATGAAACCCAAGGTTTCTAACAACAGGTTTTTGATAAGTGGATAGCTCACCAAAACCCAATAAATGCTGAGGGTTAGGATCAACCACACCAGCTCAGTTTTTTCTTCATTGAAATTTTTAAATATTTGACGAGAGCCAGGTCTAAACCTCAACTAGACATCTCATAAAAGAGTTTGTGTTTACAGTAATGATTGGCATGTCAGTGATTTTGCCAGGCCCACTGCTTAATACCAAAGAAAGTCATACTTAAGGTACCATTACTTGACAAAAAATAAGTTTAGTTTGAGTAAGAGTGTCTGTTCTGAACACTACTCAAAATATGAGTAAAAGTAGCCTAAAATTACCAGTAGCAGCTGGGAGGGCATCTGCTGCATAAAAAAATATGCTGAAATAATTGGTGGTTCATTCCACTGTGGTGACCTCTAATAAATAAGGGACTAAGCTGAAGGAAAATTATTGAATGAGCTCCTCTAAACGTCAATATAAAAACAGTTATGCTTATACTCAGGCTACGACCTTTGACCCCTGACTAACAAACTGTAAACGTCCAAAAGGTGGCGCCACAAACCAATCTCCTGCAGCACTGAGAGAACACATGCAGTTTATGTGTGTGCGTAATATACATAACATTGTGTAGTCTAGATCTGATTGGACAGGAATCAGGTACTGATTATTCTCTTTAGCCAATTACCAAGAAAAAAATGAGCAAAGTAGTGACTGCAGGTTCAAGGAGAATAGTGCAGTAAAAGCAGAGACACAGCACTGAAAATGTAGTCAAAATAACACTGCTTGAAACTGCTTAGGAAAGTACAATACCTGAGAAACGCTACTCAATTACAGTGATCTGAGTATCTGTAATTGTTTATTTTACACCACTGATCATTTCTAGGTTTGTCTTGTTTCCAAACATTTCAACTTGTGGACAGTTCACCAGTGAGCTCACTGCACATTTGTAATGAGCTCTTGCGAGTGAGCCATTCTCTCAATATTTAAAGTGTGTATTTACAGCGGGGAAAATAAGTATTGAACACGTCATGTTTTTTCTTGGAAATTACATCTCTAAAGGAGCTGCTGACATGCAATTGAAGCAGATTTTGCTAAAAGTCCAAACATCAAAACAAAACAAATCTGAAAAAAATGAGTTGTGTGTAATAAGAATGTACTGACAGAATGATAACGACTGAACTGTTTTTAATACTGTATATAATTGTTTAAGAAGCCTCTCATATGGAGAATGAAGTCACGTGCATCGCTCAGGTGTGACTTTCTAACAGTTTTCAACAGAGTGTGTAAATCTTGATGCTTCTGTGGGTCTCGTCTATCAGATCTGAGCTTTATTCTGTATTCTCCATTGGATTGGGGTCAGGTGATTGACTGGGCCATTCTACAGCTTGATTATCTTTCTCTAAAAGCATCTGAGAGTCTCCTCGGCTGTGTTTTGCATCATTGTCTAGCTGAAATGGTTTGATCTTTATCCTCCTGCTAATGTAGATGTTGGACTGAAGCAGCTGAAGAAGGGCAGAGGATTGCTGAAGAACTACAGTGAGGTTTCAGCTGCTGTCTGAGCTTTGCATGTCTTTCTACACCTCCCTTTCTTCATATGTCCAACACTTTCTCCCTGCATTTCATGTCACTACACGTAACTTTATCTGTAATTGAATTAGTTTAGTTTTCTTAGCATATTTAGATTTCTTAGGTTTTTACCAACATCAGGGTAAAATTTCAAGTCAACGGTGAAGTCAAATTTCAAGTCATATGGTGACGTGTTCATTACTTATTTCCCCTGCTGAATGAACAAACAGCTTTCACTGTTTCATCATGTTTGTTGTTTAAAGTCTTTTTGAAAGTATTTGTGATCAGCTGCGGTTGTGTTTGTCATTAATTCACATTTATTGCCATTCTGTACCTGAACTTTAACCTGCATCTGATATTCAGATAACAGAAGTGACCTTTGATTCATGGCAGACTCCACCTGAACATACAGACTTCATCCTGCTCTGTTAGCGAAAGAAAACACTTACAAGGATATCTAATCATCCACATACAGGTATTACATTTCCTTACAGATGTATATGTTTGTTTGTTTTATGGATGTAGCTTATTCACGATGGCCCGTCTTTAATTTTGTTCATATCCAGTGAACTGTACTTTGGTGTAACGGCATGCTATTGCTATTCAGCTGACTTAAAAAGTCTTAAAATAGTACACAAACAACATTAAATGTTGTGCGCTTTGATAAAGGTGTTCTCTAGTAGCTTTATGGTTTAAATATAGATATCTTAGGACAGCTTTGTCTTCATCTGTGTAAAATACAACATGGTGCCTACACCTAATTCTGCCTTCATTAATGCGAGCTCATACGCAACACTGAATCTTAGTTTGTTTATGAATGTTTTTTCTTTGCCAAGCAATAATATCAGTATCAAATCTGTGTGTAAAAGCCTTTAAGAAACAACATATATATGATGATGTAGGTTAAAGTACAGTATTACCAAGACATGCAGAGAGTATGATTCAGAATTACGAACACAATCTCACAGCAACTCATAACTTATTGATTTAGTGGCTGAACTCATATTAATTTCTGCAATCTCGTTCCTTCATTTTAGTATAATGTGCTCTTCTCCAGATAATGGTTGGGTTTAGGTTAATACAATCATGTTTATGTGAGTGAATTTGCATGAATTAGACACTTTACTGACTATTTAAAAACTATTTCCTCTCGAGATCAGACTGGAATTACAGCATATGATTTATTTAAGAGATAAGCTAATGAACTGATTATTTAGTTGATTGAAGTTTCTGATTTACATTCGACATTAGTTCAGATAATCAGGTTTGATTGTTTCTGATTAGATTCTTGATCCAGTTGATTGAGTATATCAGTGCTGTTGTACTCGTGGTTTTTCTAAAGATGATCAGGGAACTCTTTATTTCAGGTGCATGAATACTTTAAAACAGAACCTGTATTTCACATCCTTGAAATAAGTCATTTTGTACCTGTACCATAATGGTGGCTCTATTGACGCATGATGGCGTAGTTGACATCTAATATATATGTCATGTGCATTGTATCCTGGGTCGCTCAGCATCATAATTAATAACTTAATCTAGATATTACTAACATGATATTAAATATAGAAAGGTTTTTAAAGTCAATTATTAGTTCAATTATCTGTTTTAAAGTCAATTATTATTATTATAGTCTGTCTCAGTTATTTTATACATTGAAATACACACATTAAATCTCTGCGGACTGACACACACTTAGAACACTCCTGTAGAATAGAGAAATTAATTAATGCAGGCTTTTTTAACGATTGATATGAAATGAACCGCTATTTGAAATATGATTAAATCAAATAGATATTTTGCACAAACCTGCTATAACATTAATGAAAGTAAACTCGGTTATTATTGAGTTAAAGGGAACAGATGAGTCTGTTTGGTTTTCTGTCCCCGAAATTCTCCTAGTGTTACAACAGCAGGTATAAAACAGTCCGAAAACACACACATATATGAAGTCCTCTGACCTACTCACCTGCAGATGAACAGATCCTGCAGTGATTTTGTCCAGCAACAGAAGGAGCTGTGAACTGAGGACTGGCCAAACGCTGACATCACAAACCCCGCCCACACAGGATTTTTCCTGGTTTCATGCATAGATATATACATTAGATGTCGCCTGGCCTATTGTTGTCTATTGGAAAGAATGCGTCAATAGAGCCGCAGTTTTTGTACAGGGTAGCGCTCCTTTAAAATGAATGCGGGACCAAGCTGCAGTAGAGGACTGTGGCCATCTAGAACCAGAGATTTACACATATATGTTACCCCGCCAGTCCTGCGTCACCCAACCTGCTCCGAGCTGGTATCAAACTGGCGTCCTTCCGCATGGGAGTCGGCTGCTCTACCAAGGAGGCTAAAGACCATGGCCTTTAGCGTCTGTCGCTAGAGCACCTTTAGAGGTCAGAGGAGTGAGGTTTACCTGCACAGCACACACTAGCTGGCCTCCGTTACACTCACCCCCCTAAACCTCACTCCCATCTGGGTCACAGCACCAATGTAACCCCGCCGGTCCTACGCCACCCAACCCGCTCCGAGCTGGTATCAAACCGGCAACCATCCGCATGGGAGTCGGTTGCTCTACCAAGGAGGCTAAAGACCATGGCCTCTAGCGTCTGTCATTAGAGCATGTTTAGAGGTCAGAGGAGTGAGGTTTACCTGCACAGCACACACTAGCTGGCCTCCGTTACATATACACATATATCTATGATTTGGAATTTTCCCGGAGGTCAGTATGTAGGGTTGCCACCCGTCCCTTGAAATACAGAATCATCCCATGTTTGAGAATGAAATTGAGCATCACGTATTTTTTTTTTTGCTTTGTCCCGTATTTTAATAATTCTTTAAAAGTACGTAGCTTTTCATGCAAATCACCCACACACATTTACTGAATATGCCTCATGTCCTACTTTTGATTGGGTAATACTTGACGTCATCGTTAGTTTGATTGGTCTTTGTCCAGTGAGGAGGGCGGGTCTTCTAAGCAAAGTCTGTCAAGTCTTGACAGAGAGTAATGGCCGATGCTTCTCCAGGTAAACCACCGCGTCTTAAAGTGTCACAGTTTAAACGCAATCAACTGCAAAAGTACAGCAGAGAGTGGGAGGAAATAGATACCTGGCTGCAGAGTGTTAGGAATTATTATTAAGCTACTGCACGATTTGTCGGAGAGCGTACAACATGCCTCTGGAGCAACATTCCCGCAATGACAGCTCGCAAAAATCAAAGCAGTCAGACTGTTCTCCATGCCCCAAGTCTCTCCCAAAGCAGACATAGTAATGACAGTGACCAAGTCTGTGAAAATCTAGCTGGAGTCTTTTTTTTTTTTTTTTTTTTGTAATTTACTGTTTTCTACATGAAATAAAGAGCAGTCTGTGAAAATAAAAAAATAATAGGCTATATATGTATTTATTATTAACTGAGTAAAACCATGTCAACAGCTGGAATCACAGGGAAGTGAATGGCTACAGTCAAACATGATCTCAGCATTAGATGTGGCCTGGTTTTCACACACTGGGTCACACTTTGTAATTTGTAAAAAAAAAAAAATTGTAAATACAATGTAAGTGGATCATAATCCAATGTAATATTATGACTTGTTTGTTAAGGTTAAGTCAGGCACGTCAGCATTAATTTATTACATGAAGCATTACATATAATAAATTAATAAACAACATAATGCCCATGTAAAGAAAATAAACTAGTAAATTGCAACTTTCCATATTTTAAAATTAATTAATATTTTAAATTGAACTAGGCGAAAACTATTCTACACTGTAAAAATTAACTTCAATTGTTCATTCATTCGTTGAACTGGCTTTAAAAAGCTTACATAACTTATACAATTAAGATAGAATATGATCAACTTAGTTCAGTAAGTTTAAATGACCTAAAACATGCTGCTGTCAGGACTAATTGATCAAATCTTTTTTTTTTTTTACAGCGTCTAATGTTTATGTGTGTGCTGTTTTCATGTTTGGATAGGTGATACTGCAAATAATGACAAACATTTTAGCCAAAATCTGTTATCAATTCCCCCCTTTAAAATTAGGTTCATTAGTATTTGGGGGCGTCTCTTATTTTTGTGTATCAAAAGTGGTAACTCTATCTGTAAGCAAACTTTTTTTTTTATAAATTAAGAAAATAATATTTTACATCACTTTTCTACATTTATGGATCAGTGATCGCACAGGCATTCCTGACAAAAAGCTTGTGTTTGTGTGATCTAATTGGTGTCCTGAAACACAGCTCCTCTCCTGCTTTCACTTCTCATACTGACGGAGGGAGCAGTTTGTTTGTGAATGAATCTCCGTTATAAAAGACTCCTTCACTAGCCAACAACAAGTTTCTGGCAGCGCAGCATCTCGTTGTCATATTTCTTTTGCTTGTTGTTGCCGGCAGCTAGCTCTCTGCCACTCTCACATGGTTGCCCACTAAAGCTAAGCAGGGCTGCGGCCGGTCAGTACCTGGATGGGAGACCACATGGGAAAGCTAGGTTGCTGCTGGAAGTGGTGTTAGTGAGGCCAGCAGGGGGCGCCCAACCTGTGGTCTGTGTGGGTCCTAATGCCCCAGTATTGTGACGGGGATGCTATACTGCTCAGTGAGCGTCGTCTTTCGGATGAGAAGTTAAACCGAGGTCCCGACTCTCTGTGATCGTTAAAAATTCCAGGATGTCCTTCGAAAAGAGTAGGGGATTAACCCAGGCATCCTGGCCAAATCTGCCCACTGGCCTCTGTCCATCATGGCCTCCTAACCATCCCCATATTCAATTGGCTTCATCGCTGTCTCCTCTCCACCAATCAGCTGGTGTGTGGTGTGCGGTCTGGTGCAAAATGGCTGCCGTCGCATCATCCAGGTGGATGCTGCACACTGGTGGTGGATGAGGAGATCCCCCCCATTGTGTAAAGCGCTTTGAGTGCCCAGAAAAGCGCTATATAAATGTAAGTAATTATTATTATTATTATTTTGCATTGTTTGCTGATTTTATTCAACAAAACTAGCATAAGCCGAGTGTTTAGTGAGTGTTGGTGCTATGGTGAATGCAGTAAGTGACTGTATTATCAATAACCGGTTTAGCACAAAAGTTCAGAACATACACAAACGTAAAAAACTAAACCTTACCTATTCTGCCTCTGTGCTTTGTTTTCTTTGTTTGCTCGTTGCTACACACGTATACAGCAATAAAGTCCTGCATTTTTAGGTAGTAACACTGTCTTGGCTAGTGCGGTTAAATGAAACTTGTTCTGGGAGCACTGTACCAATATGGCAGCGCTATTAACGCATGCTCAGGGTCCCTATGCGATATCTAGTGTATATATCTATGGTTTCATGAAGGAAAAGACTTCCACATGCAGGTATTACGTTTGCTTTAAATACAAGTTCAGTGGAAAAAACATACGCAAATATATGCGGAAATATAATAAATTATGAAGAAAATTATAATTTTCTTTGTATTCAGTGTGTAGTAAAAACTATTGGTTTCACTTTTATTTACGTCTGAGAACCCAAAACAAAATGATTGATCTTATACATTTAAATGTTCAATTTTATTCTGTTTTAAAGGTAAAACTTTTACTTGTTGAAGTTGAGCTTAATGAAACAGTGTTTGATTAAATTACAATATTGTTTGTCATTAATAGCATGTATTCAGGGTAAATCAGTGTCAGATCAGATGCACAGACACTAACACTGAAACAGGGTCTCTACCTATTAAATACAGGAGGAAACCAACTTGTATTAAGAATCTATTTAATTTTAATATTTGAAATATAACATCAACATAATTAATGTAGTAAGATCTGTGTGATCTCTTACAGGAGGATGAAGAGACACACATCAGGAGGAGGAAGATGATGATAAACTGAAGAAAGAGAAGCAGATCAACATGAGCAGCATAATAACATGAAGATCAGCAACATCAGAAATGAACAGAGATGATGATCAACTGATGAAGAGCAGAAGATCAACATGACCAGCAGAGAGAGCAGAGGTCAGAGATTATCTGATTCAACATCTTTCCTGAAGCTTATCTTTCCTGAAGAATCTAAACAAACACCAGTTAATCCTGATGACCAGCCTTATTGGTGTTTCAGTAAAGACGTCTGAATTATTCATTATTATCTGTATTAATATGATCTGTCCTGACATGTGCTCAATGTAATGTTTTATAGCCGTTGTTCGCGGTTCTGCTCACAAAAGAAGTCGAAGCAAAGAACTAGAGCCTCCATTAAGTAAGTCTTTATAAAAATTATAGACACTGAAAACAGTTACTGTATGACATGCTGTTAATCAGTCCCGACTTTGTTTCTGGTGGTGATGTTGATGTTGATGCACTGAAACCTAGTAAGCTGACACATTTGCTTTGCATGAAAATACCAGAGTTACTCCTTTATAAGATTCGACAGCACTTCCAGTTTCCCCATTTATTGACTGACATTTATTCTACACTTTTCTCTTTTGCTGTAAAAGGTCTTTACCTGTCAAAAGTAGATGTTCTTGTTGAAATATTGCTACGAACATGCAAGCACAACCCAGATGAAAATGTAACAGTGCATTTATTTGCTTAAACAGTAACTGCGTGACACATTATTACCTTTTTAAAAATGTTGCACAAAATTGTCATGCATTAATGGAGAAGTGTTGACATGCCCTTAGCTTTGTGTGTTTTCCAAGGGCCTTGGTGAAGTCTTTTTCCCATGGTGCTCTCAGTGCTTTAGATGCAAATGGACATAAGCATAATCAATCAGTTCAGTAAACTGATATTATTCTGCATATGAAGTTGGCTGTGATTCAAAACCAACAGTAATATTAATAATACTGATGATGATGCATCATGAAAACGCTCTATAGAGACAGAAGAATTAAAGAAATTGGAAATCTGAATGACAGTGTGGCGAGTAAATGATCAATAACATTTTATTCTGGAACCCATCTAATGCTTCAATCATCTGCTGTTTCAGTGTGTGAGAAGCTGAATGTGTTGGTGTGCGGGAGCGACGGCTCACTGAAATCCTCCATCTCAGAGCTGATCCTGCAACACACACACAGAAGATCAGAGAGTGTGAGGACAGACGTGATCCATGTGCTGGAGCTTCCAGCTCTGTTCAACACTGGGCTCTCAGAGGAGGAAGTGATGCGTCAGACTCTCCGCTGTGTGTCTCTCTGTCATCCTGGAGTTCATGCTTTCCTCCTCATTATTCCTGACGCTCCACTCAATAATGAAGACAGAGCAGAAATGGAGGAGATCCAGAAGATCTTCAGCTCCAGAATCAACAAACACATCATGATCCTCATCATGCAGAACTCAGAGCATCAGACAGCAGAACTCAGTGAAGAAACACAGGCTGTCATTCAGAGTTTTGGAGGAAGACATCATTACTTCAGTCCTGAAACACAAGTGTCCACATTGATGGAGAACATTGAGCAGATGCTGGAGGAAAACAGAGGAGGTGTTTACTCCACAGAGACATTCCTGGAGGCGCAGATGAGTAAATTGGTGAAATATGAGAAGATGAAGAAGAAAATAAACTCACTGGAGACACATTTACTATCACGAGGTAATGAGCAGAAAATCACCCACAAAGTTGAAAACTAGAAAATTGGAGTTTTATTCATAGTTGTGTTTTATTCATTTGTATTTTAAGCAGAAAAAAATGTCTTGGTTACAAAACTTACCCTTGTTCCCAGAAGAAGAGAATGGCCACATTATGTTGATGACTGATGAGATGGGGATTCCACTTAGGAGACCCATCAGTCTGACTTCTGTTCAAATTCTACCAATGACAATTGCCGATTCAATTTTCAATATGAAACCTCTCCCATCTATTATTATTAGAGGCATGTGTGTCATGAAACTGTTACTGAAGTGCCAGCTCATGCCTCGCACTCAGCTGGAAATTCAGTGTTATGGTCGTAGAGACAAACATCTCCATTCCCTTCCTAACAAGGGTTACATCCGTAATCAAGATGTTTCTGTCAGCCTCTTCACATTACATAAGAGGCAGATGAGACGGAGGTCCCTATGAAAAGTGCCATAGCACAGACCCAGTAACAAGTGTTGTAGCAAAGTGGGTTGCATTCTCACCTTTACCAAATAAGAAATGTATTAAAATGGTAGTCACAAGTTAGCTGGAAACCTTGAATTACTGCAACAGTAAGTTGTGAAAGCATTCCGGTCATTAAGGGAAAGGACGCTGCAGAGAGCACAGTCTACCCAGAGGGGAAATGCTTGTGGAAAAATGCATAAGGGCTTCCCTATCCCTATCATTCTTTTGTCAGAACTCTATTTCTGTAGTTAGATGTATGTATAGGCTTACCTGAACATAGATCAAATACACAGGGACCAAATCGTATTATGAAAATCGGCAAACTGAGCTCTTTTTCATCTCCATTATTTTGGTACATATATATGCAGGAGGAAACTGACTCCACTTGAAGATTGTAAAATCTTGCAGATGTTCCACCTCCAAGTGCTAAAGTTGTCTGTAAGAGAGGAGCCATGTGGAGGGGGCAACACTCATTCTAGTGTGTGCTCTTATCTCTGTGGGGCTCAGTTCACCTTGTGACTGGAATGCCAATTTAATGGCATCCACTATCCAGTGAACCAACATTCGTTTTGAAGAAGACACTTGTTTTCTTCCAACCTCCAAACCAGACAAAGAGCTTCTTGGAGTTTCTAAAATTCTGTATGTGGTTCACACATATGTGCCGAGTGCAAACAAGACAAACCAATAAAAGGGCTTCGTCTGCCTCCTTGTGGGACACCATGTGCAGGTTCACCACCTGATCTCAAAACAAAGTGGTGGAAACCTTAGGCACATACGCTTATTTGTGCAGATGCTGGTTGGCCATTTGCCAGTCCTTCCATGCTGAACAGGGCTTTGATCAGGGAATAAAACAATGGACAAAGGGTGGTTTCAGCTGAAGTGAACGAGTCTGCAGTACCAATGGGTGAAGTCTTCCAGAATGTACTTGCCCCAGTATGTTGTTGGGGACTCTATACTGTTCAGTAAGCACCGTCCTTCAGATGAGATGTTAAACCGAGCACCTGAGTGTCTTTACTTATTAAAACATATCCCCGGCTATCCTTTGAAAAGAGTAGGGGTGTAAACACAGTATCCCAACCAAATTTGTACATTGGCTATTGTTCATTGCGCCCTCCTAACTATGCCTACATCATAATTAGCTCCATCACTCCGCTTCCTCTCCACCAATAAGCTGTTGAGTGGTGTGTGGACTGATGCAAAATGACTGCCATTGCATTCAAGTGGATTTGGTACTGCCAAAAGTTCTAGTCAATTGATATGCCAATGCAGCTGATGATCTGCCCACAGTCCTAAATGCATTGTCACAACTCACCAACTTGTACAAAGACCAAGTCTAATTAGGGGCAGAACGTATGGCAACACACAGCAATGATGTTCACTCTGTATGAACCATGGTGCCATGCCCATCATGACACTCTGTCATGCATTCAATGCTGGAGTGGTTGTATATAAAGTAATGTGAGCGACGTGACAGTGGCTGTGGATGCCCTATGCCCCAGGAACTTTTAAAATAGTCTCAGTGGGATTACTGTTTTGCCCTAGAAAATAATTAGACTGGAAAGTATTGACTGAGAGCATTTGGTAGGGAGGAACGTCATCATAGAGACTAACTCCTGCTCCATCTAGATCCAAGTTCTAGTAAATTGAAACTGCTTTAGTGGAGTTTTCAGAGTTAAAGTTTAATTTAGTTCAGTTCAGTGTAATGTATATGTCCCTGCCGAAAGCCAAACCCCTCCAGAACAAATCCAACGACGTCCCACAAGATCCACAAGTACCAAAAAAAGCAACTCAGGTGTGAGGGACAAACTTACCAACTTCACCAATTAATGAAAGTGAAGAATTTTTTTATTTTTTTTTGCGAGAAACCAGGCCCAGCTGGGCTCCATTTCTCCTCTGGCCAAACTTCTTGTGCAGAGCTGCAGTCTAGGAAGTGAAGGCTGGAGAACACTGGGCGTTCATTGTGGCGAAGCTGCAAATGTTAATAGGTCATAGGCGGGTGTTAATGTTTGCCCTCATGATCATTGCGGGAGTTGTCTTTCAGTGCATAGATTGCATTAATATGCTGGATGCTCGTGACCATCTTTCTGGTGAAGGAATCCATTGCAACCAGAAACACACACAACAACTGATTTGCTCAACTAGAGACTGTTCCTATAGTGAGAAACCTGTGAAGTACCCAGGACTGATGGAGAAACAGGAAACCCACCTCACCACCTGCTGAATTTGCATTAATGCTACTGTAAATTTGCTGCTGCTGCTCACCACTCCTATATGACTATAATGTCAGAATCTGATGAGTGTATTTGCACAATGTTCAAAAGGACAAAACATACAAAATGAAAAACTTAAGTACAAAAAAATCATTATTAGATTGTAGATGATGACACGCTAACTATTCGTTTTGGCCAATCACAGACTGCTACATTACAGTTTATTGTAAACAATTCTAACAATATTTTTAATAATTTAAAATTCCAGGTTCAAGAGTAAGCACAGAGGATGAAGTGAGGATTGTTCTTCTGGGCAAAACTGGAGTCGGGAAAAGTACAACGGGAAACACAATCTTAGGAAGAAAAGCTTTTACAGCAGAAACATCTCACCTATCAGTGACTAAAGAGAGTCAGAGAGAAACATCTGAAATCAATGGCAGACAGGTCACTGTGGTCGACACTCCAGGAGTGTTTGATACTGAACTCACTGAAGAGGAGATCCAGAGAGAAATCAGACACTGCATCTCCATGATTCTGCCTGGACCACACGTGTTCATCATCGTGCTCAGTTTAGGACAGAGATTCACTAAAGAGGAGGAAACATCAGTGAAGATCATCCAGGAGACGTTTGGGGAAAACTCTCTGATGTTCACCATGGTGCTCTTCACCAGAGGAGATGATCTGAAGAATAAATCCATTGAAGAGTTTCTGGGTAAACCTGGATCTCCTCTGATGAACCTGATTGAAGCTTGTGGACACAGATATCATGTGTTCAACAATAATCAGCCTGAAGAGCGAACACAAGTGTCTGATCTACTGGAGAAGATAGACAACATGGTGAAGGCAAACGGAGGAAGCTTCTACTCATGTAAGATGTTCAGAGAGATGGAGAGAGAAAAACAAGAACAACAGATGAAGATCCTGATGGACAGAGTCAGAGAAACTGAAGAAGAGATGAAGAAACTAGAGGAAGAGAAAGACAGAATGAAGATGATGATGGAGGAGGAACGACAGAAGCAGGAGACAGAGAGAAAGAGGAGAGAAGAAGAACTGAAGAGAGAAATAAGAGAAGGAGAGGAACATCAGAGAGAGATGAAAGAGGAGATGAAGAGAGAACGAGAAACATTTAGACACGAGATAGAGGAAATCAGGAGAGAAAAAGAGAAAATGCAGATAAAACATGAGACAGAAACAGACAGACTGATGAAAAGAATAGAGGATGAACGACAGAATCATGACACAGAGAGAAAGAGAAGAGAAAAAAAATTTAATGAGAGAGAAGAACGATATAAAATAGAAATGAAAGAGAGAGAAGAGCAGATGAAGAGAGAACGAGAGGAATGGGAAAAACAAAGACAAGAAAAAAAGAAGAAAAGAGAAGAAGAGGATGAAAAAAGAAGAGCGAAAGAACAGAGAGAATTTAATGAGAAACTGAAAGAAGAGAAAAACAGAATGGAGAGAGAGAAAGAAGATCTTCAGTCTAAACATGAAGAAGAAGAAAAGAAGATGAAGATCCAGATAGAGGAACTGAACAGAGAAAGAGAAGAACTGATGAAGAGACATGATGAAGAGAAAAAGAGGATGATGATGATGATGATGATGGAAGAGGAACGACAGAAGCAGGAGACAGAGAGAAATAGGAGAGAAGAAGAGTTCAGAGAGAGAGAAGAGCGATATAAAAGACTGATTAAAGAGAGAGAGCAGAAGGAGAATGAACTGATAGAACAGATGAAGCTGGAGCAAATGCAGAAACAGACACCAGAGGAACGACTGAGGAGAGATGAAGAGAAACAGAAATCTGAACTTCACAAGAGACTCCAAAGTCCAGTTAGTGATCAGACAACAGGTAAGACATGATTTAATAATACTGCACATTATCAGTAGTGAATGTTTGTGTGTTTCATTTAAACTATAAAGCTTTGTTTTAAATATTTGTTATCATATCAAACATGTATTTTTATTTTATATTCCTCTACCTGTGGTGGATGTGTATTTGATAAATCAGCTTTAGAGTACATTAGTCTCCCAACCTTCTTCCGGTAAGGGATTAAAACACATGTGACTGAACTGATCTGCTCATGTGTGGATTCAAGACCAGGATCTGCTTTGTTAGAACAGAGAAACATCGAGCATCATCAACATCAGTCAAGCTTACAGCAGCTAATGGTCAGCTGTTCATACACATATCAGTCCTGTTCTGACATCTATGCTCTACTTAAATCATACATCCAGTCTCTCTTCAGCGTTTGGCTGCTCACTAATTCCACACTCCCTCCTCCCCCCTTAATTAATAACCCAAAAAAGCATTTAGGTCCCCTACAACTTTTTCTATCATCATTGTATTTTACAGGGAAGCCAAAATGCCGCAGGAGGCGATCTCTCTGTGATTGTTATAAGTGTTGGATTAACCTATGAATTTAAAAATTTGTGGGTCACGTGTGTTTCTGAACTGTGTGTTGTGATCCATACGGATTAAGGATCAACCGTGACCTGTTACACCCCTAGCAAGTACATGTTAATCAGTCTGAAGATTTCAGGAACAGGTCTGAGAAACCCTGCAGTAAACACTGTTATGGTGAATTAAGAACATGTAGAATGCAAATTAGCATTCCTCTGAAAATTAGCATTCCTTTAAAAACAATATATTTCCCACATGATGTTTGACAGATTCAGGAATTTTCCACAGTATTTCCTTTAATATTTTTTCTTCTGGAGAAAGTCAAAAACTGCTTTTATTCTAGCTGAAATAAAACAAATAAGACTTTCTCCAGAAGAACAAATATTATCAGACACATTGTGAACATTTCCTGAATCTGTTCAACAGCGTTTGGGAAATATTTAAAAAAGAGAAAAAAATTCAAAGGGGGCAAATAATTCTGACTTCAACTATATATTCTACACACACACACACACACACACACACACACACACACACACACACACACACACACACACACGTATATACATATTCAAAGTGAACCACAGGTCAACAGGGAGATTGCAAAATACCAGATTCTGCTTTAAACTGGACTGACTGAAAATCTATTAAATATATAAAAAATATACAGACAAGTGTAAAATACAGTAAAACACCCTAAATCTGTGGAAATGCATTGATCTGATGGTGGTTGAGTTTGCAGCTGGATTTTATTTGAAGATTGCTGACAGGAACAGTGAACAGCTCCACCAGAGCACGTCTGAAACACATATGGAAGTTCATTTTACAGGCTATGACAAAAACCCCATTAAGCTTCGCTAGATCCTCCTGTATGGGCACACGTCTGTTATAAAACACAGAACATTAATTTGGATAACCATCTGGTTATCTTAAATAGTTCACACAAGAAAACACAGAGAGACGTTCACGCAGTTTGTGAATGAACAGTCTTGCGCAGGCTAGTTGCAGACGTGATCATGAGGAGTTTGAAATAATCAAAGGACTGGAGAAAGTGCTTTACTTTGATCATTTTGATATACTGTAGCATATTAATAATGCAATCCAAACATTATAGTATAATACTGAGAGTTAATCTCGCAGCCTCTGTGTGGAGTTTGCATGTTCTCCCCGTGTTGGTGTGGGTTTCCCCCACAGTCCAAACACATGGGCTATAGGGGAATTGGATAAGCTAAATTGTCAGTAGTGTATGAGTGAATAAATGTGTATGGATGATTCCCAGTGATGGGTTGCAGCTAGAAGGGCATCCACAGGATTGTTGAGGCCCACTAGTGGGCCGCGGCCCACCAGTTGAGAACTCCTGGTCTACATAACAAACCATCGTTATACAATAACTTGCCTAATTGCCCTAACCTGCCTAGTTACCCTAATTACCCTAGTGAAGTCTTTAAATGTCACTTTAAGCTGTATAGAAGTGTCTTGAAGAATATCTAGTCTAATATTATTTACTGTCATCATAGCAAAGATAAAATAAATCAGTTATTAGAGATGAGCTAATAAATCAGGAGGCCTAATAATTATATATGCCAGCTGTACTGTCAGAATTTTAAAAACAGTCGGGAAATAAATTGACTCGAGTTTCCTTTACATTTAAAGATGTTTACTGAATTTTCAAGCATCAAAACAAGACTGTGTTGCTCCATCTTTCTTTCACTTTCCTATGATGTAGTATAACTTAAAACAGTCCAATAAGGGCAGAGCAAACCATTACAAACAAAGGGTAACATGGGGCGGCGCGGTGGCGCAGTGGGTAGCACGTTCACCTCACAGCAAGAAGGTCACGGATTCGAGCCTCGGCTAGGTCGATTGATGTTTACATGTGTGGAGTTTGCATGTTCTCCCAGTGTTGACGTGGGTTTCCTCCATGTGCTCCGGTTTCCCCCACAGTCCAAACACATGTGGTACAGGTGAATTGGGTATGCTAAAATTTACCGTAGTGTATGAGTGTGTATGTGTGTTAATAAGTGTGTATGGGTGTTTCCCAGTGACGGGTTGCAGCTATGTATAAAACATATGCTGGATAGGTTGGTGGTTCATTTCAATGTGGTGATTGATTAAGGGACAAAGCTGAAAAGAAAATGAATGAATGAAACTCTGCATGAATTTGAGCAATATTAATAAATTATATTAAATTAAATAATGGCTCTTACACCAGCTTTATTGAAAAGATTTTACTTTTTTTTTTTTAACTGCTTTTAAGTTTTTTCTTTACTATGGTGAGCTGTATTTGTCTAGTTTTACACATGTTGCTGTTATTTATTTCTAGATCTGAATGTGGTGCTGCTGGGAAAAAGAGGAGCAGGGAAAAGTGCATCAGGAAACACAATCCTGGGAAGACAAGCTTTCATCTCCAAGAAAAGTGTCCGACCAGTCACACAAGACGTCACTGTGGAGTCTGGATCATTCTGTGAACTACCAGTCACTGTTTACGACACTCCAGGATTGTTTGACACAAAGATAAGTGATGAAGAGATTCAGCAGATGATCAATGAGAAGGTCCTCCAGAAATGTTCATCAGGTCTGTGTGTGTTTCTGCTGGTCATCAGAGCTGACAGATTCACTGAAGATGACAGAAAGACTGTGGAGAAGATTGAGAAGATGCTGGGAGAAAAACACCAGAACAACATCTGGATTCTGTTCACCAGAGGAGACGAACTGGAGGAAGAAAACACGACAATACAGGAGTTCATAGAGGAGATTGAAGAACTGAAGACACTCGTGCAGAAATATGAGCACAGATACCATCTGTTCAACAACAAGAAGATGAGGACGAGTGAACAAGTGAAGATGCTGTTCACAAAAATACTGAAGAATTACTCTGACACAGCGGGTGAGTGCTTATAATATTACTTCTGGTCACATTTTATGAACATTATTTGCTGTGACTGAAGATTAAAAAATGGTGTTCAGTTTCTGTTTTATTTCTATTATTCAGCAGGAGCAGAGAATCTATTGAGAAAAATACCAGCAAATATTGGAGCAGTCTCTCGTGTCTCCAGTCCTCCCTCCAGACGGATTGTTCTTGTGGGTATATCTGGTGTTGGTAAAAGTGCAGCTGGAAACACAATCCTGGGACAGAAAGAGTTTACATCTGTGATGAGCACAAATTCAGTAACCCGTAAATGTTCAGCAGCTCAGGCCACAGTTTCAGGCAGATCTGTGTCTGTAGTCGACACTCCTGGATTATTCGACACACAGATGAAGCCTGAAGAGTTAATGATGGAGATCGCCAGAAGTGTGTATATCTCCAGTCCTGGACCTCACGCTTTCCTCATTGTGTTTCCTGTCAACATGAGATTCACTAAACAGGAGCAGCAGATTCTTCAGAAGATTGAGCTGATGTTTGGTGAAGAAGTGTTGAAATACTCCATCATTCTCTTCACTCATGGAGATCTGCTGGATGGAGAGCCTTTAGAGAAGCGGATAGAGGAGAACTGTAGATTAAGATCTCTAGTCCAGCAGTGTGGAGGCAGATATCATGTGTTCAACAACAGAGATGAGGAGAACAGAGAGCAGGTGGAGGATCTACTGCAGAAGATTGACTCAATGATACAGCAGAATGGAGGAGGACACTACAGTAATCAGATGTATGAAGACGCTCTGAGATTCAGACAAGAGGAAAGAGAGAGGAAACAGAGAGAAGAAGAGCAGATAAAACAACAAGTGGAGAAACAAAGCCAAAACTGTGTGTGTAGTTGATTTTTCTGGACTGTTTGACACAATGAAGTGAATAACAGAGAGCAGGTGGAGGATCTACTGCAGATTGAGTCTACTGTAGAGGACTTGAAGCGTTTTCTCTCAGTTTAATCTAAAAACTATTAAAACACTCATTAATAAGTTAACTGAACTCAAACATTGCTCTGTCTTATCACAGTACATTTGTTGTTTCCTCTCCAAATGCCCCACACTCTCTTATTAATACTTCATCCTTTTGCAAAACAGTGTGATTAACACAGGTAAGTGGGCTTGATAAACCACCTTTAGAAGACACACACACACACACACACACACACACACACACACACACACTCCTCTGTGTGTTTGTGTGTGTGTGTGTATGTATGGATGTTAATAATAAAAACACTAAACTAATCCTGATGCTCTTTGCTTTGAAGCGCTGCTTTATCTTCATTTGTAAATCCCCCACAGTCCAAACACCTGCGCTATTCACCTTATTCTTGGCAGGCGAGCGGGCACTGCCATTTGAATGTTTTTGGCTCGACACTTCCGGTCTCAGGCCCCGTTTACACTAGTGCGTTTTAGTTTTAAAACGGCGTTGTAGAATGAAAACGATCCGCGTCCACACTCGCGTTTTACCCAGCGTTTCTGAACAACTCTCCGTCCACACCAAAATGCTGAAAACGCACATCATGTGACCACACACACACTCTCGGGCAAGCGCTCCAGCATTTCTACCCAGATGAGAGCTCTGCTTGTCGGACTGCTCATCAAGCGTCTCCCGCTGGATCTAATCTCACTATATTTGCTAAACGTGATTTTTTATTCATGTTGTTGTCTTTATCTAACGACATAGGCCAATTCCCTGACTTTGGTCATTGGAATCTATTAAGTTACTTGTTCACGGGTAACATGTTTTGGTTAAGTGCAAAGATAAGTTAATGATTAATCCAGGTACATTGACTGATCGCTTGCCTTTATTTCCTACGATGTATAAACTTATTGTATGTTATACTTTTATAAGTATCGATTATTAAAAAGGAAATAGGCAGTTCCTTAAATCATGTTTACATTTTATTGTTGAGAAAGTGAAACAACGTAGCCAGGGTGATGTGAATGAAGTTATAAAGTACACTGTTCCCTTTGAAGATTGACGCGTGTCCTCGGTATGTTTTCCATATCAAACTGAGAAGGGGGAGACTGCAGCCTTGATCAAACTTGCGAAGTCTGAACTTACAAGAAGAGGATGCGAGACTGAACTGTGTGTGGGCTACTTAATATTGAGGAAAAGCCCCAATCAGATAGGCGAACGTTTGCAGCCCCGTCTCCGTTTTCAGATGTCTCCATCTTTCCCCATCCACACTGAGACGGAGCAGCAGCGTTTCAGAATGAAAACGGCCTTTCCAGCGTTTTCGAAACGCTCCGTTTTCGGCGCTCGAGAACTCCGGCGTAGTGTGGACGGATGGCGTAACCGTAGCAAAACTTGTGCGTTTTCAAACTAAAACGCATTAGTGTAAACGGGGCCTCATTCACTTCCATTCATTTTTAGACATTAAAAGCTGCTCGTTTCGCTGTTTGATGTTGCAAACTTATATTTTCTTGTTATATTATTCTACTTGGTCTGTATAGTCATGCAAACATTTGTTTGTAGAGCAAGTAGTTTGTCTGTTTTTTGCCATTTATTATTCCTAGTCATTTCTCCCATAGGCCACTGAAACGGAAGTTCTAAGACAATCGCGAAAACAGGCGCACTTCCGCATTTAAGAATAAGGTCAATAGGGAAACTGATTTACTAAACTGGCTCTAGTGAATGAGTGTGTGGAGGTAACACAGTGGCGCGATAGGTAGAGCTGTCGCCTCACAGCAAGAAGGTCGCTGGTTCAAGCCTCAGCTGGGTCAGTTGGTGTTTCTGTGTGGTTTGCATGTTCTCTCCGTGTTGGCGTGGGTTTCCTCCGGGTGCTCCGGTTTCCCCCACAGTCCAAACACATGTGCTATAGGGGAATTGGGTAGGCTAAATTGTTCATGGTATATGAGTGTGGGTGAGTGTGTGTGGATGTTTCCCAGAGATGGGTTGCCACTGGAAGGGCATCCTGTGTAAAAATGTGCTGGATAAGTTGGCGGTTCACTCCGCTGGGGTGACCCCTGATTAATAAATGGATTAAGCTGACAAAAAAATGAATGAATATTTTATTCAACTGTTTATTGTAAAGTAATATGAGTAAAATAAATGCATCATACAATGTTATTTGTGATTATTGATTATTCAGATTATCACTTATACACTTTATTAATCTGTTTTAATCATTTAAATTCTTTATTTTTTATACTTGTTGTATTTCATGTTTCTTTTTTTCTTGTTTTTTGTAAATCACTTTGCATCACCATGTGTATGAAATGTGCAATAGAAGGAAATTTGCCTCCATTGAAGGTTAATCTTGATAAATCTCAGTGTTTTCAGTAATTGTGGATTATTTTCTGCAGTTCCAGCAGTTCACCAGTAGAGGAGCTCACCACTACATTATTAACCTGAACACACACACACACACACACACACACACACACACACACACACACACACACACACACCTGTGCAACCATTGGGTTTATGCGTTTCTTATGTGATGTAATGTATAGGTGTCATTTCACATTCTCATCTGCAGTTATGTATGTTATCAGGTTTTGGATATTATAAACATAAAGGTCTGGAGGGTTTCAGTGGTCGAGAACGAGACTTTCACTAGACAATAAACATTTACAATATGTGTCAAGCCAAACCCTAATGTAAACCCTAATGTAATGTTCTAGAACACTCCAAATACACAACACTGAAGGTGCATAGGGTTATATTATGACATGTTCATACCTTTGCCAGAAAGCAGAAGGAGCACATTTATCTGTTCATTTATATTATAAAAAAGAGAAGTTAATAGGTGGCAATATATCCAATATATTGACTAATCCGTCTATTTAGGGGTTAAGTGTTTGTTTCAAAGCAGTTATAACTTAATGCTCAACATTAACTTAATTAGAGTTACACTCATTAAAATGAACATGTCTCTGGAGCTCTGACCTGCAGATGAACAGATCCTGTAGTGATTATTACAAGCAGCAGAGGGAGCTGTGAGAGACGCTGAGCACTGTCAGGAGAATGACGTCACAAACTCCGCCCACACGCAGGTTTCTTCCTGGTTTGAAGGAAAAGAAAAACGTCAACATGCAGGTATCACGTTTGCTTTAAATACAATTTCAGTGGAAAACATGCGCAAATATATGTGTACATGTATTGTAATATTCTTTATATTTATAATATTCTTCATAATCAGTGTGTAGTTGTACAGCATGCAGAAACAGTTGGTTTCACTTTCACATAGAGACGACTGAGAACCCAAAACAAAATGGTTCGTTTTATATGTCTGAATGTTTATTCTGTTTTAAAGGTAAAACGTTTGTAATTGTTAAACTTGAGCTGTGTTGTACTGGTGTTTATTTTCAGCAACACGAACCATTTAAATAAAGCAGTGTTGGATTAAATCACTAAATAGGAGATTAATAATAGCATATATTCAAGAGAGTCATCAGATACTCAAATACAACAACACACAAACATTTCAGCATTTATGAAATACTGAAGGAAACCAACTAGTATTCAAAACATTATTGTTACAGAATATTAAATATATTTAATTAATCAACATAATTAATGTAGTAAGATCTGTGTGATCTCTGAAAGGAGGATAAAGAGACACACATCAGGAGGAGGAGGAAGATGATGATGAACTGAAGAAAGAGAAGCAGATCAACATGAGCAGCATAATAACATGAAGATCAGCAACATCAGAAATGAACAGAGATGATGATCAGCTGATGAAGAGCAGAAGATCAACATGAGCAGCAGAGAGAGCAGAGGTCAGAGATTATTCAGACACATCTGATCAAACATCTTTCCTACAGTTCAACACTAACTACTACAGCATGTGTTGACCAGTCTTATGAGTAAAGATGTCTGAATTATGCATTATTATGCAGCTTTAGTTGGTTTGAGTTTCTACTGTTTTATTGTTCATGTGTTTACAATGTTGTGAGAATAAAAGCATCTGCTAAATGCAGGAATATAAGTGTGATGTATTATGTTCTGTAGTAACACTTCAACGCTGGTTTTCCTGACATGTTCTCTTATCAATGTCTTATAGCCGTTGTTCGCGGTTCTGCTCGTAAGAGAAGTAGCAGCAAAGAGCTAAGGCCACCTGACAGTAAGTCTTTATAAAGATGATGAGCACTGATTAACAGCAGGTCATCCTGAAGTTTTAGTCAATTATAAACAAGACTGTGTTTCTGTTGGTGAAGTTCATGCATTAAATCCTAGTAAAGTGGTGCATTACTTTTTAATTCTCAAGTAAACATTGGCGTTCTTTCTTTAAAAAAGTTACACCAGTTACTTTAATTCTCCCATTTATTTACTGACATTTATTCTCCTGTTCCTCCTGTCCTGTTTATTACTATTAAAAGTAACTTTCTCCAACACTGGAGATGCTTGAGCCACAATATAACATTTAACACATGTTGTGTGTTTCAGTGAGCTCTGCTCCTCCTCTGAGGATTCTTCTCCTGGGTAAAAGTGTGTCTGAGAACAGCCGTGTGGGGAACTTGATCTTGGGTCGATCAGCGTTTGACAGTGAAGCTCCTCCAGATGTTGTGGAGAGAGTCGAAGGAAGACTGAAGCACAGACACGTGACGCTCATCAACAGTCCTCAGCTGCTCCACACACACATCTCAGATGATCAGATCACACAGACGGTCAGAGAGTGCGTGAGTCTGTCTGATCCAGGACCTCATGTGGTGCTTCTGCTCCTCCAACATCAGCAGTGTTCAGCAGAAGATCAAGAGCGTGTGGAGAAGCTGCAGGACTCTTTCTCTGAGCGCCTTCTTCAACACACCCTGGTGCTCAGCACACAAGAGCCCACTGAACCCAATCAGATCCTGCAGAAGATCATCCAGAAGTGCTCCAACAGACACGTCAGTCTTCAGACAAGCAGCTCTGCTGATCATCTTCTGCAGGCCTTTGAGGACATCGAGCGGAGCAATGATGGACGACACCTGATTTCTGGAGACTCGCAGTGTTCCACAGTGGAGAAACGGGACACACAGACACGTGAGTGAGAGCATATCTGATGTGTCTGCTGCTGTATGAAGGGTGTTTAATCTTCTTCTTCTCTTTCAGACTCTGAGAAGCTGAATGTGTTGGTGTGCGGGAGCGACGGCTCACTGAAATCCTCCATCTCAGAGCTGATCCTGCAACACACACACAGAAGATCAGAGAGTGTGAGGACAGACGTGATCAATGTGCTGGAGCTTCCAGCTCTGTTCAACACTGGGCTCTCAGAGGAGGAAGTGATGCGTCAGACTCTCCGCTGTGTGTCTCTCTGTCATCCTGGAGTTCATGCTTTCCTCCTCATTATTCCTGACGCTCCACTCAATAATGAAGACAGAGCAGAAATGGAGGAGATCCAGAAGATCTTCAGCTCCAGAATCAACAAACACATCATGATCCTCATCATGCAGAACTCAGAGCATCAGACAGCAGAACTCAATGAAGAAACACAGGCTGTCATTCAGAGTTTTGGAGGAAGACATCATCACTTCAGTCCTGAAACACAAGTGTCCACATTGATGGAGAACATTGAGAAGATGCTGGAGGAAAACAGAGGAGGTGTTTACTCCACAGAGACATTCCTGGAGGCGCAAATGGAAAATCGGATGAAATATGAAGAGATGAAAATTAAGAAAAGTAATTTACTGGAGACACCACTGCTGACACAAGGTGAGGAGAATAAAGTCAGCTTCAGTCACAAACTTAAAACTAGAAAATTATAGATTTAAACTATTGTTGTGTTTTATAATTTTTTTTTAAATAACAGAACTTGGCTATAGATGTTATCCATTTTCTCTCAAAGAGTAAATCTGCATATGAAGCCATTTATATATTTATATACAGCTGTTTATATGTATGTGTAAGTGGCACATGTGCAATCACTCATGACACCATCACTAAGTAGTAGGCTCCTGGACAGAATTCAACTGGTAGTTCGGTGTTAAGATCCTAGAGATGTGTTATCACTCCTCCTTATTCTGAGGGTTACACTTGTAACTGAGACATTTCCTCTCAGTTGGTCTCTCTGCATAAATTTGGTGGTCAACAAGATGGGGATCCCTATGGATAGTGCCATAGTGCCAACTAATAATACTGTAAGTTTAGAGTGTTGTAGCTTAGCAAGTATTATGAGCACAAAAACATATATCAATGGCATTGAGATCTTGGTTACACATAAGCTTCCAAATGCTTCCCGGAGTCCCAGATTTACCAAATGGGAAATAAATAAGAGCAGGTAGACCTAATGAGTTAGGACCTACTCACACTATGCCATTCGTACCGTGCCCAGGCCCATTTCCCGGATTGTTTGAGAAGTGTGAGTGCGCTGAATCGGGCTCAAGCACGGTTTACTTGGCCGACCCTGGCCCGGTTGGAAGAGGTGTGCCTGAGCGTGGTTCACTTGGGCTTTGAAAATGCGCCAAAGCCCGAAACTGAAAGCGAGACATGACAAGCTCTTTGGCCCGGTACGAGGCAACTGTACATAGTGTGAGTATGTGAGTATGTACATAGTGTGAGCCTTAGAAAGCTTTAATTAGTATGTCAGTAGGTTGGTAAAGTGCTTCAGACCAAAAGGAGATTGATAAAGAGACCACAATCTTGAAAGATGTTTGTGGCAAAAAAACAAATGTTCAGATCCCTGAAATGCTACAAATAGACTAAAACATTCTGTAGATAGAAACACTTATAGGATTGCCTGAATTGGGAATTTCATATACAGGCACAAATCTGAATATAAGGATTGACAAGAGGACATACACTCAGCCTTTGTTTATCCTCTGCCTGCCTAGAATAATCGTTTACCAACCTGACTGTTCCCGCTAAATTTAAATCTGGTTTCCAAAATCTTTATAGTGAGATCTACTAGGTCCAAACTATAGGCTCAGATTTCCTTCCTTCTTGAACAATGCCAATGCAAACAGAAGTGCTTTCTTTAAAGACAGGAATGTATGGCCCTTTCCACTGAGGGAATGGTTTAGTACAGTACAGAATGGTATGCAACTAAGTCATTTTCACCGCCAATGGAATCAATAAAGTAGGGCTGTAACGATACACCAATGCCACGGTTTGGCTCAGTTTATGGTATTTGTCCCACAGTAAGCTTTGGTTCAATTCTGTTGAGTTTGCTGATGGGTGTAAATGGCGTCCTAAATTGAGCTATGGAGTGGAGACATTGGTTCGCTATGAGAGTATTGTGGTTTGTACCATAGGAGGAATACCATGTTTTTTTTTTGTTTTTTTTCAGTTTGAATGTTGTTCACTCGTACGAAATAGCAAACCATACCATATAATTTTCTTCCACTTTTCCTGTGGAGATCTAGCATTACAGTACGGTACCAAAAATTGTCATTTCAATTCAGCTGGAGAGACAAATTCAATTACATCCTTCATCAGGAAGGCAGAAATCACCTTGCAAGACAGGGATGGGGTGACTGGTGCCACCAAGGCTTAATATACACTTCTGCACATGGTGGCTATTTTTTGCGAACTGAATTGCAGAGCCATGTCAGATTGTTAAAATGTGCAAATGAAATGGGCTGGAAAGCGGTAGCAATGCTAATGCATCCTGAAAAAGTTGGAGTGAGAGTGGTTTCGCTCTTACTTGACAACCATGTTCCCACAGAGAAGCTAGCAAAATCTGACTGTGGGTTTGCAGCTGAAGAAGCAATGTGTTGGTCAGTGACTGCATCGGCAGTGTCAAATGAAGAGGTTGGGTAACTGCTATTTTATTGATGGTGTGGCAGTTACTGATGCTGATCAGGAAAAGGCAATGAAGGGCATTGACTTAAGGTACCTATTTAAGTTGACGTAAAGCCTATGGTCGGCATGATGTGGCCAGTATTGAGGGGTCTCAGCTAATGGAGGTGGAGTAGGGACTAAAGCCACAGGGAAATGCCTTCAGCCGTAGATGTTTTGGCAGGCTTCTGAGTCCACAGATGAGGTGGACCATGGCACCAGATTGCTCCTTCACTGCTGAGAAATCCAGGGTAAAGTCCCCAACTATGCCACCTTATACACTAGCCTGGTATATAGGCATGCTTTATTATTCCAAGTGATGGCACTCTTGGGCCTTTATTTTGGCCATCATCCTACCCAGGGCCCTGTGGCTACCCAGCTGTTTGGTGATCTTTAATCAACCCTTGGGAAGAGCCACCTCTATACATCTTAGGGCCTCTGCCTGGTAGAGTTGGTAAGTGGCTATAGCCTGCAGGGTGTAGGTGCCCTTGGACACAGCAGTGTAAGATCTACCATTGAGAGATGAAAAACAAAAACCTACACACCTTGGATGGATTCCCATCATGGGGAGTTGATTATTAGAACATTCCAATTCATTATGAAATGTTAAATCATTTCTTACTCTATTTTAATGCTTTTTTATATTTTAATATTCCAGAATTTAGAGTAAACACAGATGATGAAGTGAGGATTGTTCTTCTGGGGAAAACTGGAGTTGGTAAAAGTACAACAGGAAACACAATCTTAGGAAGAAAAGCTTTTACAGCAGAAACATCTCACCAACCAGTGACTAAAGAGAGTCAGAGAGAAACATGTGAAATCAATGGCAGACAGATCACTGTGGTCGACACTCCAGGAGTGTTTGATACTGAACTCACTGAAGAGGAGATCCAGAGAGAAATCAGACACTGCATCTCCATGATTCTGCCTGGACCACACGTGTTTCTCCTGTTGGTTCCACTGGGACGATTCACTAAAGAGGAGGAAACATCAGTGAAGATCATCCAGGAGACGTTTGGGGAAAACTCTCTAATGTTCACCATGGTGCTCTTCACCAGAGGAGACTTTCTAGGAAACAAATCCATTAAAGAGTTTCTGGGTAAACCTGGATCTCCTCTGATGAACCTGATTGAAGCTTGTGGACACAGATATCATGTGTTCAACAATACCCAGCCTGAAGAGCGAACACAAGTGTCTGATCTACTGGAGAAGATAGACAACATGGTGAAGACAAACGGAGGAAGCTTCTACTCATGCAAGATGTTCAGAGAGATGGAGAGAGAAAAACAAGAACAACAGATGAAGATCCTGATGGACAGAGTCAGAGAAACAGAAGAAGAGATGAAGAAACTGGAAGAAGAGAAAGACAGAATGAAGATGATGATGGAGGAGGAACGACAGAAGCAGGAGACAGAGAGCAAGAGGAGAGAAGAAGAACTGAAGAGAGAAATAAGAGAAGGAGAGGAACATCAGAGAGAGATGAAAGAGGAGATGAAGAGAGAACGAGAGACATTTAGACACGAAATAGAGGAAATCAGGAGAGAAAAAGAGAAAATGCAGATCAAACATGAAACAGAAACAGACAGACTGATGAAGAGAATAGAGGATGAGAAGAAGAAAAGAGAAGAGGAGAATACAAAAAGAGAAGAGAAATATAAAAGACAGATCAGGGAGAAAGAGGAGAAAGAGAGAGAGATGAAAGAGGAGATGAAGAGAGAAGGAGAGGACATGAGGAAGGAAATAGAGAAACTTCAGATCAAACATCAGACAGAAACAGACAGACTGATAAAGAGAATAGAGGATGAACGAGAGAATCAAGAAACAGAGAGAAAGAGAAGAGAAGAAGAGTTTAATGAGAGAGAAGAACGATATAAAAGAGAAATGAAAGAGAGAAAAGAGAGAGAGAAAAAAATTTGTGAGGAGATGACGAGAGAACAGGAGGAATGGGAGAAACATAGACGAGAAGAAAAGAAAAGAAGAGAAGAAGAGGAGAAAAGAAGGGAGAAAGAGCAGAGAGAATTCAATGAGAAACTGAAAGAAGAGAGAGACAGAATGGAGAGAGAAAAAGAATATCTTCAGTCTAAACATGAAGAAGAAGAAAAGAAGATGAAGATCCAGATAGAGGAACTGAACAGAGAAAGAGAAGAACTGATGAAGAAACATGAGGAAGAAAAGGAGAGAATGAAGATGATGATGGAGGAAGAAAAGAAGAGGAGAGAAGAACTGATGAAGAGACATGAAGAAGAGAAAGAGAGAATAAAGAAGATGATGATGATGATGGAGGAAGAACAACAGAAACAGGAGAAAGAGAGAAAGAGAAGAGAAGAAGAGTTCAGAGAGAGAGAAGAGCGATATAAAAGACTGATTAAAGAGAGAGAGCAGAAGGAGAATGAACTGATAGAACAGATGAAACTGGAGCGAATGCAGAAACAGAAACCAGAGGACAAACTGAGGAGAGAAGAGAAACAGAAATCTGAACATCACAAGAGACTCCAAAGGCCAGTTAGTGATCAGACAGCAGGTAAGACATGATTTAATAATAATTGTTTGCTCTTCTTCATTTTAGTTGATCTCAGTGTGTGAACATCATCTGTGAACAAATCATGAAGGTAAAGCTTTGCTTATTTTAAACAGATGTTTAAACATGTTCAACATGAGAAACTTCACATCAGATTCCTCCACTTGTGATATAAAAAGCTACATTAGTTTCTCAGCCCTGTTTTGTAAGAAATTGATTGCTGTTTCTCCCAAATTAAACACACGTGACTGAACTGATCTGAGGACTCAAGACCAGACTCTGCTTTAATAGAAAAGAGAAACATGTTAAACATGTAATACTGGAGGCTTTCAAACCAGGCCTGAGAAACACAGCATTACATCACAGTGATGGAGAATGAAGAACACAAACTAAACCATTTCTTTACCAAACTATATCTGCAACCATTATTTACAGGATTTTACTCTAAATACACATGGAATAACTGATGATCTGATGATGAACCACTGAATTTCCCGAGAATAATGTGCATTAATCTGCTTATACTCTGACTCCTGCTGCTGCCTCTGTTCAGATGTTGTATTTCAGATGTTTGTCGGGGGTTATCACGGTGAACTGATCTTTATGTATTATTGGTCTTCATTTAAACATTGGTAATGTTTACATTTATTTCTAGGTCTGAATGTGGTCCTGCTGGGAAAAAGAGGAGCAGGGAAAAGTTCATCAGGAAACACAATCCTGGGTCGACAAGCTTTCATCTCCAAGAAAAGTGCCAGACCAGTCACACGAGACGTCACTGTGGAGTCTGGATCAGTCTGTGAACTACCAGTCACTGTTTACAACACTCCAGGATTGTTTGACACAAAGATAAGTGATGAAGAGATTCAGCAGATGATCAATGAGAAGGTCCTCCAGAAATGTTCAACAGGTCTGTGTGTGTTTCTGCTGGTCATCAGAGCTGACAGATTCACTGAAGAAGACAGAAAAACTGTGGAGAAGATTGAGAAGATCCTGGGAGAAAAACAGCTGAAAAACATCTGGATTCTGTTCACTGGAGGAGACGAACTGGAGGAAGAAAACACGACAATACAGGAGTTCATAGAGGAGACTGAAGAACTGAAGACACTCGTGCAGAAATATGAGCACAGATACCATCTGTTCAACAACAAGAAGAAGAAGGAGGAGGAGGGACCGAGTGAACAAGTGAAGATACTGTTCACAAAAATACTGAAGCCTCACCATGCCACAATGGGTGAGTGCTTTATAATATTACTTCCAGTTATTTTTGATGAACATTATTTCCAGTGACTGAAAACCATTTGTAACCTTCAATTTCTGTTTTCTTTCATTTATTCAGCAGGAGAAAATTTGCAGGAGCAGAATCTATTGAAGAGAAAAATACCAGCAAATACTGAGCCAATCTCTCGTGTCTCTGGTCTTCCCTCCAGACGGATTGTTCTTCTGGGTAAATCTGGTGTTGGTAAAAGTGCATCTGGAAACACAATCCTGGGACAGAAAGAGTTCAGATCTATGATGAGTATGAATTCAGTAACCCGTGAATGTTCAGCAGCTCAGGCCACAGTTTCAGGCAGATCTGTGTCTGTAGTCGACACTCCTGGATTATTCGACACTCAGATGAATCTTAAAGAGTTAATGATGGAGATCGGCAAAAGTGTGTATATCTCCAGTCCTGGACCTCACGCTTTCCTCATTGTGTTTCCTCTCAACATGAGATTCACTGAACAGGATGAGCAGATTCCTCAGATGATTGAGCTGATGTTTGGTGAAGAAGTGTTGAAATACTCCATCATTCTCTTCACTCATGGAGATCTGCTGGATGGAGTGTCTGTAGAGAAGCTGATAGAGAAGTACAGTAGATTAAGATCTGTAGTCCAGCAGTGTGGAGGCAGATATCATGTGTTCAACAACAGAGATGAGAATAACAGAGAGCAGGTGGAGGATCTACTGCAGAAGATTGACTCAATGATACAGCTGAATGGAGGAGGACACTACACTAACCAGATGTATGAAGACGCTCTGAGATTAAGACAAGAGGAAGAAGAGGAGAGAAAACAACAAGAGGAGAAACAAAGACAAGAGGAGTTTGAGAGAGTGATAAAGGAGACTGAGGAAAGGGTCAGAGCAGAAATGGAAGCTGAAAAACTTAAAGCAGAGAGACTGAGTGAGGAAGAGCAGAGAAGACGAGAGAAACAAAAACAAGAGGAGATTGAGAGAGTGATAAAGGAGATTGAGGAGAGAATCAGGAGTGAAGATCAAGGGAGAAAACAAAGTGAAAACTGTGTGTGTAGTTGATCGTCTTTTGATTGTTTGACACAGTGATGGAGTGAATAACAGAGAGCAGGTGACTGAGGAGGACTCGAGGCCTCAGTTTCATCTAACATCATTTAAAACACAACACACATTAATAAGTTGAACTCAAACACTGCTCTGTCCTATCACAGTATATTTGTTGTTTTCATATGCACCAGACACTCTCTTATCAATACTTCATCTTTCTGTAAAACAGTGTGATTAACACAAGTGAGTGGGCTTGATAAACTACCTGTAGAAGACACACACACTCGCTCCTCTGAGTGTTTATGTATGCATGTGAATAATATAAACTAAACTAATCCTGCTGCTCTCTGCTGAAGTGAAGCGCTGCTTTATCTTCACTTGTAAATGGCTTTGAAGAAAGCTTCTGCTAAATGAACAGATGTAAAAATGTAGAATAACTGTTTCTCTCTCAAATTATAATCTCTGATATAATAAGATGAGTTTTACTCAAGTCAGTATTTTGAGCATTTGTTTATTGTGAGGTAAAAAGAGTAAAATAAATGCATCATGCAATGTTGTCCAAATTGAATCAGTTTATTCAGATTATCAGTCTTTCATTCCCTTTTAAACCTGTTGAAACACTTTATTAATCTGCTTTTAGTCATGTTTATGCTTTATTTTTATCCTAAATTTGTTGTATTTTATGGTCCTTTTTTATTCTTGTTTTTGTAAATCACTTTGCATCATCACCGTGTATGAAATGTGCAGAATAAATAAACTTGCCTCTCCTTCCTCATTGAAGGTTAATCATAATAAATCTCAGCGTTTTGTGTAATTGTGGATTACTCTCTGCAGTTCACCAGTAGAGGAGCTCAACACTGCATTAATAACCTAAACAACAGACACACACACACACACATGCATTGGTTTTACTGTATTTGATCTTTTAATGTGTTGTTTTTGCATTCCCAGCTGCAGTTTTATGAATATTATCAGACATGGACGACCGCAGTGGTTAAGGGTGAGATATTTACTCAACAATAAATAACATTTAATATAAAGTATACTCCAGAACACACGTTGCAGACATGTGTATTAGGGTTTGTTCATAAGCCATCTAACAATTATCAGCTGATATATTTGCTTTACAAAAGAAACAGAGAAACAGAAGGTAATATTATTGGCCAAAGTTCATGTTGTAAAGCTAAAACCATTACATAATAACCTCATTTATTTATTTTCATTAATGCAAGGTAGGTTTATTTAGTTAGGATGACTATACATCATACTCCTGGTTTTTGAGACTTGCAGAGAAACGCAGTCTCAGACTCATTCACTCAAGGGAGCCAGAGACATCACTGTGCATGCAAACAGAAATGTATATATAGAGAGAGGTTTCTTGGAAATCACGAGTACATAATTCATCCTTTCCTCCTGCTGTATTTCTGTTATTGATTTTTTCTTCCTTTTTTCCTATTTTATATAATGTCATTTAACCTGCTCTGTTAAGTTACTATCATTGCCACTGTCACATTTGTGTAGGTTCAAATTTGTGTTTTTGATACATCAAGTAAAAATGCTGTTTATTTTTCTGTGTGATATAAGTTATTATTATTATATTTATATTATTATTATTTATTTATTTGAAATATATAGAGATTTGACATGGGAAAACATGGTCTTTACAGTAAAAACTTTTTTCTCACCAAGGTCAAAAGATTATCTTTTAAATAATAAACAAGTCTGATCCTATAAAACACATCATGAAAACTTTTAAATCTAATTTGGATGTAAAATTGTTTTGTCCATTTCACACAGAAACTGTCTTTCGTTTATTTTGGAAACATTTCGGCTCATTTATTAACAATAATATCCAACAATATGAATCTGTCACTCTTTAAATAATAGTTTTGATTATTATGAATCCTTTTCCACTAAAGAAATGCTTGTTTTGTTATAAATTTATATGATTCGTTCATTTTCTTTTTGGCTTAGTCCCTTTATTAATCTGGGGTTGCCACAGAGGAATGAACCGCCAACTTATCTAGCACATGTTTTTCACAGTGGATGCCCTTCCAACTGCAACCTATCGCTGGGAAACATCCACACACACTCATTTACACACATAAACTATGGGATATTTACCTTACCCAATTCACCTGTACCACATGAATTGTTTGGACTTTGGGGGAAACCAGAGCACCCAGAGGAAACCCACACCAACACGAGGAGAACATGCAAACTCCACACAGACACGCCAACTGACCCAGCAACCTTTTTGCTGTAAGCCGACAGCACCACCTGCTGCACCACCGCGTCGCCGTAATTAATTTGTTTTTCAGTGTAAATTCTATATCCACAAATATAAATTTACCAATAACAAACCATACTATAATGTTTTTTTAATGATAGCAGTCATTATTTAAATACACTTTCAATATCTAATCAAGTAGCAAGTAGAACTATGTCATTGTTTATTGACTTTTATTAATACACTGTAATTATTACTGGGCTTCAGATCATGTGCTTTATTTGTTCTGACTCTTTGTACTTTTTTTATTGACAAATAATGTAATTGCTATGCTGTATATTGCATACAAATATTGTTTACATGTCAACTCTGTATTGCATTTGCATTAATGATTATTTCCACCAGCAGAGGAAGCTGTGAGAGACTCTGAGCCATAGACTGTAAAAGAACTGTCTATGAGGTGCCGTATAGGATTTAAATCAAACTTTGCTTATCAACACATACATAAAACACGTGTATATACACCTATAAATTACTCGCATATACACCTATACTACTGGATGTGCAAAACAACATGGATGAAACATGTGTATATACATATAAACTTGACGCATGAATACACCCACATACACACGCACATACATATAAACTCGCAGCATGCAAACACACCTATACATACTCGCATATACATATAAACTCGGTCTATGCATATCCACCCTCAACAACACGCGCACATACACAAACTCACTGCATGCAAACACACCTACAACATCTCGCGCAAACATACAAAAATAAAATAAAATAAAAAAATTCACAAACATTTATCACGAATCTGGTTATTGCAAAGCTTATGAAATAGAAATAATGTGATTAATAGAGGGATTAAATATGTTAAATTATGAACATATGTTATATAAAATATTAGTCTATATATAAATAGAATATTCAAAATAAGAAATATTTTTATTCAAAACCTTTTCATTTAATTAGGTAATTACATACACAAATATAAATGGACTGAAAGAACCCTTAAAGGACGTTCAAAAAGCAACCAGAATTATAAATATAAATGTATACTCAAACTAAACTCCTCTATTCTATTGCAAATGTTAATGTAGCCTATAGTCTTCTTGTTTTGTTTTTTACATTTTTATAATTATTATGCTTTTTATATGTTTTTACAATGTGGGTGTCAAAATTGCAAGATTTTGGTATCATTTTGATTGTTAATTATTCAGCATATACAAAAAACAAACAAACAAAAAACTAAAAAACACCTGCTGATTAAAAGTCTCTGCTCATCATGTTGGTCAAGTTAACCCCCATGGAAAAGCTATATATATTATCTGGACACTCCTTTTGTGTTTAATAACTACTAATATTTTTACAGCAGCTGGCATCCAGCATTTTGGTGCATTATCCTGTTTATTGGTGACAGGAAAACCCGCTTAAGTGCATTCCTGCCCCCTACTTTATATTTATTAAACCATAATAACATTTCCAATAATTTAATTGCATAATAAACCTTTTATTTTGCAGGAGCATTCCTTTGCATTACCTTTTTATTTATTTATTTTTTATAATTAGCATAATCTATTTTCATAATTCAACAGATTTAATTCCTCTATTAATCACATTATTTCTGTTTCTTAAGGTTTGCAATAACCTGATTCATGACAAATAATAATCTTGTTCATTACGATCAAAGGACTTTTACGTTGAAATTAAACGACTTCCTTTTAAAGTGAAATAACTTCCTTTTACTGTGAAAATTCATGCATACACACATCTGAAATCACTTGCATGTATGTATATACACAACTAACTGTATATATGTTTGTGAATTTTATTTTGTATGTTTGCACAAGTGTCAATTGTGTGTTTATGCACACATCAAGTTTATATTCTTATGTGAGAGTTTATGGGTGTATATGCATAGATCAAGTTTATATGTATGTGCATGTAAATGTGGGTATTTATGCGAGAATCGAGTTTATATGTGTATGCGAGTGTGTATAGGTGTGTTTGCATGCAGCAAGTTTATATGTATGTGCGTGTGTAAATGTGAGTGTTTATGTGAGGATCGAGTTTATATGTATGTGCGTGTGTATGTGGGTGTATTCATGCGTCAAGTTTATATGTATATACACATGTTTCATCCATGTTGTTTTGAACATCCGGTAGTATAGGTGTATATGCGAGTAATTTATAGGTGTATATACAAGTGTTTTATGTATGTGTTGATAAGCAAAGTTTGATTTAAATCCTATACGGCACCTCATAACTGTCCAGATGCTGATTTTACAACTGTATACAATCCGAGCATCACCAACCTGTTCCTGGAAGAACATGTCGATCCTGAAACAACAATCCAATCAGCTGGTCAGAATTAAGGGGTACCATTTATGTGAAGTTTTAGGCTTACGGTCAGGTACATGCACTCCTAGGATTGTTATCCAGCTATTATTCTCCTCTAATTGGGAATAGTTTACAGTTCTGGTTGGGTTTAGGGGTAGGGAATAGGTATGGATTACATTTTCCAACAGCAATGATGTGCAGGATCAACACAGATGTTAATCCAGGATCACATCGTACTTGGCAAAATCAAACAAAATCTAATCAAACCCCTTTTATTTTCACATCATCATCATCAGCAGCAGCTGCATGTGTACTATGATGAGGGAAAAGCTCAGGTGCTGCTCCAGACACTGTAAAATACAACAGCATACTCCAATCATGATGCGCATCAAGATATCATCAGCATACAGTGATCATCAAACACCAGAAGAGGCAAAGTTATAGGATAACCACTCCTGTTAAACTAAAGAGATTCTGTGTACAGTGTAGAAAAGGACTGAAACTGAGAGAAGGATTGGTCTGCATGAAGATGTAAAAATTCTCACTAAAGGCACTGTTTACACCAACATGAACATTTACTCAGTGTTTCAAACCTTTGATTTTTTGTCTTCTGTTGATCACAAAAGAAAATATTTTGAAATCAGTTTGACTTCTATAGTAGGAAAACACAGGCTATGAGAGTCAATGATTACAGATATCCAGCATTTCTCAAAGTATCTTCTCTTGTATTCAACAGAAAGAAACTCAAACAGCTTAGTAAAGTAAAGCACAACAAACAGTAAAGGAAGAGCAAATGATGAGAGAGTTTTCAGTTTTGGGTGAACTAAGGCTGCGCTCACACTAGACTATCTGAACCATACCTGGGCACATTTACCACTGACTTTGACAGGTGTGAGTGCTCTGAATTGAGCTCAGGTGTGGTTCAGTTGGCTGACCCTGGCCCAGTTGGAAGAGGTGTGCCAGAGGATGGTTCACTTGGACTTTAGTGCGGTACGCTTGTAGTGTGAGTGCAGAGCCTGAAACTGAAGACGAGACGTGACTTTAAGAGACTGTTTGATATGGATTTACTAATCATTCTCACTGTTCAATGAACACAAACTGTCGTAGATTATTAAAGACACAAACGTGAAACCCTTTTGGCAAGATCTTATTGAAATAATTGACCAAATTTTATTAAAGAAATTCCCGTTGGATCCTAAGATTTTTATCCTGGGTATATTTCCTGTCAGCCCTCTCTTACAAAGCAAAGAGGTCAGATTCATAAACATGTGTATTTTACAAGCTAAACGTATTATTGCTCTTAATTGGAAAAATATAAATGAACCTAGAATAGGAAAGTGGATTAAAGAAATAGCAACTCAAATGTCAATGGAAAAGATCACGTATATTATCAAAAAGAAACAAAATGTGTTTGAAGATACCTGGAGACCTTTTAATAACTTTCTAAAGTACAATGTAAATGTGGAAAGTCTACTACAACTAGAACAGGCTTAGGAATATGGGAAGTATCATGGTCTAAACAGACTACCTGATTTAAACATATCCCCCCCCTTTTTTTCTTCTTTTTTTTCTCTTCCCCCTTCTTATTATATTTATTTAATTGTTTATTTATTTTTATTTTACTTATTTACTTATTATTATTTATTTTATTTATTTATTTTTAAGGGAATGGGTTGTTGGGAGGAAGAATGGGGGGTAAAAAGTTTGCTGTGCCTTCATGATTATTGTTCTGTAATTGTGTAATCTGTTGTGATATGCAAATTGAAAAAAGTAATAAATATATTGTACATTAAAGACACAAACCCCTCACTGCATCACAACAAACCTCCTCATTCCTGCAGCACCAGGACTTCATCAACATTCATGATCAACAGTGCTGGATCTGTTCAGCTGTATATATGTGTCACTGCATATCAAACCAATAAACTAATACAAAACAACATGACTAAAGTGATGTCCACTGTGCTGAGCGAGAACACTTCACTTCTGTTAAACTGAACAGAGCATCATCGATGAGGAAGAGTGCTCCAGCCCAGAAGGAGAAATACAGAGAGTGCAGGCCGAGGAGGAGAGCGGAGGGAGGACAAACGTGCCTAGTGTGATCATCACAAACACAGTGCAGAAGCTCACACACATTTATAAACAGTGATGGAGATGATTAGCAGAATGAGAAAGTCCAGTAATGAAGAAGTGTTGTGTCTCTGCTTAATCTTCATCCACAGATAATAACAGTGAAGTCTCAGTGAAGTTTTCAGCCTCATGTGAACCACCGTTTCCTCTGCTGCTGCTCTTCATCATCTGCTGCTCTTCATCTGCTGCTGTCCTTCATCATCTGCTGCTCTTCATCTGTATCTGTCCTTCATCATCTGCTGCTCTTCCCCACATAGCAAAATTTCTCTGGCCCAGCTCTGGCCCACACAATCAGGTTTTGCTTGGCCCACATGCGGCAGTGAATTACGGTACATGACTGGACCAAATCTGGCTTCTAGACAAGGGCCAAACACGGACCATATCTGGGCCAAGTCTCAGCCAAGTTAATAACTCATAACTGGGCCTGAACTGGGCCAGATAGGTTGGTGTGTCACGATTGCAATGAAATTGATAAACCCATGGAGTGCTGCGCTTTAGGCACACTATGGGCACGCTTTTTCTCAAAGTGACCTGATTGGTAGATTTTTTTTTCTTTACTCAAAAATGATTTTAGTGTATTTTAAATGTGGGTCAAGACTGGCCAAACTCACATGGCCCACTTATCAAATTTTTAAATCTGGGCCAAATACTACGTTTTTCATCTGGCCCAAATCTTGTGTGACTAAAAACGAAGTTTAGTTTAGTTTAGAAACTAAAGACGATGCCACCTCTGCCAAACCCGGGCCATGTTTGGCCCACATGCTGTATGCCAGTGCCGGATGAATGCCTGCTGTGCCAGCTTTATGCCAAATCTGGGCCAGAATTCTTTGCTACTAGGGTCTTCATCATCTGCTGCTCTTCTTTCTGCTGGACGTCTGGAAGATCTGCAGCTGTTTGAACCTCCGTCTGCCTTTATGCAGTTGACTGTGTGTGTCTGTCAGCAGTTCTAGACACATATACACACACACAGACACAGAGAGACAGACAGACAGACAGTATTATAGGAAATGATCTGAGAACAGTGAGGATCTGTGTGTGTGTGTGTGTGTGTGTGTGTGTGTTTCTCACCTCTCCTCTGAATGACGGTGCTCAGCATCTCGTCCTCCTCCTGCTCTCTGATAAAGGAAACAAACACACACACACACACCTGTCAGAATCACAGCACACGATCATGTGACCTCCCACCGCTGACCTCTGACCTCTGCCTGTCCAGCTCCAGGCTGCTGATGATGTCACTCCTCTGCTGGATGATTGACAGCAGGCGTGACATCAGCTGCTGCTCCTGACCTCGGTCCTCTTCAGTCCAGTCCAGCTCTGCACACATGAGAAGTAGATTCATGAGCAAAACTGCAATATCTGCAGAAAACATGTGCATGTGGTGGCTTCTGAAGATGTGAGACGGGAGCACAGACAGATGCTCAAGAAAATTCTGGAGGGAATAATAATAATAATACTGAAGCACTGTGATGACGGAGGACTGAGGCCTTTTACACTCAGCACAACAACATCTTACATCTGACACAATGGAGAGCTGCAAACCAACATTAATGCATCCCATCACATTCAGGCCTGTCACAATGTTCAATATCGGCACCGATCACACAACACATGGACATGAGCTCAATCATGCAGTATATATCACCCATAGATAAACACCAAATCTAGCAACATTTGATCTGACTGACACCTCCAATAGAGATAGAGATGTTGCACAGTGTCAGTATGGTTAAAACACTATAGTATATCTGTACTGTAATTTTGGATTGTTGTGCACATGTGTGTCCAGTAGAGGACGCTCTTGGTTAAGTGTTCACAGAATATAGAGTTACTTCAGTTTTCTTCAGGACACAGATTTGAAATGTTATTTACAACATTTACCCCCTGGGTCCCGAGTGGACAGCCCATTTTATCTTTTAAGTGGCTGTTTAAAATACTTGTTTTATTTTTTAAAAAGAATGTTTTATATTTTGTTACAGACATACAGTGTCATCCTGCAACTGTTTTACAGTATATGAAATGTCCCAAACACTATTTTTTACTCTGCAAAATGGGGGGAAATGTTTGATAGTCAAAGCAAGTTTAAAAAGATGTATATGTTAAATATGCATTAAAAACAGTCAGGAAAAAGTGTTTTATGTAAATTGGGACCACGAGTCCACATATATGGACACCATTTTCCTCTAAAATAACATCAAAACATCAAAAGATGATACTTGGGTTTTATTCTAATAAGGTTCCAATAAGCCCAAATAGCAAAGAGAAATAAAGAATGCATGTAAAACAGATTGGGCCTTAAGAGGTTAATAAAACATAGAAATGGGTTATTATTGCATTTTATGTCAGAATTTAACTGTTTAACTCGTAATTGCAACTTTTAATCTCAAATTTTGGCTTTGTTATTGTTTCTAACACAGAATTCTGACTTTATTTCTTTAAAAAGTCCACATTGTGATATAAACTCACTTCTGAAAGTGAAGTCAGGATTCAGAGATGTAAAGTTCACAGTTTTCTGACTGTACACTATTCAAGTGATTGAAAGGTGGACTGATGTGCTTATTGACTGTTTGTTTGGATTTTTGCCATATTTATTCGTCATTTTAAGGTCTAACAGGGGCAATTAAGAGAAGCAGCAGTAACGTTATTCATTCAATCTGCAGATACAAACAAGACAAGGGGGCAATGACATTTAGATTATTCATATGAAATCCTGGGCCTCACAGCAAGAAGGTTGGTCCCAGCTGGGTCAGTTGTCATTTCTGTGTGGAGTTTGCATGTTCTCCGTGGGTTTCCTCCGGGTGCTCCGGTTTCCCGCACAGTCCAAACACATGCGCTATTGGGGAACTGAACTAAATTGGCTGTAGTGTATGAGTGTGAATGAGTGTGTATGGGTGATTCCCAGTATTGGGTTGCAGCTGGAAGAGTGTCCGCTGCATAAAAAAAAAGGCTGGAATAGTTGGTGGTTCATTCCGCTGTGGTGACAGCTGATAAATAAGGGACTAAAAATAAGGACAATTAGAAAATGTTTAGAAACTGCTTCTTGATTTGAGAGTTTTCAGATATTTGGATTAGAAACAAGACAAACAAATTAAGTAAAGCATTTATTTGCACTGTGGAAACACACAGCTGTAGAGGAAATTGTTTATGTTTCCTAATACATAGTGACATAGTCATCCATATAACAAGGTGTGTTTACTAAGAAACCAGAATGGCATCATTAAACAAGTCTTATTAAATGAGAAACTGATCAGACTGAAGTGACACTGGAGATAAACTTGAAACTAAAGAGAGTTTAAGGATGATTTTAGTCTTTATATTGTATTGTTGTGCACATGTGTGTCCAGTAGAGGACGCTCTTGGCTAATTATTCACAGAATGTAGAGTTCAGTTTTCTTCAGGTCACAGATATGAAAGGTTATTTCCACCACTGAATAAAACATTAAATTATTGCATATTATGGCAGAAGTCTAACTTTTTGACTAGTAATTGCAACTTTTAATCTCAGAATTCTGATTTATTTATTGTTTATAACACAGAATTGTGTCTTTATTTTTTAAGAAATGTCAGCAATGTGATATTAGCTCAGTCAGTATCAGACTTGGACACAGAAAAAGTTTTATCAGTTGAGAATGTCAAACTTTAAGGAGTATTTCTATATGACTAACATTCATATTCACACTTCACAGTGCTCATGTCGATGAGTGGAGATGTTTATTTGCGTCCTGATTAATCTGAGTGTATGTATGAGATTACTGAAACACACACAGAACACACACCTGGTTTGTTGAAGAGGCATCTGATCTCCAGCTCCACATCAGCCTGATCATCCTCCAGACGCTGCTGCTTTAGCCTTAACACACACACACATAGACATATTACTCACAGTACACACAAACACACACACACACACACACACGCACACGCACATACAAATGCACAATCAATACAAACAATATACAAGTTCTGAATCTTGCGATCCATTGTTGGATCTGTTGTGTGTTTCTCTTCCTTTGTTAGTTGCTTTGGGGGGAAAGCATCAGCTAATGGCTAAATGTGAATGAACGCACACAAACACCATGAACATTTTGGTGCTTTTATGCCCGTAAATGTACAAAAATAAAGTATAAAGGAATTGATCAGTGTGTGTTACTCACATGTACATCAGCTCAGCGTCTCTGCGCACCAACATGCTCTTCTGATGAACCAGAAAGAACCAGTCCACTAGAAGACTCTCTGAAACACACACACACACACACACAGACACACACACACACACACACACACACACACACACACACACACACACACACACACACACACACACACACACACACACACACACACACACACACACACAATCAAACACAAACTCTTTGCAGCACACTATTAGACTGAATGTCCATCAGAGATGACTGGGTCGTGTGTGTATGATATTATAGCTCAGAAATAAATGAGATGAGGTAGCGAACATGCATTACTATGAGTGTTTTTGCAAGTTGGTTGATCCCCATACACTTATTTCACGTAGCCGCCATTTTAAAACACGCAAGAGAGACTGCGGTGGGAAGAAACCTGGAAGTATAGGATCAGCACTGCAAACATTGCAGCAACATGCCGCCGACTACAAACCTCCAGCTGTTGCTGAGATTTCAAGATGCAGAAATGATGTACACATTACCATAACATCAGTCAGTTCTGTTTATTTCAACAATTAACAGCAGATTTGGCATCAAACAACATCACAATCTCTGTAAGAGTGATATGCTCAAGTGTCCTCCTAGGCTTCAGTTCATGGCAGCAGGTAAACACTATGGGGACGCTTCACTGCTTCAGCCTGTGTAACCCAATGACTGTAAAAAATATGGACGACGCGACAGCCCTTTTTCCCATTGAACGCCTTGAGGGCAAAACGCCTGCTTGACGGGCACAAACTGTCGCAAAAGACTGCTGAAATTGGAGCCAGACATGCGCAGAAGGATTGTCTGATGGAGCCAGAGGAGGAGCCGCGAAAATGAGCAGAGTCGAGCTTCCAATCAAACGCTTTATGTAAAATCAACTACGCCCCCCGAACTTCTCAGCATGCGTTTGCTGTCATATCAACACAAATGGATGTAATAACGTTAACAAATATGAGGGTTTTATATATTTAATCGCGCCAGCTCCGGGCTGCAGCGCATAACTTACTCGCGGCGTCGCGGGCTGATTCCGGCTCGCATGCGGCAGCGCCGGCTCGCTCGGCCGCCGCATCTGGCTCGATTGACTCGGGCTGGAATCGGGCAGTGAGTCCAGGCATCCGGAGTAGGTCCAGCAGAGGTAACATTAGTCAGTCTGAGCTCTAAGAGATAAGTCTCCGGCAGGCGAGAATCTAGCCGGAACTGTGTTTTGCTATTTGGGTGGCTAGGCGTGTATCAGCAAACTAATAAAGCCCGAAAAAAGCCCTGAACTTAGCGAATAAACAGTGTTCCACCAGGATCATGTATGTCAGAAACTATAGTTTACTGCTGAACTCATTTTGTCATGGTAAAATAACACAGAAATCGAATAATAACATTTCAGTCTACTTCAGTCTCCTGCCAAAGCTCAGACGCCGCGCTTTGAGAAACTGTCAATCACAGCTAACAATCACGATGACACGCCCAGCATTAAATTACTGCTAAAAACAAACTGTTTACAAAAATGAAGATCTGCACCTATTTCAGCACAATAACCAGTGCCTTAATCGACCACGACTATCTTTCGGGACATTTTATTGCAAGTGTAATATTTTTTTTTATTTGGGCTCAAGTCTCCTTCATTAACACGGAGGAGGCGGGCTTTATGACTTGTACTGCAGCCAGCCCCCAGGGGGCGATCTAACGGCCGAAACCTTCACTCGAACGTAGGCTTGCGGCACACTTGGTGTAACCCAGTGAGTGATTAAACACTGCAGTCCTCGGTAGCGCACCCTTGTGTTGTCTGTAATAGTGTTGTCCCGGTACTGAAATTTTAAATCCTTCCATTTCCTGCTAATTTCAAGAGCCGCTGAGCACATTCTTAAACACCGCTGATTTGCCATTGTGTTCACCGGTGCTCAACAGAAATGACTGTGATTGGCTGTGGAGGTCATCAGTTAACTACTCTTCATTGAGTGGAAACACAGACACACAGACACTGGAGCGTTTTAAAGCCATGAAGATCAGTCGATTCATCAGCGGATCGCTCGTCTACATCTATGTTTGCACTCGGTAAACAACTTGAAGTGCGGTGGGTGAACTGATGACCTTCATGGCCAATCACAGTCATTTCTGTTGAGCACTGGTGAACACTATGGCTAATCAGCGGTGTTTAAGAATGTGCTCAGCTGCTCTTGAAGTTACTAGTGGCAAGTCAGCGCTGTTTAAAAACACACTCAACAGCGCTCAAATGATAGCAGGAAATTGTAATTTTTTTAAAGATTCAGTTACAAAATTCAGTATCGTGACAGGTCTAAGGCCCCGTTTACACTGCCAGTTAAATGTGACCCAATTCTGATTTGTTTGCTCATATGTGACACAGATCAGATCTGTTCTATGAGTGTGTAAACACGAAAAAAGCATGCACTGGGATATTCAGAGATCCGTTTCAGGCCTCCTTCATATGTGGAAATAAATCAGATATAGATCAGATATGTGACAATGCGACTGTCATCTAAACAGGAAGATCAGATTTATTGAGGTGTTCCGTTCTGTACATAATTAAACTTGCGACAATGTGCTGCTTCTCCACGGTTTAATGACGTAGAAGGAAGAGCGTGTGTGGAGATGCCGACGCGGTAAACAACAACTTTGCTTAATTTAGTGTGTTTGTTAACAGTAGTGTTGAGGTTTAGGTGGAGTTGCTGTAATTGTTTGTTTGTCCGTTAGTGTGTTAGCATTAGTGTGTTTGTTGAGATTAGGGTGGAGGTGTACAGAGTTATACATAAAACAGTATACAATGGAATTAACAACAAAAATTGTGTTAGCATTAGCGTGTGTGTTGAGGTTTAGGTGGAGTTGCTTTAATTGTATGTTTGTCTGTTAGTGTGTTTGTTAGCCTTAGGCGCCATTCACACAGAACCTGTTTCACCATTCATGTTTCTCCATCCACTGTTTTCTATATTCACACACGCCTTATGGAAACGTGTGGGTGTTATGTTTGCATCTTTTGCAGTTGTTCACATTTTTAAAACATCATGTCAGGTTTGAAGACTTTTTAAATACCTGAAGCGGGGCATGAGCTGCATTGCAAGCTTCAGTTTACAGTATCCAGTTAGCATGACGACTGTTTAATTTGACTTTAACATTGTTTAAAGCGTTCCTGAGAGCTGTGTCTCACTTGTAGACACAACGATAAGCTGTGTGATTGAGCCCTCAGGACTTTTCCTCCAACTAGCTTCGATGCACCTCCCTAAAAGATTCTAGTACACTAGTAGGAGCTTGATTAGCTGGTTCAGGTGTGTCTAGCTGGGGCTGTAGCTAAACTCTGCAGGACAGCGGCCCTCCAGGACTGAGTTTAGGCACTCCTGCCTTAATGTGTTTCTCTAGAGTAGCTGATACTGTAGTTATTGTTTGGGTGTGTGTGTGTGTGTGTGTGTGTGTGTGTGTGTGTGTGTGTGTGTGTGTGTGATATTTACGGTCTGAGCGTGTCCTCATGTCTCTCTCCAGCTGAACTCCTCTCCTCTCCAGATCCTGCAGACGCTCCTCCAGCTTCCGCTGCTCCACACACACCTGCTGCTCTGATACACGAGTGTCTAAATTAATCTACACACAGAGACACACACACAGAGAGACACACACACACACACACACACAGACAGACAGACAGACAGACAGACAGACAGACAGACAGACAGACAGACACACACACACACACACAGTCAAACTTATAAGCAATATATTATAGTATATACACTTTTTTTGCAGCATAGCATTTCATTACAGTAAGAACACTGCAAAACACAACAGCAACACAACAGTAAAATAATTCAATATACAGCATTATTGGTAAATAGAGTTAATAAATAAAACATTCGCTAAAGGTTTTATTGAGATGTGTTGTTGTTGTTGTTGGTGATTGGAAGGGTTTTGGCCAGATTGAGCATCTTCACATGGACAAAGAGAAATGAAGACCAGTCTAAAATCATTTTAAACCTACAACTCAATATTATAGTGCATTTCAGACTTTTTAAAGACTAAAATGTACATTTCTGACAATACAAAGACATTCCCCTGACATAAAATATGCCCAAAAACACAATAAAACCCATTAAACACCAATAAAATCCAATGCAAACATCATATTTTACCCAATAAACTAATAATAATAATTCCTTACATTTATATAGCGCTTTACTGGACACTCAAAGCACTTTACACATTGGGAGGGATCTCCTCATCCACCACCAGTGTGCAGCATATTGCGCCAGACTGCACACCAGTAAATGATAAAGCTAATTATGATATGGGGATGGTTAGGAGGCCATGATGGACAGAGGCCAGTGGGCAGATTTAGCCAGGATGCCAGGGTTAAACCCCTGATCGTTTACCAAGGACATCCTGGGATATTTAATGAGCACAGAGAGTCGGGACCTCGGTTTAACATCTCATCCGAAAGAAGACGCTCACTAAGCAGTATAGAGTCCCTGTCACTATACTGGGGCATTAGGACCCACACAGACTGCAGATTGGGCGCCCCCTGCTGGCCTCACTAACACCACTTCCGGCAGCAACCTAGCTTTCCCATGTGGTCTCCCATCCAGGAACTAAGCAGGTGCAGCTCTGCTTAGCTTCACTTGGCGACCATGTGAGAGTTGCAGAGAGCTAGCTGCCAGCTAGCTAGTTAAACTAGTACATATTTTAGTGGAAACCATTAAAACTGTAATGGTTACTATTTGTGTGTGTGTGTGTGTGTGTGTGTGTGTGTGTGTACAATAATTCCACATTTGTATCTTTTCATTTAATTCTGCAAACTGAAGAGAGATTTCATCATCATCATCAGCATCATCATCAGCAGAATGAAGCCAGTTTGTGTCTCACCTTCCTCTTGATGAGCGGGAAACCGTGAACAGCGGTGGCCTTATGCATGCTGGGAGCTGAACATGAAGTTTGGGGTTTGTGTGAGACTGAGGTTTCACATCTGACAGAGTTTCGCTTGACAAAGACAGAAAACAGGATATAGTTAGTGTGTGTGTTCATTTCACACCGCTCGTGTGAAACTGCAAACACAAAAACAACAGTCAGTATTACTGCAGGGACTGACTGATACAGAAGCAGCTGATAATAATGCTGACTCTCATTTTACTGACAGTAAACAGATAAACTATCCACGCTCTGAGATATTCATGGTGTTCCTCCAGGGTCAGTGTTGGGTCCTCTTTTATTTATCATTTATATTTGACGTCTAGGTCGTATATTTGGATCTTAAGGCATTAATTTTCATTTTTTGCAGATGATACACAAACGTATCTATCTACAAAACCTACATCCTCTCACTCCCCTTCTGACCTTACTAAATGTCTACAGCAGGGGCTCCTAAACCTTTCAGCTTGTGACCCCTAAAATTACAATTCCAGTGAGTCGCGACCCCAACTATTCTCGCAGGTGGTTATAAACATACAAACATTGCACACAACAGTGCACACACACCAATAGGAACTATAAAAATGAGCTTATTGACAACACTAAAAGTGCAACAGTCAAACAACTATATATATATATATATATATATATATATATATATATATATTTCATAATCATTATTAATTTGTTTAATTTAATATAAACCTGACTTAATGAACATGGTGGGCACAGTGTTTACACCACAAGACTGGTCATGGTTTAATTATGGAGACCGCCACTTGGTGATGGTCCTCGATGTTCAGTCGTGGCCTTTATTTTTAATGTACGCGAGTGCCGTAAAGGTGTCAAAGTGTAACATTGTGCTGTAATATCTATCTGCTGCAACTAACACCATTGCTTTGTCAATAATCTAGCGTAATAACTCCAGGGGTTGCAATCCGATGAGAAAAGAATTAGAAGTCTGACGGCTTTTTGCATGTTGTTTTTCATGTAACTATCAAATACTATTGATAACTTCTGTAGGATATGGAGAAAACACGGTAATTCTAATAGTTTAATATCACCCCCCCTCATTGTCTCTCGACCCCTGGGACAGGCGTCACCAATCCTGGTCCTGGAGGGCTGGTGTCCCTGCAGGGTTTAGCTCCAACTTGCCTTAACACACCTGCCTGGGTGTTTCAAGTATACCAAGTAAGAGCTTGATTAGTTTGTTCAGGTGTGTTTGATTAGGGTTGGAACTAAAATCTGCAGGACACAGGCCCTCCAGGAACAAGTTTGGTGACCCCTGCCCACTTTGGGAACCATTGGTCTACAGGACATTAATATATGGACTTATAATCTTTTAAAGTTAAATGTCAGTAAATCTGAAGGCCTTCTGGTTGGCTCTAGGTCAGTTTTATCCAAAGCTCAATCTTTTACCCTGTTCACTGATAACTCCCCAGACAATATCTCAACCCATGTCCAAAGTCTAGGGGTTATACTGGATGCTATGCTCTCGTTGGCTCTCATATAAGTAATATCTCATGTTCTGCCTTTTTTTTATTTGCGTAACATTGCAAGACTTTACTCTCCATGTTTCCCAGTACAGTGCATTCGCTGAATAAAGCATATGCTGGAGTAGTTCATTCCACTGTGGCTACCTCTGCAATAAAGACTAAGCTGAAGGCAAATGAATGAATGAATTTCCAGCAGCTGTGTGATCTTGACTATACTGCAGTATTGTCTTTTACAGAACTGAGTCTCCAGGTTAATGAGGATCTGAAACGTCTCATGATGTCTGTTCCTGATTTGACAGTGTTATGAAGAGCTGACTCTGTGCTGCTCTCAGTACCTGTTTATCCTCCTCCTCCACCTCCTGGAAGGGGTTAAAGGTCGGGGGTCGGTGGCGGGAATAAACTGGAACTGGAGGAAGATGATACCAGGGGCCCGGATTAACCAGCTTTAACCAGGGATGATCCTTTGGCACGGCTCTCTGAGGTGGAGCTGAAACCAGAAACACACAGCAGAAATAAAACACGCATTATCACCAGAGCCAGAGGGAATATGAGGACAGTTTCTGCTATTATTGTGCAGAATTTAGTTGATTTAAAAATGATAGAAACTAAAAACTTAAAATGTTTAATAAATTATATATATATATATATAAATATAATGACGCTAAGAACACTTCTGAAACTTGAATAACACTGTTATTCAATGGCACAGCCAGATCCTGATTCAAACCCAATTGAGCATCTCTGGAGAGATCTAAAAATGGCTGTGCACCAATGTTTACCATCCAACCTGACAGAAATGGAGAGGATCTGCAAGGAGGAATGGCAGAGGATCCCCAAATCCAGCTGTGGAAAACTTGTTGCATCTTTCCTGAAAGACTCACGGCTGTATCAGATCAAAAGGAGGCTTCTGCTAAACACTGAGCAAAGGCTCTGAATACTGAGATAAGCTTAAACATGAGCTTAAATGATTTCAGAAAATGGCAGCAATATAACAAAGAGTGAAGGATGTAAGGGGGTCTGAAGACTTTTCGTGCCCACTGTATACGCCACATGAAGTCAAACAAGCCTGAAGTTACTAACCGTTTTCAGGGCAGTGGTCATGTGATCTGGGGGCAAGGCAGGGATGGTCCTGAGGCTCCGCCCTTTTTCTTGGAGCAGGTCTGGGAGGTGTTTGTACATCAGACTCTGATGAGGAGGAGGAGAGACGGCCATCACTCACATCTTCATCTGTCTCTCCTCTGTCTCCTTCTGTCTCTCCATCGATTCTGTCTGTCTGCTTTCCGTTTCTGTCTGTCTCGCCATGGTTTCTATCTGTCTCTCCTCTGTCTTTTTCTGTCTTTCCACCATTTCTGTCTGTCTTTTCCCCAATTCTGTCTGTCTCTCCACCGTTTCTGGCCATCTCTCCTCTGTCTCCTTCTGTCTCTCCACCGTTTCTGTCAGTCTCTCCACTGCTTCTGTCTGTCTGATGTTGTGATTGTCGATCGTGGAGTAAAACAGCTTGTTGGTCAGTTCCGGGTGAATCTGAGAGACATACTTCACTCATCTTTTCTACAATCTCTCCATCCGCCTCTCCTCTGTCTCTCTCCGTCTCACAGGTGTTTGTGTGTGAGTGTTCTGTGTGTTCTGTGTGTTCACCAGCAGGTTTACACTGGTAACTACACCTCAGTGACCCCGTCTCACTGTGTTCAGTGAAAGACATCGGCAGCAGAGAGCGACGGCAGACACTGCATCTGAAACACACACAAAACACAATCAGGACAGTCAGGAGCATGTGTGTGAGAGAAAGAGAGAGTGTGTGCAGGCAGATTTAGCTGTGTGTGTGTGTGTGTGTGTGTGTGTGTGTGTGTGTGTGTGTGTGTGTGTGTGTTTTACCTGAAGCAGGAGCGGTGATACAGGCGTCCCTTCACCAAAACTCTCTGAATGAGATGAACGTGTGTGTGACAAACTCTACACACACTTCTGTCTGAAGACCTGATCACATCTGAAGAGAACAACTGACAGACAGAAGAGAGGGAAGAATTAGACAGAGGGAGAGAGATGGAGGGAGGGACACATGAAAAGACAGACAGACAGAAAGAGAGAGAGATGGACAGACGGATAGAAAGAGATGGATGGACAGATGGACAGACAGACAGACAGACAAATGGATGGCAGACAGATGGACGGACAGAGATATAGGCAAACAAACTGACGGAAAGACAAATGAACAGATTTAAGTAAGAACTAAGAGATGGATGGAGAAAGACAGATGGAGGGACAGACGCAGGGACAGCAGACAGATGGACAGACAGAGAGACAGACAGCAGATGTGTAGACAGACAGATGGATGGACAGACAGACAAATAGATGGCCAGACACAAAGAAATGAACAGACAGTAAACTAACAGAAAGACAGGTAGACAGACTGACAGAAGGATAGAGAGACGAATAAACAGCCAGACAGGCAACCAGACAGATGGACAACAGATTGACATGTAGATGGAGACAGACAGACAGGCAGATGGACAGCAGACAGGGAGACAAAGACAATCAAAGACAGACGGAAATACAGATGGATAGATAGACAGGCAGATAGACAATAGACTAACAGACAGACAGGCAAACAGAAGGACAGGCAGGCAAATGGACAGACAGACAGGCAGATGGAAAGACAGATAAACCGCAGATGAACAGAGAGACAGGCTGATGGACAAACAAGTGGAAAGACAGGCAGATGGAGAAAGACAGACGGACAGCAAATGAAGAGACAGAAAGACAGGCGAAAATACTGATAACTAGATAGACAGAAAGATAACTTACTGATAGATAGACAAATGGGCAGCAGACTAACAGACAGACAGGCAGATGGATAGATAAAATGAAAGACAAATGGACAGACAGATGGACAGCAGACAGACAGGCAGATGGAGAGATAGACGAACAGCAGGTGAACAGAGAGACAGGCAGACGGAAAGACAGACAGACAGACAGACAGACAGATAGACAGATAGACATACAGATGGACAGACAGATGAACAGCAGACAGACAGGCAGATGGAGAGACAGGTAGAAATAGAGAGCAAACTAATAGACAGCAAACAGGCAGATGGAGAGAGACAGATGGACAGACAGACAACCTGATGGACAGCAGACAGACAGACAGGCAGGCTGACAGATACCCAAGTGTTTGCTCTGGTTCTGTAAGGTTCATCCTCCATGTGGTTCTTCTGAGTGTCTGATCAGATCAGAGATTGTCAATCAGTTACAGTCAGACATTTGAGTGATGAAGAGCATGTGAGATCTTCAGTGTTTAACAGTCTTTCGAGATTTTTACCATCAGATCTTCCACTGAACACACAGTAGAGCTGAGAGACGTACGTGATGATGGACAGCAGATCCGGCTCCTCACACAGCAGCTCATCCGGATCCAGAAGAGCAGGAACACCCAGCTCACGCTCCGCAACACTGAACGCCTGAGAAACACACACACACACACACACACACACACACACACACACACACACACACACACACACACACACACACACACACACACAAACAAACACAAACCAGACAGACCAGAGCTTCCATCACAGGTGCAGACATGACCCAAACACAATGAAGATGACTCTCTGGAGCAAACGTCTGAGGCGTGTTTACTGTTAGAATAAAACTAAGCTCTACTGAGTCTTTTCTGAACAGAGTCTTCCAGTTCACATGTCATACATCAACATCTTCATCAACAGAAACTCACCAGACGCATGTTCGCTCCGGCCTTGTGTTTGGACAGAGAGTGGAAATCTCTGCAGAGAGAAACAGATGCTTCAGATACACATTTAGATTTGAACAAATTCTGAAGCAGAAAACATGAGATGGTAAAAACAGAACCTGCTAGCACTTTATATTTGCAATTATTTAGACTTCACAAAGTCCTCATCCATCCTCAATTTAAAGTAGTGCTGCATGGTATTGAAAAAACTGACATTGCAATAGTTTATTTTTCTACAATATACAGTTGAAGCCAGAAGTTTACATACACTCTAAAAAAAGGAACATAACTATTTTTTTAAATGTCTAATGGTAAATGATACTAAACTTTTACTATTTTAGGTATTTAATGCTAGAATAATTATAGATTTTTTGATTAATTTCTAGAGTGAAACGCTTACATTTCCTTGGTACTTTTTAGTTTTGCTTTTAAACTGTATAACGTTGGTCAAGTGTTTTGCATCTTCTTCCACAAGCTTCTCACAATAGTTTGCAGGAATTTTGGCCCATTTGTCCTGACAGAATTGCTGTAACTGAGTCAGATTTGTTGGCTGTCTTGCTCGCACAAGCTTTTTAATTTCTGCCCACACATTCTCTATAGGATTGAGATCAGGGCTTTGTGATGGCCACTCCAAAACATTCCCTCTGTTGTCTTCAAAGCACATTTGAACTAATTTGGAAGTGTGCTTCGGATGATGGTCTGTTTGGAAGACCCATTTGTGGCCAAGTTTTAATTTCCTGGCTGATGTCTTGAGATGTTCTTTCTTCATGATGCCATCTATGCTGTGAAGTGGACCAGTCCCTCCTGCAGCAAAACAGCCTCACAACATGAAGCTGCCGCCCCCATACTTCACAGTTGGGATGGTGTTCTAGGCTTGTGTGCTTTCCTCTTTGTCCTCCAAATGTATCACTGGTCATTACAGTTCAGTCTTAGCTCCATCAGAGCACAGGACACGTCTCCAAACATTAATGTTTTCCCAGTGTCATTTAGCAGATTCTAATCTCTTTGTTGTTGATTCTGGCTTGTTGATTTTCCCATGTTGTCACACAAGGAAGCAGTGTGTTTAAGCTTTTCCTTAAATACTATTCTACAGTTGTGCCTCACATTAACTCAAATGTTGTCAGATAAACTTCCAAAACCTTCACAAAATCATCTGAGCTTTTCCAGAGGCAGAATAATCTTATTGTGTGCAAACTTGACTTTCAAGAAGAGTTAGAACAATTTCTCAACAAATCTCTCTCTAATTATTCTGCTATTAAGCAGAACAGAAACACAAATGATCACATCCTAACTTACCTAAATGAGAAAAAGTTTAGTCACGTTAACATCTGACCTTTTTGTGATGGTTATAAGCCTTTTTATCCAGTGTGTGTAAACTTCTGCTTTCAACTGCATATTGTGATACTTAATAGATAATTTCACCAGATGAAATGAATATGTCTATTTTGGAAAGAATTAATAATTTTTGATACATTGGGATGACTTTGTAAGGGAGTGCATGTACAAACACTATAATAAATCAAACACACACAGTGAGAAATATAGTACAGCAACAACACTGAGCAAACTAAATATACAGTGCTATATGATTTTCTGGAAGTCTAGCAATATTTAGATGCACAAATTTAATAATCCAATGTAAAATAATACCATACATTATACATTTACATAAATGCAATTAATTTTAAATATTTATTAATTAGTTAAAAGTGTAATTTAATTGCCTGAAAATGTTTAAACTGAATCAAATAATATAAACACACATAAATAATAAATGTTTTGGTAACTTCACGGTTAATTGCTGCAAAAACTCTACAAATCATGAGTGATTTCCAAAATCTGCTCAATAATAATGCAGATTCAACATTGCTGATCCTGTGATGTGACAATATCAATGCTGAAGCGATATATTGTGCAGCTCTACCATAAAATATACAATCATATTGATGAGGCTGTGAAATGTTTATTGTTTAAGATATTTATTGATTATATGATTTAGGGTTGTGCAATGTCAACCAATTTGGCATTGTATGATGTCTAATGTGAAACATCACGATGGACGATCCAGCGCTTTTTATATTATAAAACATGGTTATAAAATATAGACCAAGTAAATGTAATGCACTACAATTTAATTGTTTTAAAAAGTTATAAAATTGCAAAATAATGATGTACAAGCTGTTATCCCTAAAATGGTAAACTGATGTTATCACTTTACTGTACTTTACTACTAAACACAAGCTATTGTTAAAGTTCATAAAACCCATGATAGACCAAATTGGTGTACTGATATTTGAATAACTGTAATGTTTTTTCTTTTGAGCTAGTTTTATCTCTTGTCTTCTATAAGATGCTCATATAATCTATCTCTGTATGAATAATCTGTAGACTGAGTGCTGTTTAATTCTTACAGTAGGTCCGGTCTGTGTTTGTGGATGATCGCACAGAAGGCCAGTCCATCAGTGAACGAGGAGCTCATGTCTGAGATCTGGACATCACTGTAACCTTCACAAACACCTCGACACCAGTCCTGAAGAGAAAACACTGAACACATGACCGCTTTAGTACAGGCAGGCTCTGCTTTTAGAGCTCCAGTAACACGAGAAGGCACTTCTGCAAGATGCTGTAAGAGCGTATAACGGGACATCGATCCACCGGGTCGTTCATCGGGTTCAGGTGGGTTCCCAGTTTCGCTGTTTACAAACTTGCAAAGACGTTTTCTGTCATGAATACGCCATCTGCTCCATCAGAACTCAGATTTTTAAAATAAATTGTCAGATGTTTATCGCTGGGTGTCCAACATCTCCGTTTGACAAGTGAACTTTTTAATAAGATCAAACCGATCGCGACCAAAGTAAACAAAAACAAACAAACAGAAATCCAAACACTTGCGCTGAAAATCCAACAGATGAACTCATGTCCTCATGATTAAGAAGTAATCATTCACCAGAAAACCCTTTAAAATGAAGCAATCTACAAACACAAGCATGCTGCAACACGAGCATATAAGGTGGATTTCCTTCTGCGAGGTTTGAGTAGAGTGAACGACTAAACATAGTAGCTGTAGTTGTGCGCATGCGCGACACACACACACACACACACACACACACACACACACACAGACACACACACACACACACGTTTCATTCAGGATACAGGATATCAAACCACGGTGATTTGGTGATCTGGCCTATTTTCTCTAATAACTAAACACTGAATGTGAAAAAGGTGAATGCATTAAACTGTCTAATATTAATCATTTCATCATGGACAATATTAACACTGGGCGTTATCTTAATCATTTTTATCGGTCTTTGGGTCTGTCACAAGATGCCGCTGTTTTTTATGACGTCACAGCGCCTCCTTCTGGAGACAAACAGCAAGAGCGTTTGCTTTAAAAGTGAAAGTGAAAGTAGATTTAGATAATAATAATGTAGAGCATCCCCTTAAGACCAGATTGGATATTTATTTTTAATCTCTGCAGGGATGAACAGATACTTTGGGAACACAACTGGATCAGAAACTGAAGCTGAAGACTCAAGGACATTTTAAAGCACTGTTTAACTTGCAGCTATGAGATAGAAAAGCAGCAAGTTACCTTTTATAGAAAGTCGCAAACTCATGTATTGTTAAGAGTTTGTAAAAATAATTTTACCGCATAATGTAGCAACAAATATAAAATCTACATCTTAATTCTGAAAGCAAACCTGAAGTCATACCTGAAAGCTGCTGCCATTCTCTGTATGGTTAAGTCTTCATCTTCTGAGGTTAAAATAATTATTCAGTGTTTTTTTCTGGCTTTATAAAGACCTTTAAGCACCAGTCTTTCATGAAATCACATGATCAGAATGATCAGTTCACATGTAAATGAATTCATTTTATAATCATTTGGTCATAACTTACAATAGGGTTTCATTAATTAATATATTTATTAAGATTAACTAATGAACGATGCTTTTACAGCATTTACTAATGCATTATAATATAATAATAATGCAAATTCTCCCTTGTTAACATAAATGCAGTGTGAATTAACATGAACTGTATTTCCATTAACAATAGATGTGTTGTTCACATAATTACATAACTAACATTAACTAATGGAAACTTACTGCAGTGTTACTAAACTATTGATATTTAAACACTGCCATACTCACTATAGGATTAAACATGACTAATCTGATATAAATCAGTAAGTGAATGAACACCATTAGCATATAAAATCTCTGACTACATCATAAATATACTGATGGGGTCAGATTTCAGTCTTCAAATTCATCACAGAAAGGATCAAAGTTTCCCCTTTTCCTCATTACTGTATTAACATGATCATTTTAATCAGTATTTAATCTTTGAAATCATTTTGACCAACGATATATATATATTATATATATTAAACATTACCTAATTTCAGAATATAATATAATAGGAATGTTTATTTGGAGTGTGTTTTTCCCTATCTGTCAAAACTCTATTTTCAAGAGTTCCCAAATTAGGTCAGAGGTCATGAGACCTCCAGTAGACCCGGACTCTTAAAGAATTGGAAACAACTATTGTTATTTGCTAATTTTTTTAAGTTAGAGCTGCCTACAAACTCTTTGTGAGTGTTAAAGCTGGCTTTTGCTGATGAAACTGCAAACCATCTTCAGTGCTTTCTTTTTAATTCAATCTCTGAGTAGCACAATTGCCTCTTAGCAAGAAGGTCGCTGGTTAAAGTCTCGGCTGGGTCAGTTGGTGTTTCTGTGTGGAGTTTGCATGTTCTCCCCGTGTTGGTGTGGGTTTCCTCCGGGTGCTCTGGTTTCCCCCACAGTCCAAACACATGCGCTATAGGGGAATTGGGTAAGCTAAATTGTCTGTAGTGTATGAGTGATTGAGTGAATGAATTGCAGCTGGAAGGGTATCTGCTGCCTAAAACATATGCTGGATAAGTTGTCGGTTCATTCCACTGTGGCGACTCCAGATTAATAAAAGGACTAAGCCAAAAATAAAATGAACGAATTAATGAATCTCAGACTTCGTCTCTTCTTCATCTGACAGACTTTTGGGTCAAACTGTATAATAACCCTACAATATCATCTTATAGTTTCTCCTCTACAAACGTTTTTTTTATATTTCTTACTGCTGACCAAACTTGTATAAACATTCACCATGTTGTTTTATATGAAACATACCATGGGTAACATGAAATATCTATTTCTGAATGGAAAGAGTTATTAAATACTTAATCTTTGCAAATAAACCAATAGCAAAATAAAGTATATTTTAATAGAAAAGCCTTGACTTGGTCAGAATGCGTTAATATGTCTCAAAACTAGCATAAGCACAATTATGCCTCTCTAAATTGTAAAATTATCATTCCCTTCAGGTTTATTTGTATAGCCCTTTTTACAATAATTATTGTTTCAAAGCAGCTTTACAAAAGGTGCACATTATTGCATTACAAAGTTATGTGCTGTCCATGAAGACCTCAGTGGTTGGCATCATCTCGTTGGGAGCTCGATTATTTAGAGCTTTATAGGTGAGAAGTAATATTTTAAATTCAATACGAAACTGAACAGGCAGCCAGTGTAAAGAGGATAAGATTGCGGTGATATGATAATCTTTTCTAGATCTGGCTGCTGCATGTTGTACTAGCTGAAGTTTGTTAATAGAGGATGCTGGACAGCCAGCAAACAGAGCATTACAGTAATCCAGCCTAGAAGTCATAAAAGCATGGACTAGCTTTTCTGCATCAGAGATGGATAGCATACTTCATTATTGAGTTTCATGTACATGAAGCCTAGCATGTGATTTAATCATGGCCAGTGGTTCCACATGATTACACCACATCATATTAACAGCACTATGTGTTTAACAAGCTGAAAATAGTTGTTCATTGAACAGAAATACTTGGAAGTTCAACAAAAACATGAATTGAAGTAGAATAAAAATACTGAAATCATGTTCAATCAACATCACCGGTCCATGTTAGATGAACACAAGTATTTTAAGCTGGTTTAACATCATCCAGTGTTGTTAAGATGAAGTAGTGTAATCATGTAGAACCACTGTCCAAGATTAAATCAAGTTAAAACGCAAGTGTTGGGTAACATTAGAACCCCTATTAAAACATTGTGTGATTTTAGACACAAATAATATTTAGTTGGAGCTGCACATCTTTGGATTTGTTCTCCAGTGTTTTGGCTTTCAGCAGGGACGTTTACAGCATTACACTGAAATGAACTGAACTTCAACTGAGACATTCATACTAAACTCAACTGAATCAATGTTAAGTTATCCATCATACTACACTACTCTCAACCCTGCCTGAAGTGCTGGAATACACAGCCTGAAATATTGTTAATGACTTTGATATGATACAACTTTCCCGTTGATCCTTGTAAAGAAGCTGGCACCATCAACATCATAGGTCTCAAACTGGATTCCTGGAGGGCCGCAGCTCTGCAGTTTTGCTCCAACCCTAATCAAACACAGTTGACCAAACTAATCAAGATGTTCAAATGAGTGTTGCACACTTTGATTATTTGGATCAGCTGTGTTTGATTGGGGTTGGAGCAAAACTGTGCAGAGCTGCAGCCCTTCAGAAACTGAGTTTGAGACCTATCATCTACACAATACAAGTGGTAAAGAAATAAACATGACTTGATACCTGCTAGAATTAAAATGGTCTCTGTGGATGTTCTTGTGTTGAGGTAGTTATGTTATTAAAGCCACGAGACAACGACTTACTGCAAAATCTGCTTATTTATTAAGCGTACACACACATAGTTCTCCCAGCTCAAGGAACATGCATCACTGCTAACTCCACGATCTGCAACTCTTAACTGGAAACAAAGTTTCCATAAGACAATCACAGATGCCATGACGCTTCCTGAAAAAAACAAAAACAAACAGAACATATGATTAAACCTTTAGCTGATAGAATTAAGAAATGACATTAAAGTTGAGCAGGCACTCATCATTATATTGATTAAAATCTCAGTTTATTGAAAAAAAATCCCTAAATGACTTACAAAATTGGACCATAATAAAGAATGAAGTGACATCTACATTTTACTTAATATGTGTGAATAAAAAAATAGCATCTAACATGTTATATGTGCTACACAGATGTAGACAAACTTGTTGGTACCCATCTATTGAAGGAAAAACTACAGTAGTGACTGAAATAACTGGACTATGTAAAGATTAATCAGAAATGACTGAAAATAAATGAATGAAAAGTGCATATTGCTTAACAGAAGTCAGACCCCTAGTTTTTCATGATTCTGCAATCACTGAATCCAGCGCAAAAAAGAAAAAAAAAAAAGTTGCACATTTTCACGAAATTCTTAATTCAACGCAAAGTAATGGCAAAAACAATGTAAATAATCTTATAAAACATCCGATTCCAAACCATATAATCAAATGATACTCATTTCAATATGCAATAAATTGTTTTGCGTGACTTATAGATGTGCATACGCAGCGCACATGATGTATTTGTGTGTCTCTCGAATAATGACTACTCACCTGCGCCCTCACAATCATTACATTACATGGAGGGGGCAGGGGGGAATTGTTATGCAGCCTGTGCAGTGAGCAGATGCAGATGAAGCGCGAGTGATTTACATGTGAAGTCAATGCAATGATTGGATTAGGCATTCTGTGGCGCAAATTGGGCATTTTGTGCGTTTGACGTGCTTCAGACTGCAAAAGAAAGTTGGAAACATCTAAAAAAATGGAGCAGTGGAACAGACAGAGCAGCAAGCAGCTTACACAGATTGAGATTGGTTTGAAGGATTCGGATTTCTACCTTCAAATCTATCTCACCGTAAATCAACGTTTATCCTTTTTCTCAGCATCCTGTTTCTCATTACTCTTATTGAATATAATTATTCGATTATTTGAATGAGTATTTAACTTTGAAATTGATTTGAACCAATGAATAAGTAACCCACTGCCTTATGTAAGCATGTTCAGTGTCCTTGCTCTGTTCCTTTTAACTATTTTCAGGAGACACACAAACCAGGTCATGGATACCTCTCTCTCTCTCTCTCTCTTTGTCCCTCCGAATAAAATTACTGATGCAGAGGAAGGGAAAAACACCTGCTCTATTTGTCATGATACTGTCTACAGTAATTTAGCTGTTTTGATTGTAAAATCTTAAAGTAATTCCTTTTTCTGCTAGATAGACTTTGTGTGTCGTGAGGATATTGTAGCCGAATGTTGATGGAACCAGTCTTAAACCAGTTTGATAAAACAGCTGAACATAAGAGAAACAACCTTGAGTTTCCACAACAGATTGGCTCTTGCGTCTATTGCCTCCATGGTTTAGCGTTTTACAGGTCGGCGATCAGCTCTTAATAGTTTAGAGTCTGCCTGACCCCCAAGAACCATGCCGCCATCCATATCTGGAGTAAGATACAATTCTTTCTTGGCGCACACATTTAGGCCATCCATATCTAGAAGTAGATACAATACTTCACTGACACACACAATTACAATTGTCTATTTTTACTGTAACCAATGAGAACTGTTTACTTGGATCCCACCTTCTCTGGACTTGTGTAAAGAGTATAGTTGCTGCACTGTTGAACTGTAAGGCAGATCGGCCTGCAAACTCCGCTTGAGTGTGAAGCCCTTCTGCCATAGAGCTGCAAACTGTCTTCAGTAAATTTTTCATTTTTAATTGCATCTTTGACTCTGAGTCTTCTCCTGATCTGACACACCAGACTTTATCTTCAACTGTTTATCTCAGGCGGTACTCACACTATGTGCAGTCGCCTTGAACAGGGCCAAAGCACGCTCGATCCCCCTCCCGTGTCCCCCGACGGCCCGTACTCGCATTACATTCGGGCCTGGGCACGCTAACGTCATCAATGAAGCGCTGTTCAGTTTAACAGAAGAGAAGCGCTCTCGCTGAGCACCGTGGAGATTTCTTTAGTTGTATTGTTTAAGGGATGCAGTCACACGCAGTCAAATATTTCACTGAACAGATCAGCCACTTTTGAACAAAAACAACCATAAAGCCCTCATACTGCAGGAGTTAGGAGGTTTGCTGAAGGTGCAGTGAGAGGTTTGCGTCTTTAATAAACTACGGCAGTGTGTGTTCACTGAACGGTAAGAATGATTAATAAATCCATATCAAACAGTATCGCTTTCAGTTTCAGGCTCAGGTGCGTTTTGCACTCACACTACAAGCGTACAGCGCTAAAGCCCAAGTGAACCGCGCTCAGGCACACCTCTTTCAATCGGGCATTGCCAACCAAGTGAACCGTGCTTGAGCCCAATTCAGCGCACTCACACTTCTCAAACGATCCGGGAAATGGGCCTGGGCACAGTTCAGATAGCATAGTGTGAGTAGGCCCTTAAACCCCAACAGGTTTAAGGATGATGGCTGCTGGACGTGAACGCATTAAAGGACATTATTTGTGCTTTACATGTATGACTGGTACTTTTATGTGTGTAAAATTGATAAATGATTTAGTTTAACTCTTTCCTTGCAGTTACCGAAGGAAAACACTTCCCTGCTATTGACCAGTTTTACTGCAATCCGTGTTTTAGGTGTAATGCGGTAGAGGAAGCCTTAACACATGTCCTGAGAGAGGTGCATGTCAGACGCTCCTCGGAGTGAAATCTGAGAGAAGGTAAGATTGTGGATAAAATAAAAGTTATACAACCTTCCTTTGGCTTAATCGCTACCGTTTTAGATGTCTCAACAAGAGATCAAAATAATGAAGCTTTATTTTTATGATTTGTGTCATTGTGTCAGATTGCACACCTAACATAATAGGCTACCTAATATAGTAAATAAGACAACAATTTTGGTCCACATCTGTATGCATAAAAGTGTTGTATTTAAGGCAAGCATATTATACATACATAGTTTAATCACCTAAAAATGAACAGTAATCCCTCCAGTTCTACATTTAAATTTACTACATAACTATTACAAGCGAGGTCTACATGCGAATATTTGAGAAGTACTGTATCTGTCATCATCACACGACCTACCTGCAGTTGTGTTGCTGCACTCCCATTCATGAATTCTCTTGTGCTGCATTATGGCAGGGGTGGGCAAACTCGGTCCTGAAGGGCTGGTGTCCTGTACAGTTTAGCTCCAACTCTAATCAAACACACCTGCTTATTGACCTTATTCTTCAATGCAGAAGTGCGCCTGTTTTTGCATTTGTTTTAGAACGTCCAATTCAGTAGCATATGGGAGAAATGACTAAGAACAATAATCAGGAGAAAACTATCAAACTACTCGCTCTACAAACAAATGTTTGCATGACAATACAGACAAAATAAATAATATAGTAGAAAAAATATCAGTTTGCAACATCAAGCAGCAGAACGCTGCTGTTTTTAATGTCTAAATGTGAATGAAAAAAAAATTTACTAATGTTTTGCTTCTTACACTTTCTTTACACACCTGAAACTTGCCTACAGCACTTATTCATTATTGCTCTTATAGTTGTGTCCTCATTTGTAAGTCACTTTAGATAAAAGCGTCTGCTAAATGACTAAATATAAATGTAAATGAATGGAAGTGAGATCGGAAGTCTCCAGCCAACATGATTAAAATGGCTGCGCCCCCTCGTATGCGGAGAATAAGGTGAATAGATTTCTAGTGATCTTGAAGACACTGATTAGCATGTTCAGGTGTGTTTGATTAGCGTTGAAACTAAACTGTGCAAGACGCCGGCACTCCAGGACAGAGTTTGCCCACCCCTGCATTATGGGATAGCATGGCTACGTCTGTGGTTTTCAGATGTTCAGAGATTCTGTAAGCAAAACAGTTTGCTTATGATTATAAAGGAAACAGTCCAAAATAAGAACATTACTGAACGTGTAAAAAGTAGAGGGAGCTCACCTGATCATCATGCAGCAGTAATTAGTGAAGTACCCCACTCAGATCTACTGATGTGCTGAATAATGCTGCCTGAGAAGGAGACATGTACCATGAAGTACCCACACAATCTCACAGTGTAAAATAAACAGTTTATAATAATAATATTGTACCTTTTTTGGTCCCGCCTATGGTCTCTGTTAGTGTCATCTCTTCAGCATGTCATCTTCTGCTGTGAGACACTGTCTTACAGCACTTTTCAGCTGGAGCTGCATTTCTATCTCAAGCCGGTGTATGAATTTCTCATGCTGAAGTATGTAGCAGCTGTTTGCTCACCCTTTCTTGTGTCTCTGAATCCTTCTTTCTGATGTTGAGTTGACCTTACTCATCTTTTTTCATGCTCTCAAATTCATCTTTTTCTATTTTTTCCTTTTTTATCTAGTTCCTCTCGAGTGTCATCAAATCTTCTTGCAACAGCAGCACCAGCTGCAGCACCAGCTGCAGCAGCACCAGCTGCAGCAGCACCAACAGAAGCACTAACAGCAGCACCAAGTCCAGCAGCAGCAGCAACACCAACAGCAGGTGCAGCAACAACAGCTGCAGCAGCAACAACAGGTGCAGCAATAACAGCTCCAACAGCAGCTCCAACGACAGACAAAACACCATTCCACATAGATCCAAAGGTTTTTACATCTTGCCTGACTCTGTCCTTATTTTCCAGTGATTTATCCTCTGCTCTGACTCTCTCCTCTGCTACCTTCTTCGCTCTCTCAATCTCCTCTTGTAATTGTTTCTCTAGTTGTTTTCTCTTCTCTTCTTCTCTCGGTCTCTGCTCCTCTTCTTCCTCTTGTCTGGCTCTCTGAGCGTCTTCATACATCTGGTTAGTGTAGTGTCCTCCTCCATTCTGCTGTATCATTGAGTCAATCTTCTGCAGTAGATCCTCCACCTGCTCTCTGTTATTCTCATCTCTGTTGTTGAGCACATGATATCTGCCTCCACACTGCTGGACTACAGATCTTAATCTACTGTTCTCCTCTATCAGCTTCTCTACAGACTCTCCATCCAGCTGATCTCCATGAGTGAAGAGAATGATGGAGTATTTCAACACCTCCTGACCAAAGATAATCTCAATCATCTGAGGAATCAGCTGCTCCTGTTCAGTGAATCTCATGTTGAGAGGAAACACAATGAGGAAAGCGTGAGGTCCAGGACTGGAGATATACACACTTCTGGCGATCTCCATCATTAACTCTTCAGGTTTCATCTGTGTGTCGAATAATCCAGGAGTGTCGACTACAGACACAGATCTGCCTGAAACTGTGGCCTGAGCTGCTGAACAAATGCGGGTTACTGAATTCATCCTCATCACAGATACAAACTCTCTCTGTCCCAGGATTGTGTTTCCAGCTGCACTTTTACCAACACCAGATTTACCCAGAAGAACAATCCGTCTGGAGGGGAGACCAGAGACACGAGAGACTGGCTCAATATTTCCAGGTTGATTTCTCCTCAGTGGATTAAGCTCCAGCATATCTGCTCCTGAAGTATAAAAAAAGTAAAACAGAAATTGAACACCATTTTAAACTTTTCATTGCAAATAATGCTCATTTAAATGTGTCAATAATTTTAACTGGTGCATGGGTAGGTGAGCATATTAACCTGACATTGGAGAAGTTGCATTGGCTGCTTGTAAAGAATTGCATATATTTAAATTTTTTATTAATAGCTTATAAGGCTCTGCATAAACTTGAGCCACAATATCTGACTGACCTCTCGAACACTTTACACCCTACCAGAAATTTACTGTCTTCTCAGTGTGGTCTCCTGGTTGTTCCTAAAACTCATCTGCAATTCAAGGGTGCTAGGGCTTTTCATTATGGTCCAAAACTCTCTCCATGCTGACATTGGGAATGCAAAGTCTTTTACTATTGTAAATCTTTACTTAAATCATTTTTGATTAAGATTGCCTTTAATTTATCAGTCTTCTTTAATCTGTTTTTAATCTTTCATTATTGTTGTATATTTTATAATCGGTGTCTTCATTTGCATAGAAAGCACCTTGAGAAAGTGACTTGTAATATAAAAAACAGTTATTATTAAAATATTTTATATTATTATAAAACTCACTCATTGTGTCTAGGTAATTCTTCAGTATTTTTGTGATCAGCATCTTCACTTGTTCACTCGGTCCCTCCTCCTCCATCTTCTTCTTGTTGTTGAACAGATGGTATCTGTGCTCATATTTCTGCACGAGTGTCTTCAGTTCTTCAGTCTCCTCTATGAACTCCTGGATTGTCGTGTTTTCTTCCTCCAGTTCGTCTCCTCTGGTGAAAAGAATCCAGATGTCTTTCTGGTTGTTTTCTCCCAGGATCTTCTCAATCATCTCCACAGTCTTTCTCTCTTCTTCAGTGAATCTGTCAGCTTTGATGACCAGCAGAAACACACACAGACCTGATGAACATTTCTGGAGGACCTTCTTATTGATCATCTGCTGAATCTCTTCTTCACTCATATTTGTATTTAATAAACCTGGTGTGTCATAAACAGTGACTGGTAGTTCACAGAATGATCCAGACTCCACAGCAACGTCTCGTGTGACTGATACGGATCTTCGCTTTGAGATGAAAGCTTGTCGACCCAGGATTGTGTTTCCTGATGAACTTTTTCCAGATCCTGTTTTTCCAAGCAGGACCACATTTATACAAGGTGTCATTTCTGCCATATTCAACAGATTATAAACGCTGAAAAACAAAACAAACTCTTATTACTGCATTTAATTTGATGCATCTGACACAAAGTCTTGTCGTGGTTTCTGGCTGTTCCATTAATGAATCAAAGTCTGGAGGTTATGAATATCAAGACAAGGCAAGTTTATTTATATAGCACATTACATACACAGTGGCAGTTCAAAGTGCTTTACATAAACAAGAATTAAAGAAAAAAGTGTAAGAAAATAAAATCAAATAAAAAAATAAGAATTATAAAAATAAGAATAAAAAATAGATAAAACAGATAAAAATGTGTTAAAATATGTTATAAGATAATGAAAAATAAGAGAAAAACATGATAGTGCAATCTGTCGGACGCAGCACAGTGCTCATTCAGTAAAGGCACAGCTAAACAGATGTGTTTTCAGTCTTGATTTGAATGAGCCTAATGTTGGAGCACATCTGATCATTTCTGGAAGCTGATTCCAGCAGCGAGGGGCATAGTGGCTAAAAGCTGATTCACCCTGCTTTGACTGAACTCTTGGAACTTCTAGTTAATATGAGTACTATTACTTGTATTTAGGTCCTAGACTATTTAGTGATTTAAAGACATTACAGATTTGCTCACTGAATATAAACCTAACAGATCACTCAGAGCTTTAGGATCAAATAAACTAGAAATCCAGAAATGATCAGATGTGCTCCAACATTAGGCACATTCAAATCAAGACTGAAAACACATCTGTTTAGCTGTGTTACATATTAATAAAACGTATGCAATCTGCACCCTCGAAATGAAAGTACAAAGACTGCCACCTGGTGGTGCAAAGAGAAAACTTATTGATATGAACTGTTTAGATCGCTTTAGTACAAATTGTGTATAATAGAAATGCACAATATGTGACTTTTTAAAGCAATAATACATTTATGCAGTCATAAACATGTTTTGACATTTAATATGCCAGTGATGTGATGCTTCACAAAAGTTGCAGACGCCTTTACCAATATCAAAATGCTTTTGTAAACAACCAGTTATTCTTTACACCGATTAAAAAACGGCTACTATAATAAAGAAAATCTTTTCTAAATGTAGAACTAAATACACTGATATGCACTGAAATACATGATGAATACTCTTGACACATGAAAGTGTAAAGCCTGCAGCTCACAACAAATGTGGAAGGTTCTTGCGTGTCATATTTAACAAATCGTTTACTGCTAATTTGATGTAATTTTGCTCACATGGATAATTGAATATTAATCAGATGATGTCATTACGCTGCTGTGCTGTCAATAGATCTGTCCTTCATAACACACACAGCGATCTCAGATCAGTTCATCCAGACATTCTAATCTGATTCGCGAAGTTGTTTGAAGAACCAAATTAGCGAGAGATCAGTTATCAAGATTAAGATCCAGGATCGGCAAAATCATCTTAGATCATTTAAGCGAGGTACGAAGAACGGACCCCAGGGTCAGACGGAATCTGCGGACGTTTTTTGCTATTTCTGCAGAGAATTTTGGTAATAATCTGCAGATTTTTGCGGAATAACTTTGGGAGTATCCAGCGGAGTATCATAACTAAAACCCTAATATATTAAATAAGAAGTAATAAATTACTGAATAAAAACTGAATAAATTCAGATTTACACATTTACTCTGGTAAATAAACAGAATTTATAATGGGTTAAAAATCTGCAGAAATCTGCGGAATTCTGAGGAAAATCTCCGGAAAATTTGCGGAATTCTGCACGCGCAGATTCCGTGTGGGCTTAGCGGTGACAGTCAAATATTTCACTGAACAGATCAGCCACTGCTGACACTCATAAACAATCATAAAGCCCTTGTGCTGCAGGAATGAGGAGGTCTGCAGAAGGTGCAGCTGCCGTGCAGTGAGGGGTTTGCGTCTTTAATAATCTACAACAGTTTCTGTTCATTGAACGGTAAGATTGATTAAAGAGCCCATATTATACATGAAATAGGGTCATATCTTGGTTGTAAGGGTCTCCAACAACAGTTTAATATGCATGCAAGGTCAAAAAACACTTTCATGGTCTTATAATCTGCATTTATTTTTACCTAATTATCCCAGCGACTCCCGTATGAATCGTCCAGTGATTCATTTGTTCCCAAACCCCTCCTTAGCGCGAAGCTAATCTGCGCTGATTGGACCGATGACAGTCTGTTGCAATTGGCTGACACTGACTGCTTTCAGCCAGAGACAGATTGAATAGCCAGCAGCTAATCAACAAAATAGAAGTAGTCAGAGTTCATACACGCTCGATAGTGTAGGCGTGGATTTTAGCTGCCAGTGGATAATTGTAAATACAGACGATGAACTTGAAAATACAGACGACTGACTATTTTATTGAGCAAAAACTCCCAAGAACTGGCAAGGAGATCTCCTAGCTTGTCACATTCTGCTCTTTTCACAGACACACACATATATTGCCCTGGCCCTCGCACACGCACACACACACACGCACACACACACACACACATATATATATATTGCCCTCGTTCTCCTCTGGACGACAAGGCATGCACGCATGCATGCGTGCGCACACACACACACGCACACACACACACACACACACTCACACACACACACACACACACACACACACACACACACACACACACATTACACTCCTCTACGGGAATGTAAACAAAGCAGCACACGTCGCGTTTTTAACGTGACTTTGCACACGATATGAGAATATAGCGAGTTAACCTGATACAGTACACGCGGTTACAAGAAGCAAATCACAACTAAATACATTTGCAAGCTAGAGTCAACGAGGCAACTTTAATCGCACATACTTACACTTGAGAAATGGAGGAAGAAACCTTACAAGTATTTTTTGTAGCATGTAGTTTGCAGAAGTTTCCAGTAGTTTCCAACTGCTTAAAGCTGGGCTTATGCTGAGGTTTCATCTTTGGGTAGAGACTTAATATTATCCATCTGCAGTGTGACTTCAATCGACCGGAATGTTTGTGTGTGTGTGTGTGTGTGTGTGTGTGTCTGGGTTTCTGCGTCAGAGGGCGGGGCCTCAGGTTTGAAATCTCCCGGGTTTGCGCGTGCACGTGAATAACTTGGTTTCGTTAGTACGTCATGGCGAAACACCTAATGAATCAGTATCAAGGCGACTCGTTTGAAGCACTACGAGTCGACTCTTTAATAAATGAATCAACAGTTTTAAACACTGTACTCTTACAGATTTAAGCCTTAGCTGGATACTTCACCTAAATTAGAGCTGTGTTACACACTACATGGAGGGACATTTTCAAAAACCCATAATATGGGCTCTTTAATAAATCCATATGAAACAGCCCCTTAAATGTCACATCTTGCTTTCAGTTTTGCCCAAGTGAACTGCACTCAGGCCAACCTCTTCCAACCGTGCCTGAGCTCAATTTAGAGCACTCACACTTTTCAAAAAATCTGGGAAACGGGCCTGGGCATGGTTCGGATAGCATAGTGTAAGCAGGCCCTAATACACTATTACACACAACATCTCAGCTGTGGATTTAGCAGAGGTGCTGGAGACCAGAGGAGAAGAGGAGTAATTGCACTTTAAAAATAACACACACCAGATGATTAACTGCCACTTCACTTCATACCAGTCGATCAATATCCTTGCAAAGGGTCAATTTGACATGCATAAAATGTTCCTAAAGGGGTTTTTAATCTAAGGCCCCGTTTACACTAGTGCGTTTTAGTTTTAAAACAGCGTTTTAGAATGAAAACGATCCGCGTCCACACTCGCGTTTTACCCAGCGTTTCTGAACTGCTCTCCGTCCACACCAAAACGCTGAAAACACACATCACGTGACCACAGACACTCTCAGGGAAGCGCTGCAGCCCATCTACCCAGATAAGAGCTCTGCTAGTTGGACTTCTCATCAAGCATCTCCCGCTGGATCTAATCTCACTATATTTATTAAACGGGATATTTCATTCATCTTGTTGTCTTTATCTAATGACATATTCCCTGACTTTGGTCATTGGAATCTATTACTTGTTCTCAGGTAACGTGTTTTGGCTGAGCGCAAAGATAAGTTAATGATTAATGTAACCACGTACATTCTGTATATTGACTGATCGCTTGCCTTTATTTCCTATAATGTATAAACTTATTGTATGTTTTACTTTTATAATGGCCATTATCGATTCTTAAAACTGATACTCAGCAAAAGAGAGGCTGTGTTTCGTATTTTCACTGAAATTGAAAGGAGGCAGTTGTTATCGGCTCCGTTTTGTTATAAATATCCACACAGTGAAGATGACGGTCATATATGCAGCACGACGCCTCAACATTTCTGCTGTCTGTTTAGTTGCTAATATTAAAATGAAAATAGGCAGTTCCTTATATCAGGTTTACATTTTATTGTTGAGAAAGTGAAACAACGTAGCCAGGGTGATGTGAATGAAGTTATAAAGTACACTGTTCCTTTTGAAGATTTACCCGTGTCCTCGGTATAGTCTGTTTTCCATATCAAACGGAGAAGAAGAGATGCAGCCTTGATCAAACTTGCAAAGTCTGAACTTACAAGGAGAAAATGCAGGACTGAACTGTGTTTGTTAGGCTACTTAATATTGAGGAAAAGCCCCAATCAGAGAGGCGAATGTCTGCAGCCCCGCCTCCGTTTTCAGATGTCTCCGTTTTCCATCATCCACACTGAGACGGAGCAGCAGCGTTTCAGAATGAAAACGGCCTCTTCAGTGTTTTTGAAACGCTCCGTTTTCGGCGCTCGAGAACTTCGGCGTAGTGTGGACGGATGGCGTAACTGTAGCAAAACTTATGCGTTTTCAAACTAAAACGCATTAGTGTAAACGGGGCCTAAGAAGCCCATGATTTACTTGCATCTTAGGTGTATGTGAATGTCTTCTTTCCTGGCTCTTTCACGCTCTGCAATGGCAGTGTGTTTCTATTTAAGAGTAAAACAACGCACATCCATCCATAACAAAGAAAGTGTTTCACATGGTTCCAAGGGGTGGGGTAAAAAAAAAAAAAAAAAAAAAAACACTGGAAAAATACTAACATTTAAACTTTCTGGTTAGTTTTTGTCAGCTGTAACAGTAAATAGAAGATGGAAATGAGATATTGTTTGTGTTTTAAAAAAGCATCTATGAAAACAAACAGAAGAGATAGACTTGTATTCAATTTGAAATAATTTAACTATAGATTTTTTTTTAATTGTTATAATGAAAATGGTACTGGTTTAAAAAAAAGTTTTTATAATTGAGGTAAAGTTGGTTTTAATGTTGCACAACTGTTCATTTTTTGAACAGTGAGAACTATATTGTTCTCATTCTATATGACACACATCTGTATTCTTATAGAGAGATACAATTGAGGTAAAGTTGGTTTTATATTTGCATATAGGTTCAGTGTCAACTTTTGACATACTCCCTATATTGTTTACCATAATACTTTGAATATAGGGTCTGAAATCATATGCAAGTATGACTTCAAATCAACATTAGCACTATTTATTTGACCATGAACAATGTCATTGGCTGATAACATTAGTTCCCTATTTTGAATTCACAAATAATACTTTTCTGAAATTATATAGTTTAGGAGAAAGCCCAAATGTGCGATTATAAAACAGCTTTACCTCAATGTATTTTTTGTTTGTTTTGTATTTTTATCTATTGATGACATGTAAAAAAAACAATAAATCCCATTTGAATATATGTCCAAAACGCCAGGAATCATTAAAACGTACTGATTTCAGTTGTTGAAAGTTGACGGTTTGTAATGAGTTTTAATGGTAACTGTAGCTAAAACGATAGGAATCCTCTAATAGATTTAGATATTTAGTAGGCAGGGTAGAACAAGTATCTGGTCAGAAAAACGAGTTTATTAATGCATAACTGTAACACTTTATATATCGTAAAAGCAGAAAAGATAGATATGCCTGAAAGCTCGTCGTAAACATTACTGCTATAGCCGACCAACGCTACATTATCCTACTCGTTTTGTTATATTAATCACGCTTACATCGGTAAAATGCGAAGGCTGTAGTGATGATGATCATTTCAAATTTGATTCGTCATATTTATATAAATATAAAGAAAAATAACTATACAAAAAACCTTTCTGTACCTCCTGAAAATGCTGTAGGGTGATGTCTGCCCAACTGTTCCTCTGGCTTCTTCTTCTTGTAGTTTGACGGTGAATCGCAGGCTAATAAGTGCATTAGCGCCACCTATGGACCACTGACACTAATACACTCTCGCTTTTTATACTCTTGCGGTTTATCACAGTGGGGAGTATTGGGATGAACTAAATTGGTGTATTCCGGCCACCCACTGGATAGTAGCGTCAAGCGCATAATGGTTGAAAAAAACATGATTGCAAGAATGTCATTTATAAAAATAAAGGGAATGAGATTGGCAGAATATGAGATGGTAAAAAAACTATTAGGCTACCTGAACATATTATAGATCCACTTTCTTTTAAAAGATAAATTTTGAAAAAAAAAAAAAAAAAAAAGATTTGTTTTGGTGTTATTGGCAATGATCTTATTGCTCTGCAACATATGCTTAATGCTTGTGACTGAATTGCCTCAATGGGCTCTATGCACAGCTAGTGTATTTCAGCCAATGATACACTTCTGCTGAACAGTTTATGTGACTATTTCAATTTCACAAGGTTGTTTTTACAGCATTGATGTTGTAATGTAATCACAATACATTCAGTTAAATAGACTTAAGCATTCATTCAGTTGTTCAAGCGTAAAACGAGATGTTGTAACCACTAGCACTGTCAGGATCAGTAGGTGAGCACAAAAATGACATTGAAAATAGTGGGGTTAAACAGAGTGTCATATTTTAAAGACACGGCGGGGGGAAATGTAATTTAACGCAGTGCTTCTTGTCACTTTATATCGTATGTCTAACAGGCAGTTAATGTTTAAAGAAATCAGATCTTAAAACATGACAGTTTTGTAATGGAAAGTGGAAGCCTTTTGGTTGCCTGGCTGAAAATGATATGTCTGTGTGCAATGTGCATATATGACTACGTTGACATGGACATTCATTCATTCTTTCTTTTCAGCTTAGTCCACCACCAGTTAACATGGACATCATTAATGAAACTATTTGCCTTAATCTGAATAAGACAATAATATGACGAAGGTGTGATGATTAAGAGAGCTGAGGGACAGCAGTGAGTGTTTACAGCCTGATCTCACGACGAAACCTAAGTATTTTATGTATTGCCAGTTTAGTGGCTAATTCGTACAAATCCAGTTGTACGAAAACGTACGATTTTAAAAAGGAGGCGTGGCACATAACCCCACCTCTAACCCCAACCGTCATTGGGTGATGAGCAAATCGTACTAAATTGTACAAATTAGATCGTACGAATTCATAGCCTACGAATTAGCCACGAAATCAAAAAGTTACAAATTGCAGTGAGATACGTTGATGTTTAACAAGTGTTAAGTCCCGTGGAGAAGTTAAAAAGGTTGTGTGTTAACTTTGTGATTAAAGTCATTACACGTCGGGATGGACAAAAATACATTTAATTTCATTTAAAAAATAATATACCAAATACCTCCATTTTACATGTATTAAAATAAACTACAAAATACAGCAGACACAACATGATCCGAATACCGTATTTTGAAAACACTACAAAATATATATATATATTTTTTTGCTTTTGAAATGTCTTCGCAAACCTTCCATTGGTAGGTCTATTGTATGAATCCCTTCACCCTTAAACTGACTTAAGTCAGCCTTTAGGAAAGTAAACAGTGTTTGACAGCAACAGAGTTTCCCTGAGCAATTCATTCATCTCTACTGTACATAAGTAAACATTTAGAAAAGTCAGTTTCTCTGCGATTTAAGTATTAATTCAGTACACATTTCATACAGAAACTCCTGTCTTGAAGATGTTTAATCACTGTAAAAATCCTCTAATGCAGATAATGAGTTGGAACACAGCACTATATCTCTTTATTTGTGTTCCAATCCATTGCTTGCCAGTGAAATATCTTAACAGTCTTGTATTTTAAAAGGGTGATATATGTAATTTTTTTTTGTTTACATAATTTATAAAATACATCTAGATAGTTTTTTTGCTATTAAAATCTTCAATACTTAATGTAACACATGATTTATGAAAATAAAATCTTCAGTCTTCAGTCAAAATCTTGTATTTCAAAAGTACTCTTCACTGCAATTTTTTTAAATAACTATAAAGATATATATATATATATATATATATATATATATATATATATATATATATATATATATATATATATATATATATATATATATGTCCTGCTGCTCCCGTGTAATGGGGGTCTGGAGTTTTTGACCAGTCTCAATTTACTCTTTTAATGAACACCAGTGCACAATCTTTAGGTGTTTTATATTTCTAAAGTTTCTCTAAATTTCCACCTGCAGCACTGAGACTGATTATGTCCTGAAGGCTCCACATCCTGTTTTTGGATTAATATTTTATTCCATCTCATTTCTTAAGCAGGGATGCTGACGCTGAAATGTACACAATTATCATTAAGCATTACTAGCACTGTGCAATATACTAAAGTCAAAAGCCCCTTTCACACAGTGATACCGGTAAATTTCTGGAAAATTTCCGGAACGACCTTACCGGTATATTGAAAAAAGCACTGTTCACACAGGCGAGGACGTTACGGAAATTTTCCGGAAAAGAGCATTCACACATCCATTCCAAAATACCGGTAAATTCTGACATCATTCACCACAAATGAGCTTTAAACGGCTGCGCTTGTGTTTGTAAACATTTGACTAAATTACAAACTCTGTGGATGATCAATATTGTGAACAACTTTCGCAGGATCACTTTCGCATGTCGAGATGTTCATAATATGTGTGTGTGTTGGCGCTCACAGGCTGTTTCACAGGCACACGCAAAGCTTGAAGGTAAACAAACAACGGCTTATCATAAGCATCTCATCGATGATTATTTACACAGTTGGCATTAAGAAGAACATATAAACGTAATCTGACTAACATCTAGCAGCTAAATGTGTCTGGAAAAATATTCAAAGGCTTTTATTCTCACAAACCGCGCGGACGTAAATGTGTCTGACTGTTGTGATTGTCTTAAGCAGACGTCTCACGTCAGCACGTTCTAGACGTGGACGCACTTATTACGGCAATCTTCCTTCTGCATTCACACAGCGCAGCATTCCGGCAAATTATCGGTAATGTTACAACTTCTCTTTCCGGAAAATAGCCAGAACGAATTTACCGGTATTTTCAAAAAGGACCTGTTCACACATACAACCTTTCCGGAAAATTGCCGATAATTTTCCGGAAAGGTCTGTATGTGTAAAAAGGGGCTAAAGATTGTTGACTTGCTCCCAAATTTACCCATGCCATTTGTTTGTTATTTTCTTTATGTGTGCATATTTTCCATCCATCCTCCAAGCATTGACCACCTTCTTCAGTATTAATGAATTGTCCTAAAGTTTTGGTAAATAACTGAGAAAGCACCGATCTGAAGCCCAACTTTTATGATGTCATCATGTAGATTTCTTACAAACTATTTTACAGTATTTTGAAAAATATAAAATCACAAGACAATAAAGTATTTTGATACAAAATATAAACCCATTTTCATCAACCCTATTAAATACAAATGACATATTACTATTTTCATTACAGAATTCATTTTACAGGAATGTAATTCAGTCTTTACTCAGCTGACATTTTAAACAATTGACAATGTGTTAGCGCAGCACGATTCTGGCAAAGATGTGAATCACGATTATTTATTTTTTTTGCTTCAAATCAAGATTCTTTATCACAATTTTGTAGATGTAAAATAAACGTTAATATGATTAGCCTATTATTATTGTTATTTCTTAAACAAATGATAAAACAACACTAATAATATTAGGCCTACGTGTTGGTCTACTGTTGCTTAAAATGCTAAATTTTGTACAGTCACGATGGTGGACTTGAACAGACTTTCAATATGTCCTGTTTGTTAATTCACAGTAAAATGATTATATCAGAATACAACTATTCATAATTATTAAGTTGAATTATTAAGTTTGAGACATGTGCTTGTCATTTGTTATTGACAAAATTATTAGACCATTATTTTTCCGTTATATATAGGCTGAGGTTGTTATACTGACACAGTAAATATGTATTCTCATGCACAACACTTTGTGTTCGAAAAAACATATCAAATACTTGTCGTAATCATAACTGTAAAATGTGATTTGATCATTTAAATGATGTGCGCACAGGTTTCACTTTCACTTTCCAGTGGGGCTCATGGGTGCTGTCACTATGATAAAACACACACATGCAAATCAAACCTCCCGCACGACTCTCAAACGAGCGCTCTGTGCAACAAACTGAACACTATTTACAACTTCATTACCTGTTATTCACAGCCTATGCAGGTTTTGTCACTAAAGTAGGTGTCATTTGCGTGCACGCGCGCGTTCTCGGCAGTAAACAAACAGTGTGGCAGCTCAAGAGTGATTTCGAGAATGCGAATACATTATTACATGAAGACAGAAATTACATTTTGGGTGAATTATAAATACAGTATGTGACACTTTAAACACCATTTGAAGGTGTCGATGTTGCTGTGAAGACTTTGCAGCCGCCTTATCTTCTCTCATGACCTTGAAAATATAATTGGCTGAATCGTAGGAAAAGCTGAATTAAGATCATGTGTAGTGTCGAATCGCGATTGTGATCTTTTTTCGATTAATCGTGCAGCCCTAGAATGTGTATTACCAAAATAATAGTGTCTATCCTTTTGGAGAAGACTTCTTCACCAGTTTCTGATGACTTTAACTGAGATCTCGATGAAGTAAATTCAAGTGTTCATCAAATGCAGAGCACTGGTTACATGTGTATGCTCTGTAACCTGTAAATGATCTGCCTCAGTTTTTCCTCACTAATACGAGAGAGTTCTGCTTCCTCTCTGGCCTCTCTGAGTTTTGCTTCATAAAATCGCCTGTACTCCTTCAGTTCAATCGTGATCCTCTGACTGAGTCTTTGCAGATCTTTCTTCATCTTTTCTTTCTCTTGCTCAGATGCTGCCTGTATTTTCTCCTCCAGGATCCTCTTCTCCTCAGTGAATCTGGCCTCCAGTTTCCTCTCTTTGTCCTGTAGTTTCTGCTCATATTCTCTTCTCAGCTCATCTTCCTTACTTTTCAGCTTGAGCTTCACATCCTCGTAGTACTGATTGGTGAAGTGTTTCCCTTCATTAGCAGTGACCATCTCATCTACTTTCTCCAGGAAATCCACCACTTGTGTGCGATCCTCAATGTCTTTATTGTTGAAGACGTGATATCTTCCTCCGCAACGTCTGATGATTTCTTTAAGGTTTTCACTGGCTACATCAACATATTCTTCAATAGTGCAGTCCAGTTGATCTCCGTGTGTGAAGAGGATGATGGTGTGTTTATCTGCTGCTTCTCCAAACACGGCTCTGATTTTCTCCACTGAGAGTTTCTCTTCGTCAGTGAACGGGCCAAGGTTAATGACCAGGATGAAGGCGTGAGGTCCAGGAGCCGTCATATTAATGCATTTACTGATCTCCTGCTGTAGATTCAACTCTGAAGCTTTCGTGTCAAACAGACCTGGCGTATCTACCACAGTGACTTCTCTTCCAGCCACTTCTCCAGTCTCCTTCCAGCACTCTTTGGTCACAGATGAAGAACTTTTGGCAGCTCTGAAGACTTTTCTGTCCAGGATGGTGTTTCCAGAAGAGCTTTTACCCGCTCCTGTTCTCCCCACCACAACCATTCTTAATGACACTGCAAATACAAAGAGAGAAAGAGAGAAGACAATCTTATATCTAAAGAGTTTCTGAATTGAACAATCAGTCCAAAGCAAACATTTTGGCATTTTGGTAAACCTTTATACTCACAGTTAGGAATATCATGTGGAAAGCTCCCTCTTCTACCTACAAATACATAAAACAATTCATTTACTTTATTGTGTTGATGATTCAAATCAAAAGAGAGCCTGTGATTCTTCATTTATCACAAGAGCTAAATTTATATTTTTTGATAACCATTTCATTTGTTTATCATTTATGTTATGAACCGCACAGTTTTGCTGCGTGTAAGTTCTTTCTGTCTCTGCCCATCTCTCTCTCTCTCTCTCTCTCTCTACCGGCCCTGTCATTTTCACAGGTACCGCCTACTTCGGAGCACTATTGGCTGACAGGACTGCCAATCTAAATCAACTGTGTGACGACAACTTCTCTCTCTGCCAATCACGCTCATTGCAAAGCCCTTTTAAATCGGAAGCGGCAATGGGGAGAGATCAGCTGCTGCTGATGTTGTTGTTTGGCGTGTAGTCTGTTTGTTCGTGTGCATTTGTAGCTGTTACTGATGTTTAAATTGAGTAAGATTTACTGATGTTGACTTTAAGTGAGATTTGTTTGAGAGTTCTGATGTGTTTTACATCTCTAGCCCGCTAATGCTCCATTCAAAACCTTCTGTGACTTTTGACAAGGGAGATCTGGAACAACATCGTAAGTCACGTGACATACATACTTTGCATGCAGGATTATTGATGTATAGACACAAATTAGTGCGCTTCGTTAACTAGGGTATTTGTTTTTAGTTAGTGTAAGTTCAGGGCGCTTTTGCACTGAAGACTTTTATTTTTCATATTGTTATTTTCTTATTTGGTGGATTGGGGAGGAGATTAAGGAAATGTTTTTGTTATATTTATTTCTTTGATTTGCTAGCGCAAACTTCAGTTCCCTCTCCCGTTTGTCTATGTTACAAAATCCCTCCATTGTCCTGAAATGTGTGGCTGCTCAATTATGGGTAAAAAAAAATATTATTTTGGACAAAATTGTAGTCACAATTAATTAAATGTAATATTAGTGGGCAGAAATGACCAAATAAGTTGAGTTTTATTAATATTCTGCTACATGTGCAAACATACAGTGGAACAAAATGTTGTCTCCCACAGCACTACTAAACTTAAATAAGAACACAACACTGGAGGTGAGAGCTATTTTTATATATTTCTTGTAGTTTGCAGAGGAAATAAACATGTAACTGTTCATTGTGCATAAATGTAAAAGGCTAAAGAAAAAAAAAATGAGTAAACAGATAAAAAAAAGAACTAAAAACGAAAATAAAGAACTACATATGAAAACCATTTCAAATGTTCTTATTCGCACATGCTATAGTATCGGCAATCTTACAGGTGGATGACATGGCAATCTGAATAGTTTGCATGATACTGGAAAAATCCAACATTGCGATATTTTGTTTTCCTGCAATATATATTTGATATGAATACAATTTCACCAGATGACTTTAATACCTTTGCTTGAAGAGATTTACTAATTTTAGATTGACTGGGATGATTCTGTAAGAGAGTATATTGACCTTATTCTAAAATGCGGAAGTGCGCCTGTTTTCGCGATTGTCTTAGAACTTCCGATTCAGTCGCCTATGGGAGAAATGACTAGGAATAATAAACGGCAGAAAATGGCCAAACTACTTGCTCAACAAACAAATGTTTGCATGACTAAACAGACCAAGTAGCATATTATAATAAGAAAATATTAAATTGCAACATCAAGCAGCGTAACGAGCAGTTGTTAACGTCTAAAATGAATGGAAGTGAATGTGACCGGAAGTCGCGAGACAAAAAGATTCAAATGGCAGCGCCCGCTCGACAGCTGAGAATAAGGTGAATATCTGCATAAAATCTAATAAATAATCTACAAGCAAAGATGAGTACAATAAAAGAAAGATATATAAAAAAACAGTGTTCTATGGTTCTCTGAAGAGTCTACCAGTATTCAGGTATAGGTCTGTCCCAATAACCAATATATGGACTGATCGCAAAACACATGGACATAAGCTCAATCATTTTTGGTGATGCAATATTTATTACACTTATATAACCAATTCTATTAACATTTCATCTGAATGACATTTAAAGGCTTAACTAGGTTAATTAGGGTAAAGTTATGGTAATTAAGCAAGTTATTGTATATCGATGTTATTTTCTGTACACTTTTAAAAAATTACCTTATAGGGGCTAATAATATAGACCTTAAAATGGTGTTTAAAAAACAAAAAACTGCTTTTATTCTAGCTGAAATAAAACAAATAAGACTTTCTCCAGAATAAAAAATATTATCAGACATACTGTGAACATTTCCTAAATCTGTTAAACATAATTTGGGAAATATTTGAAATAAATAAATGAATAAAAATCAAAGATGGTTTAATAATTCTGATTTCAAATGTAGTTCTGACAGCAGATATCGCAGCCTCTGTTACTCTTACCTTGCATTTTATTGTTAACATGTATTATTATTTATTTAAGACATGCATTTTCACATTCTGATTCTATTGCCTCATTAATAAATTGATAAAATTACTATAATTAAAAAAATATTCTTTAGAATAAAATATGATGTGTTCTTTGAAAGAGTGCACTGGCATTGTGTCTCTAAAAATGACAATAATATTGTTTATCACACTATATTTTGCTGCAATATAATGTACAACAAAAACAGATATCGTGACAGGACTATTCAGGTATACAGTAACTGAATGATCAAATATAAAACAATACTACTGCATAGTCTTTGTCAAATAAACAATATAATAAAGTTAATCGTTGTTTAAAATTAAAGCATTACAGTTTTTTATGCCTGAATGGTATTAAAATCCTCATACAGTCACAGTCCTCAAAAAGACATGCATGTAATAAATTACAATACAAACTCAATGTTGCATATCCTGCAACGTGACTATTGGGAATAATCACATTGCAGTATTGCTGCTGAAACATAAATCGTGCTACTCTACTTGCAATATACCTCCCCATTCTGTGAAACTATGAGTATGTCTACATTTATTTATAATTTCTTTAACACAAGCCATTAAACATTGCACATGGGATAAATGTGTACAAACCCTTCCATAATGCTGCTTAATGTGTTCTTTCACAGTACTATCGACCAATTTGAGGAATGTAAACAGTCCTAATGCATTTTCTGTTCAACATTATTAATTTCTATAGCTTCTGAGAATCCAAAAAGAGCAACATATTAATAAATAATGTGATGACAACTGTTTTAACGTGTATAGTATAAGATCAAGCTGCAAATGTTCAAGGGCCAACAATATCACCACTAGGGTTGTAACAATATACCGGTATGACGGTTTACCACGATTTGAACGTGCACGATTATCATACCATGAACAATTGCATATCAACGGTTTTAACCCTTAAAGACCGAGACAGCCGCCCGCGGCTAAACATAAGTATTGCTCTTAAATGTTTAATAACTTTTGATCCGCTGATCCGATTCATACAATTCAAAGATTGGCATAAAGAAGAGAGTCTCAGCTTTCCATTGCTGTATCACATAACATTTGCGGACTTTCAGAGGCTCCGGAATCAGTGCGGTTACGTCATCAACATTTGACAACGCTGATTTTGACAAAGAAACGCTCGTCACTGTGTCTCCGGACAAATCAGACATGACACATTGATGCATTGTCCCTCCTCCATGCCCAGATTGGTTCAAACTCGCTATATCACAACCAATAAGCATAGGTTTCGCTTTTGTTTGTGGACCAACACTGAGCTTTTTGAACAACACGGAATGAGAGAAAGGCATACATTTATGCGCGGCTAAATAAAACGCAAAAAAAAAGTTTTGCATGAAATAATTCTCATACTAAATACTTTTGCATGCACAGCAGAACAGAAACATGACAAAACAGTGACACAGCAAAGACGAACTGCTGCTCTTGCTGTTTTCAAAAGACGCAAATGAAGATGCAGCTGTTTGTCTGCATTGCAGACAACCATATCCAAATCCATATTCATAGACAACCATATCCATGCTGGCACATAAAACCTAAGGATGTTCCATATTGAATCTAGTTTCGTTATGTAACTATTTATAGTATAGTAAATATTTATATCTATTTTTTACTGAGGATTTGCACCATGTTTATTTGGACTTTATTTGGACTTTGACACATTATTTATTATTTTCTTATTTTTATTTGTTCATTGTAAGTGGTGTTGTTTATAGTAACTAAAAATATATTATTTGGAAAAAGTCAAATTTGCTTCACTGTTCTATTATTTTGTAACATTTGTAACATACCGTATACCGCGAAACCGTCAAATCGTGGTATTGTTTTAGACGATTATCATACCGTGAAAAATTCATACCGTTACAACCCTAATCACCACATTGAAATAGTCTATATGACTTTGAGGTAAAGTTGGTTTTATATTCACACTCTTTCATTTTACAGTCTCTATAGAATCAGAATATGCAAATAAAACTTTTCTGAAATTATATTATTAAGAAGAACGTCTGAAAGTGCCAATATAAAAGCAACTTTACCTTAATTGTATCTCTATATGAATACAGTTGTGCTTTATATAGATTGAGGTAAAGTTGGTTTTATATTCACATATGCATTCAGTGAAAACTTGTGAAATGCTCCCTATACTGTTTACCATGGTACTTTGAATATTAAGTCTGAAATCAGATGCATGAATGACTTCAAAACAACACTAAGGGCTATGCGATTTGGGAAAAATATCTAATTGCGATTTTTTTTGTTTGTCAAATAATGCAATTTTGATTTGATTTGCAATTTAATTTTCTAGTCAAGCTTCAGCTCAATAATCTGTATAATAGCTTCTAACTGCTAAAATGCAGTAAATATTCTTTAAAAAAGAAACTGAAGAGATATTAACTCACTTAAACATTTATTCATATTTATTTTAAAAAAATTCAGAAATGAAACATAATTTTTTTCTGTAGAGCAAACAGTAAACACAAATAAAACGACCTCACCTTTCTGTAAACAAGTTAAACTCAATTTAGAGAGACAGTGTAGCTTATTATGCAAACAAAAAATAATTATTATAAAATAACAGAACACTCAGCAAACTGAGATGGCTAAAACAACTCTTGTACTTTTGAAATTGTACTTTGCTGTTGCTTGCTACTCGATTGAGTGTCACTGGCAGTACTTTCAGTTCACTTTTTTAGCAAGACAATTTGCTCGTAACTCAATTTGCTAGTAAGACTATCTTACTAAATAGCAGTCACACATCTGCTAAGTGCAGGGAAAATTAATTAAATTAAATAAATAATACAAATATATTTCATATTGCAGCCTTTTGCGATTAGCTAATGTTTCAAATCTCGATTGCGATTCAATTTCGGTTAATTGCACAGCCCTAATTAGCACATTTAATTGACTGTGAACAATGTTGTAGTTTGATGGACACTGGCTGCTAATATGATTTAACTGTTTTTAAGTGTGCAAAGATGTAATAAAATTATATTATTAAAGAGAAGTCAAAGTGTGAATATAAAACCACCTTTACCCCATTCTATATGACGCACATCTATATTCAAATAGAGAAACAATTGAGATAAAGTTGGTTTTATATTCGCACATGCATTCAGCGACTACTTGCGACTTGCTCCCTATGTTGTTTAGCATACTATTTTGAATACTGGCTCTGAAATCCCATGCAAGACTTTCAAACAACATTAGCACTACTTGTTTGACTTTGAACAGTGTTGTACTGTGACAGTCATTGACTGTTTATATGATTTCACTACTTAGAATTTGCCAAAAGGCGTAATGTTGGCGCAGTGGGTAGCGCTCTCGCCTCAAAGCAAGAAGGTTGCTGGTTCAAGCCTCGACTCGATCAGTTTGCATTTCTGTGTGGAGTTTGCATGTTGCATATGGGTTTTCTCTGGGTGCTCCAGTTTCCATAGTTTATGAGTGTGAATGAGAGTATATGGATATTTCCTAGTGATGGGTTGCAGCTGGAAGGGCTTTATAAAACCTATGCTGGATAAGTTGGCGGTTCATTCCGCTGTAGCGACCCCAGATTAATAAAAGGAATAAGTCGAAAACAAAATGATGAATTTGCCAAGAATACTTTCCTGAAGTTATATCATTAAGAAAAAAGACCAAGTATGCTAATATACAAGAAACTTTACCTCAATCTATGAGGCATCTCTGTATTCATATAGAGAGACACGACTGTAATACCGCCGTTAAAAAGAAGAAGAAACGCAAAGCGTGCATCCGGAGTTCTGCTCATTTTGACACGCCCCCAAAACCGTAGATATCCCAGTCAACACTACAACAACACTAAGCACAGATTTGACGAAGAAACATCGCGTTACTGTCCTTAGTGGTGGCCGGATTTGTGTAAACATCATACTAATTCACGACCTCGATTTCGGGAGCTAAAAGATGACTAGGACGCGCTGTAAACAGCACTGCGTGAAGAAATCGAAAGTACGAAAACAGGAGAAAATACACGCAAGTATGGCCAAAGAAACACCGTTATCACGATCCATGTTAATACTAAAGCTTTCCTAAATGAAAACTGTTACCTTTTGGTTCTGTTGTAGCGCTTGATGAAGCCATAATTGAAATCAACAGCCGATCTGCGCCACTCGCACAGAAAATGGCGAGAGCACCATAAACAGGAAACAGGAAATAAACTTCTTTCTATGATTTTTTTGCCAGTTGGCATACAATTTTTAAATGTGTATTACCGCCACCTACCAGACTGGAGTGTAAAACAGATTACAAAATCAGGAGAGAATAATACATATTTTATGCAGCAGACCTGAGTTTTTAAGCTGATTAATCATATACTGGGTTCCTTGTTCTTAAATATACTTAATATTAATATTTATATACAGTTAAAGTCAAAATTATTAGCCCCCCTGAACTATTCGCCCCCCTGTTTGTTTATTTTTTCCCAATTTCAGTTTAACGGAGAGCAGATTTCTTCAACACATTTCTAATCATAATAGTTGTAGTGGCAATTTTCTTTAAAGAGGCTCTCTCAGTGGTCAAGAAACAAAGTCTTACCCGGGCTGTCTTTTTAAAGTTTTATTATGTATAAAGAAGGTCACAGTCATACAGCAACAACCGTTTCTGCAAAGTGAGACACTGAAGCAAAGTGTGTTCACCCTTTTATCCGGTTTGTACTGCTTACAAGGTCAAATCCTAATAAGGCCCATTCTGTACGTGCGTCAGGCGTCTCCACCGTTTCTGCTGTAAGTTTCCACTACACATGTTCATCTAAAAATTAATTTCCATTGCATAGTTTTAATAACTCATCTCTAATAACTCATTTATTTTCTCTTTGCCATGATGACAGTAAATAATATTAGACTAGATATTCTTCAAGACACTTCTATACAGCTTAAAGTGACATTTAAAGGCTTCACTAGGGTAATTAGGGTAACTAGGCAGGTTTGAGTAATTAGGCAAGTTATTGTATAATGATGGTTTGTTCTGTACACTATAGAACAGAAATATATCCTAAAGGGGCTAATAATTTTGACTATAAAATGGTGTTTAAAAATTTAAAAACTGCTTTTATTCTAGCCGAAATAACACAAATAAGACTTTCTCCAGAAGAACAAAATATTATCAGACATACTGTGAACATTTCCTGAATCTGTTCAACATCATTTGGGAAATATTTAAAAAAGAAAAAAAAAAATTCAAAGGGGGCGAATAATTCTGACTTCAGCTGTGTTCTTTATTTGTTGAAACATTTCTCTGCTTTCTTCCTCATATTTTCTACATTTCTACGATAATACATGTGTTAGTAGCTACTGTATGTTTCCATCCAGCTATAAAACAAACTGTTGAGCTATGTTGTACTTTACAAAGTCCCTCATTCTCTGCTTTTATATCTCCTATCCATCCAAAGCTATTATATTTGCTTCCCAGCACTCCTGTAAAACATTTTTGGTAGTATGAAAACTTATGTCCTCTTAGATTTATCCCATACATTAACATAGGTTTATGTCTCCTTATACACAGAGGCATCTCTCCAGTTTCCACTAGTAAAGCCACTATTGGGGACGTTTAGAAAGCTCAGCTGGATGTTCTTTGTGCTTGTGTCTGTTCCACATCCAACTCCTCAAAGTAACTATATCTGTAGCCGACATATAAGCTGTACACCCACAGTCAAATGACGCTCTTCGAAAATAAACGCTTTTCTACTTGATTCATGACAAATTGCAAACAGCTTTAACCCTTTCAGGCTCAAATTAAATTTTAGAAACAGGCAAAGTCTATGCTTTTAACTGTTGCAAATCAGCAATGCCTGCCTTGAAAGGGTTAAGGTGCATGCTGCCAACTACTGTACAAGAAAACAAATTTTCATTTTTTTTTTTTGTTAAATTGGATTTATACAAAGATATTTTGCATTGATATTAAGAATTTTATTGTAAGGAAACTTAATACAACTGTTAAATTGGGTGTGTCTGATATGTTGTATGTGAATGATTACAATATAGAAAATGATAAAACTTATATTATTCAACTAATGCTCACAATTGAAAAATATAATAAACACAAAATGAAGTGGTCAGGTGGTAAACCAAAATTTCCTTAACGAATTCAAAGAGTATTGCAACATGGTATATAAATGTAAAAAAGCTCTCAGGTCCTCTAATATTATGTGTAAATTCCAAATAAACAAACAGTTTTTTTAAAATGTAGTTTTATTCCTTTGGCTCTATTTATTATGTTATTTTATTGTTCTCTACTTGTAATAGTATGTACTGTTGGCATTCTGCGTGAATAGTATTTCTCCTGTAGTATGTGTTCATATGCAATAATAATAATAATAAAAAACTATTGTACAAGAGTAATGTCGTAACAATTTTACAAAAGCCGGTGGGATAAAGGAATCAGATGTTAGATAATACAAGAGTCATGTCCTTTAAAATGTTTAGTTCTTGATTTAATTTATTTTGACAGAAAGCAATATGATAATACCATTAAAGCTATCCCACAACCTATATTTCATATGTCTTGTAATCTATTTCAAAATAAAATATAACACCTTGTCTTCCTCAGCTTTTTATGAATGGAGTTTTGATTACAAATACTCATTTATCCAATACTATAATACTGTTTTCATTATCCTGAGGTCTCCATAATCCTGGACCAGGCCGTATCCTGATCTGATGCTGTAGCGCAGGGGTGTCAAACTCAGTTAATGGAGGGCCGAAGCTCGGCACAGTTTAGTTCCAACCCTGCTCCAACACACTTACCTGTAGGTTTCAAACAAGCCTGAAGGACTCAATTAGTTTGATCAGGTGTGTTTAAGTAGGGTTGGAACTAAACTGTGCAGAGCTGCGGCCCTCCAGGAACTGAGTTTGACACCTGTGCCGTAGCGGTTAAGGTGAGAGTTTGAGACCTGATTTTCCTCAATTTTGATTCGCCAACAGGTTTTGAGAAATCACCGACAAATGCCTGAAATCACAGGTAAATCGGTGCTCGTGCACATGCGTGACAATCACAGGTGTAAGTGTTGGTTTAGGTGAGGATTGAACCCGGGTCTCTTGAACACAAAGCTGGGCTCTTCCCAGTTGAGCTAACTCCTCACTAGATGAACCCAAGAGCAGAAGAATAATAAGGGAACTTGAGGCTTTGGTTTCAGCAAAAATAAACAGATGATCTTTACTAGACAAATAGAATTCAAAGTACAACAGAAATAAATGAAGCCGAACTTCTATTAAACAGGCAAAACAAATTAGACACAAGGGTCAAAAAACACAACAGTAAAGTGTCACTTAGCTCCTCTAGACAATCTGGAGAACACCGGACGGTAATGGCTCAAGACTGAACAAAGTAGCTTGTAACACACACACTTACATAGGGCAAAACACAGGTGTTGCAAATCAAGCTTGAGTGGTGGCACACAGCAGATGGTGAGAAAGTGGTGCCATCCACTGTTCGGGAGGAAGCATGAAATTTGGATCCTGTTGTGCAAGGAGACAGGAGCACCTCCTTCTGGTCAAGAGGAGGAATGCAGCCTAATGAGTTCTTACACACACAATATGAACAATCAAAGATGAAATCTGAGAGAATCGCAGATAAGTCGCCGATGCCTGTGATATATTTGGCGTGCTGAATATCTGGAACTGTCGGCAATTCAAATCATGCTGTGTGAAATGAGTTCTGACTGAAAATAACATCAGCGATCACCAACAGCTAATGAGAGAGCAGCATTCACTTGCGTGTGTGTGCCTGCAGGCTAGCGGGAGGTTGGGGAAAAGTAAAAAGCGCTCATTTTCAGTTTATTTGGACCCAAGAAATGTGGGAAAAACTAGTGTAAATATGGCAACAGCACCAGTGTCTGTTTGACATGTCATCTCAGCAATATCACAACCGGGTCAAAAAAAAAGTTGAGGAGAAGTTGCTAATTCCCTTCAAACCCAGGTAAGCAAATATGTACATTTTCTACCCCATAAAAGGCTTCTTTCTCATTATATAGTAAATAACTAAAGATATACTACAAGTTTTGGCTGTGAGACATAGTTTGGGTGAAGTTGTCGGCGGTTCTTCCTATTGTAAAGTCATGCAATGTGAAAGCCCATGTCGCTGATCCATCTGAGAAGGGTATAAATGAAGGTCAAAGCCAGCTCCAAGTGGATGGGCCTTCAAGCTCCAAGTGGGCTGTGCAAACCTGGAGTTTTTATTAATTTTATTTATTTAGTTGTATTTAGAGTTCAATATTTTGCTTTATGAATGTGTACACCTAACCCTAAACCCAACCTCACAGTAACCTGATGTGTTTTATTAATGTATACTCCACCTACACCACTTAAACCCAACCTACTTGTGGTGTAAGTCCCTCCCACTTGCAGGTCTCCAGGCTGCAGCAATACCTACTTGATCCATCTTGCAGTGTGAACACAGCGACAAAAAGCTAACCCAGACATTCATGCAGTGTGAAAACATCTGTGACACAACGACTTTAAAAATCATGCAGTCTGAACTCAGCATGAAACCCAATGACAGACGAGTCTTTGCAATGATCCCGTATTTCCTTTCTTACTTTGGCAACTTTATTGTGGATCATATTTTAACACCTTCCTTTGATTTCATGATTCTGTTGTTGTTGTTGTTGTTGTCATTTTTCCAGTAAATTTTTTCAATCTAAACTTTTCACTTCTGATGTCCTGCACAAGAGTGTGTAGCACCGTGTAATTATAATCTACTGAATTTTGATTAAGGTAACGCAGTGGCGCAGTAGGTAGTGCTGTCGCCTCACAGCAAGAAGTTTGCTGGTTCGAGCCTCGGCTGGGTCAGTTGGCGTTTCTGCATGGAGTTTGCATGTTCTCCCTGCGTTTGCGTGGGTTTCCTCTGGGTGCTCTGGTTTCCCCCACAGGTAAAACACATGCGGTACAGGTGAATTGCATAGGCTAAATTGTCCGTAGTGTATGAGTGTGAATGAGTGTGTATGGATATTTCCCAGAGATGGGTTGCAGTTGGAAGGGCATCCGCTGCGTAAAACATATGCTGGATAAGTTGACGGTTCATTCCGCTTTGGGGACCCCAGAGTAATAAAGGGACTAAGCCAAAAAGAGAATGAATGAATGAGTATTGAATTTTGATTATTAGCCTATATAGCTTTATTTGAATATTTAAGCGATCATTATTATTCCTGCTGCTCACTTTACATTCCCAAAATCATCATTTTCACTGGACTTTACCATCGGGTTTAGTAGTAGTAGACTTTCCATAAAACAATACAAAATACAGTAGTTACAATAATTATAATGCTAATTCAGAGAAACTATAGTTAAGTAAACCCACTGAAATGTGTATAAAGCATTTCTTATATTAGTTTAACCTACACTTAGGGTCTCTGCAGTATCTCCTACCAGAGGGAATCAGTTCGTAATGTAGATACAAAAAATGAGTTGGATCATTCACAATCCTTTCCAGCTGATTGAGGACACAATTCTCATATAAAACTTGAGGATTAAAATATTCATTGTGCCTAACAATTTTCCACGCTGTCTTTAAGAGGTGCATCAGCTTAGATTTGCACTGTACGGGTTGTATCAGCCTGATCTCACTAGTAAAACAAAAGTACTTTACGTTTTGTCAGTTTAGTGGCTAATTTGAACGAATTCGTGTGAGTTCAGTCGTATGAGAATGTATGATTTTAAAAAGGAGGCGTGGCACCTAACCCCACCCCTAACTTCAACAGTCATAGGTGATGAGCAAATCGTATTAAATTGTATGAATTAGATTGTACCAAATCATACGAATTAGCCACTAAATCAAAAAGTTAAGAATTGCTGTGAGATTGCATTGGTTGTATAGGTTGCCAAACCACACTGTGATACCATATCTAACAATGCTTTCAAGAACTGCTTTATAAAACAACATCATGAGTACAATACAATAAAAAAATACAAAAATACAACCTCTGGTGTAAACGAGAACAAACCCACTCAATCTGTGTTTTCCATGTGAAGGAAACGTCAATATAAATGCCCAAGTACTTATAGATTTCTCACTGAGTAAAAGGATGGTCGTGTACAACCACTTCATGATGGTCACCTATACACTTTGAGTCAAATACCATCTCTTCTGTTTTCTCAGTATTTATTTTTAGCTTATTTCTATCACACTACTCAACGCACTGACTAATTTCTGACTGGTAGATAACACCAATATCATCATTCTTATAAAGTAAACTTAGTATGGCTGTGTCATCAGAGTATTTAAAAATTAAATTCTGTGAATGCTTACTTGAACATTCATTTGTAAATGGCTGACAAAGCCTTGTGGAACTCCAGTACTGTACTTCAGATCCGAACGGATAATTATACAACCCGAGTTATTTGTTAAAAATGAGAAATACCATTTACATATGCATGGGTTTATATTCAGCTGTTCCATCTTTTCCATTAACAAATGCAGTTGAATCTTGTTGAAAGTGGAACTAAAATCAATAAAAAGCAGCCGAGCGTAAGCTTTAGGATTATTCAAGTGCTTCAGAATCAAGTGCAAAACACTAACTGCATCTTTAGTAGCTACATCAGTTTACCTGCATGAGTATAAACGGCTTGTAACTAATTCTACAAGTTACAATTCATTCTTGTAACATTTAAATGAAACGCAGAAATGGATTGTTTGATTTGCTGTTGATTTACTCAGCCTTCTTATGGCACCTGAAACAGATAACCTTGCATGTTTGTGGATATATTTTATAAAACAACACAACCATTTAGATTTTTCTACATCAAGATCTACACAACGTTTAAGTCGATATTCATGGCACATTTTAATGCGATTTTGGAGAGAAAAGCTGATAAAAACAACCAAAAATTAAACCTAAATAAAAGGCAGATTGAGTTTAAACAAAGGAACAAGACCACAGTTTTAGTATTACTTTATTAATTGTAAGTTATACATGAATTTTCAGGAACAGTTGATAATATTGTAACTCAATTCCACAAACACTGGTACATGTAGGCTATTAAATCAAATTTTACACTGAGTTAGATGACAAGCAGACTTTCCACACAAAAACCCATATCCAGTAATGTAGATTCATTCTTCACAGTTAAACACATTACAGAAAAGCTATCACTTCTGTTGCACAAAGTGTTTACATATATCATGCATAATGCAAAGGAGCTACTTCTACTGAAAATGCATTAAATGTCTGTATAAAGACTTAACATTTTATATGCATAGCTAAGAAATGGTATATAAGACTTTTCTAAATGAATGTAACTAGTAAGGTTATACAACCTTTAAATTATTCTGTTTGCTGATGAAATATTATGTTTTAATATTTATAAATCATGCTTTTAAACATGAGAAAGTACAAGCATAACAAGACATTTCAATTCACATACAGACTTATCCTGTTACATAATTTTCCATCATTAAATGAATATTTTGATTATGCTTACTAAATCAAAAAAAAAAAAAAAAATGTGAGCTCTTATTTTGATTGTGCAGAAATTCTCATGTATAGTTCCATTTTTGTTATCCAAGAGCTAATATCAAATGTATTAGACAGGCTCTGAAAAAAATCATAAATAGCATAAAAGAGCTCTTTGAGAATTTTCCAGAAGCGTTCAAATGTGGTCTTCTGTGCCCATTCGTACATCTCATTAGTGTAGCACCCTTGATTAAACTCTACCATTGAGTCAATCTTCTTCAGTAGATCACTGACCTGCTGTCTGTCATCCAGATCTCTGTTATTGAAGACATGATAATCATGACATCTCTCTGCAACTCTACTGACAAAATCATTTCCAGCTATCTCTTTCTGAATTTTCTCTTTGTTACATTCATCCCCGTATGTGAAGAGGATTATCACATGCTTCAGCACATCTTTACCATAAACCTTTTCCACTTTATTCAGTATGTCCTCCTCCTGCTCTGTGAACCTGCCGTACGGCACAACAAATAGGAAAGCATGAACTCCTGAAGCAGAGAGATGAACACTCCTCGCTAACTCCTTCGCCAGCTGCTTTTTTGGAAGATTAGTAGAAAAGAACCCAGGAGTGTCGATGACGGACACAGATCTGCCATTAATGACTGATTTCACACTGCTGGATGTATCTGTGACAGGAGACAGGCTTCTTCCACTTGTGAATCTGTTTTCTCCCAGTATGGTGTTTCCTGATGAGCTTTTCCCAACTCCGGTTTTCCCCAGGAGGACGATATTAATGTTGCCATTGTTTTGCCTCTGAGTTCCTACATGCATTTCAGCTGGAGGAAGAGGAGGTCAGAACAAAAATGTGCATCTTAAATAATCAACTGGTCAGGGATAAGTGATAAATATATTTATGCTTTTAAAAGTAAAAAATATTCTGCTCATCCAAGCCGCAAAAAAAAAAAAAAGCACCAAATAAATAAACAAAATAAATAAATTAAATTCTTATTAATGAAAAATTTTGCACAAGTTAAAGGGGACATATTTTGCCCTTTTTTAAAAGATGTAAAATAAGTCTCTCATGTCTCTAGAGTGTAGTGAAGTTTCAGCTTAAATATAACACTAATAATGTCTTTTTTATTATTTCAATTAAAATTTTAAAGATTGTTTTTTTTTTCAAAAGAGGGCAGAGCTACAAACGGCTGTACATAACCATATCAACAGATTGAAAACGGGACTGGCGTTATCAGTGTGAAAATGTTGTCAGTGTGCGAGAATGCTTGTGTCAGTCTATGGAGACTCCTGTTGCTTCATTTAAAACTCCACATCTATAATCCTCTTAGTCTATGCTGACATTATCTTCAGCAGCTCAAACACTTCAATGGCTGATGGACAGACGGCTGCTTCTCACTCAGGGCTGCTGTTTATGCTAATGAGGGAGAGATGGCAGTGGCGGATTTAAGCATGGGCAATATGGGTGATCGCAGGGCGGCATCTTGCTTGGGGCAGCGTGGATCATCATTTGCCTATAGAGCAGTGGTTCTCAAGCTGTGGTACATGTACCACAAGTGGTACAGAGACTTCCTTCTAGTGTTACGCGGAGAAATAGTTGAATAATTCAAGAGAAAAAAATTACACACTTTTAACCCTTTGACATGTACGATAACAATGATGTGATCAGAAATTTTATTTTAATAGGCTACACTTTTAATTTTGTTTTCATTTTTTTAATGTTTGTAATGTATTCTATCATTTGAGGTTATTTTCCTCCCCATACTTGTAACGGTTGTTGGGGGCGTGTCTCATATTTTTATATCCCAATGTTGACAGGTATAGTTTAATCACTTGCTACTCTGACACACAACGCCTACTCTAATGAGCAGTAAGCAGATCTAGTTTCTAATTTAAATATGTAAATCCAATTCATATATTTAAAATACAAGTTAACGTTTAGATTTCAAAGATATACAAATAAGTTATATATACATGCAACATATATTTAAAAATTCACCAAACAGTTATATATGAATATTATGACATATGGTATAACCTATATTTATGAGGTCCAAAGAAACATTTGCAGGTTTTGATGAATAAGCTACTTCATGAAAATACTTTACATTTAAGTACAGCAGTTTTCTAATACTTTTTAAGAGCAGTGGCATTTTTAATTAACTTTTAAAATCACATTTTATTTTAAATGCTAACATTTTATTTATCTTTTTACTGTACTTTTTATCTTTTACCTGTAAGTGTGTTATTGTTCAAACTATTTATTATGTTTAAAATGGCTGACAATAATTTTCGTAACGATAAGAATTAATCTGACACGTTTGTGAACTGTGCAGAGATGTAGTCATTTAATTTGGTCTACTATGTGGCTGTTTCTCAGTATTTGTTCTTGTGTCCTCGTGAAACGTCATCAACCGTCGCCAAAGTAATGTTCCAATAGAGTGGAGGAACTATGACGTCACTTTGTAGGCTAATCAGCTGCTAGCATAAAACTGGTTCCCTCGTAAAAATCCCTATGAGATTTTCCCATAGGCTTTTCAAAGATTGCAAATAATAAGCTCTGTCTTCAAACACTGTTCATTACACTTACACGTTTGTCCAGCCGGATAATCTTCACATGAAAATACAACTTTAAGCACTTTTGGATCTTAAATGCAAACGCACTCGCCTGTGACGTCAGCCCTGCCCTGCTACAGACGACTTATCAAGCTTATTTTTAGAAATATTGTCCATGACAAAGAGTTAATCTCTTAGTTTATTATATTATAATCTACGCTATGTATTATAAACTAATAAATACGCAAACACACACAGACCTACATGCCTTTTGGATAGTTTTTACAAGGGAAATACATCTGTTTTGCTTTACGGTTGTTCTAAAAGTTTTAAAACTGCGTGTATAAATCTGTCTACATAATATTATCATAAGACATGTTTAAATAAGTGTATCGCTCGCGTGCACACAGACTGCTTACCTTAACAGACAACAGAAATGAGGCGTGAGGAGAAACAAGTCTATCAAATGGCTGCAAGTTCCATCATCATGGACACAGAGCAACATTCAATATTATTTTTATGTCACGAAGTACAGCGAAAAGCAGCTCATACAGTCACATATGCTTTACATTTTATGGAGGAGTGTGAATATTGCACTTATGATGCAGTTAAATGTTCAGATGAAGAAAAAAAGCTAAAAAATCACTTGATCACGTGACAATGGCAGTTAACATGCATGTATTTTTACGCATTTATTCATAAATTTGCATTACTGAGAGCAGGAAAGAAACAGGCTGCACTGGTGAGCTGTATCTTCATAATATCGTTTAATTAAAATAAATGATCAACAAATGAATCTGTTTCGACAGCCTTTAGTAAAGGAATTATCTACACTCAATCTGAATTCTCAATTAGAAAAATACAACAAACTATAAAATAATATTCATGAAAATATTTAAATAACAGACAAATCCAAACGCCCAACACAAGCGAGCTGCGCTCCAGACCAGATCAGCTCGATGACGTATAATGTCTCCGACACCGCCTGTAGTCCCATTTAGCAACTTGAAAGTAATCGTTTTATTAAAGAAGCATAACTGATTAAAAAACTCAAGAGTGTGCTGTAACTGATGTGTTTTATGTCGTAGAACAAAACATGAAAGTATCTTGAGTTGGTGTTAGCCACGGACCTTATTTAAGCGATTTTACTGAAACCTCATTCAAAAAACCATTGACTTTAGGACGAGGTAACCGGAAATGCTAAAATGCTAACTCGCTTCCGGGTTTTTGCATACAAATTGACGTCATAGTTCCTCCACTTTATTCAAAGTTCACATTTTGCCAAGTACAGATGAAATTCCCGGATGTGTACTTGCGAAATGAGAATGCATTGAGAGGTGATTTGTGCAAATTTGCGAAGCTCAGGTATCCCAGAATGCATTGCAGCTTAACCAGCAAACGCTAATGGCGGAAGAGAATACCCGCACTGTTTTAAAAATACTCCTTTACTGTGTCACAAAATAAAGTTTTAAGAGTTTTTCAGGCGAGAATGTAGTTGTTTTAAACTGGAATCGGCAGTTTATTCACAAAGATGGCGCTTCTTTAACGATGTGGCTCAACTTATGCGGACTCTGACTCCTAGCCTGCCAGCGGGAGCTCCGTCATCACTTCCCCTGCAGAGAGCAGCTTTACATTGGCCAGTTTATCTCGGATGTACCGCTAGACCTCATCACTCCATTGTAGTTAAAACATGATATTTAATACATCTTGTGTGAATCTGATGGACAGATTTTGATCTTATAAATCTATTATTTGTTCTCAGGTGTATTATTTTGGCAGTGTTATTTTGTTACCTTTTATAATTGTCTTTATGTTACCGTGTTGTACGCTGTTTGTCCTTGTTTACCAAATTGTTTGACATAATCTTTATTTGTTATAGTGTGTATAATTACCATTGTAGTTTATTAAATCTGATAATCAAAGACACTTGTCTGTTTATAATAACTCATTTTACTTCATATTTATATGAATTTATGTGTACATTTTCTTAAATCAAAAATATGAATTCATAACATTAATATAATATTTAATACAGGGTTATGTTTTATATAATTAAATAATTTTTTCATGTACAGTGAAATTGATGAATCCGCGGTGAGGTAAGTGACGTTATAAAGTACACAGCCATTCCATTTAAAGAAGTACTTGACTTCTGTCCTTGCGTTCTCGGGAGTTCGTTCTTATCCATGCACTGTCACTTTAATTGAGCGTGAGCAGCGTGGCAAAAATAGACCAGAAAATATATCTCTGCACTGCTGTCTGAACTTGGCAAGTCTGAACTTAAGGACGCAAGTCTGAACTTTGCGTACTTGATATTGAGAAACAGCCGTTATTTCAATACCAGTCATTATGGTGGTACTTGGAAGGACAATTTGTCTGAGGTGATACTTGGTGAAAAAGTTTAAGAACCACTGGCCTAGAGGGTCAGTTAAGCTTGCGAGATAGCACTTAGAGATGGGCACTGGTGGGCGGGGCTTTCCTCCTCTGATTGACATTCTCCCTTTGTATGTCGTCAAAGTGTTCTACAGACTTTTTATATCAAGTCTGATAATAAAAAAATACAATTAATTCATGTTTACCATTAGAGGCTGGAGATGTACACACACTGCTGACACACAATTGTTTAAACCATTTATAAAAAGTGATTTTTGTATAATTGGTCCCCTTTTAAACAATGTATTACTGATGTAAAGCTGAATTTGCAGCATAATCTCTCCATTCTTCAGTATCACATGATCCTTCAGAAATCATTATAACGTGATGATTTAATGATCAAAAAAACATTTATGATTTTTAAAAATATAAATTTAATAAAAAAATCCATTAAAAATGCAGCCTTGGTAAACAAAACTATTACTATTATTTAAAAATAAATTTAAAATAATTTCACCTGTAGTGTAAATCTTGTGTTTATTTTGTGTGTGATACTGTTTATGATTTACCTGCTTCATGTGAAGGCTGAGCTTTTCTGCAATGCACACCGTCTGTTTCTCTGTAAGACTATAAGAGACATTTATCAGTTTGATAACCTTTTGCCCTGCAATGATTTTAGATTAACATACATGTGAACTGATACTTGTAATGACCTACCATTGTTTTTGTTAGTTTCTGTTATTAGCTGAGCTGAGTTGCAACACCCGTGAAACAGCAAATCTGTAAACATATATAACAATGAAATCTGAATTTCTCTTAAAACTTAAGGTACATTTCTTTTTCCCACAATGTTTAATTATATTAAAAAGGTAAATAAGTAAAGAACAACAAAACTGTTGACAGGATTCATTTTGTTCAATCTCCAGATTAAGTAAAATCTGACACAATTTTTTTCCTCATTACCCTGCCTCCAGCATCCTCCAGCCATGGAACTCTTTCGGTTTCAGAATTAAACATGATAACCTACTTATTCATCACTGATACAACTGCTGCAGTTTCACAATGTTTAGAATATTAACAAACACCATAATAACTGTGAAGATATGTTTGATTAAAAAAATTAACCCAGCGACTGGCTTTGTCCACATTTTAAATAAATTTTGGATTTGGGAATTTTTGGATTGAGTTTTACATTCACACTGACTAAAAACAACATATATATGAAGGTTGAAGGTTATGACTTGAGACTTGTGACTTGCACAAGTCAAGTTAATTTTTGTCAGACTCAAGTCAAGTCAAGTCAAGTCTCCACTTCACTTCCTAATCTGCAATTGCCTCTCTGGATATCACACTAACTGTACCCAAAAAAAAAAAAAAAAAAAAAAAATGTACTTATACTTTCCTTCTTAGACTTTACAGACCTGAAACTTGCCTATAGCACTTATTCATTGTTGCTCTTATAGTTGTGTAAATTGCTTCCTTGTCCTCATTTGTAAGTCGCTTTGGATAAAAGCATCTGCTAAATCAGTGGTTCCCAACCTGGGGTCCGCCTAAGGGGTGCGCCAGAGTTCATAAGGGGGGCGCGGGAGATAATAAGTATTGAGGTAGAAAAAGGCAAAGAAATGCTCCACTATTATATAGGGCTGTACAATTAATCGAAAATCCGACTTCGATTTCAAGCGATTATAAAAAAGCATTAATCTAGATAAACGATTATTGCATCATATACCGCCCCCTTTCCAGTTGTACACGACCGCGTGCATATGTGTGTGTGCAGCACGCAAGCAGTCAGAAGCATGCAGCCGGTCAGCATTCGCTCTCATTCACACATTTTTCAAAATACAAGCAAAGGCTTAATTAGGGTAAATAGACAAGTCATTGTATAACAGTATTTTCTTCTGCAGACAATCAAAAATATTTATTGCTTAAGGGGGCTAATAATATTGACCTTAAATTGTTTTCAAAATATTTAAACCTGCTTTTATTCTAGCTAAAATAAAACAAATAAGCCTAGAAGAAAAAATATTATAGGAAATACTGTTAAAATTCCTTGCTCTGTTAAATATAATTTGGGAAATATTTATAAAAAAAATTCTCAGGAGCGCTAATAATTTTGACTTTAACTGATAATCGTTTTGAATAACTGTGATTACAATTATAACCAAAATAATTGTGATTATGATTTTTCCCAAAATCGAGCAGCCCTACTTTTATATATGTATTTTTAAATACCAAAAAAAAAAAAAATCAAAACACATGCTTAAAATTCCAACATAATAGTAAAGATTATTAAAATTAATAACTTTAAGTAATTATTTAAATTTTGCTCAAAAATGTGCTTGTCCAACGTGTCGTAAAGGCAAAATCAAAACAAATATGGCAGAGAAACATAAATGCAGTGATTCTTCAGAGGGGAAGAAAAAGATAAGTCAGTATGTCAAAGCCTACCTAAATTTTGGTTTTATTGAAGGCCAAGACAAGTTAAAACTGATTAATTTATATTTTCTATACATATTATATATTAATATAACACAAACACACACATACACTATATATATATATATATATATATATATATATATATATATATATATATATATATATATATATATCTACAGTACATATGTGTGTGCGTGTGTATTTATATGGTGGGGGGGCTCCAATGTTTAAATTTGTGTTTAATTAATGTTTTAATTAAATGTAAATGTATATGTAAGTCACTGCTTATTTCAAGTCACATCAAGTCAAGTCGTAGCTTGGTCTAGCAAGTCACACTTTTGTAAGAATTGAAATATTGCAAATATTCTGATGTCTTTGACAATTCAAAACATGAGCTGAAAACAGAGACTGGTAACTTCACAACTCAGCAAGGGGAATGCGGGAAAAACCAGTTCCTGCTGCATTTGCATCTGAGTCTGCTTCATCCCCCCAACTCACGCATATGGTCATTTCAATGTTTGAATGTTCTAGAATTAACCAAACTGACTTTAACTATCATGTTTGATATCATTTGAAATGTCTCAGTGCGATTGGTACAATGGTCTCATTCTCTCAGAAATATACATAATCAGAACAATAAATATATAACTTCAGGCATCTTTTGAACCACTGTGAGGGGTGTGACACTAAGTGTGAATGCCTTTTGTTATACATTCACACCCCCTTCCTTGAGGGAATTCTTGGATTATTTAAGGTAAGGGCTAAGAAAAGCTCAACGCGATTCTGCCTACCCAGATCAGCCCATAACGTGGAGCTTAGGCTCCACGTTATGTAAAATTCACACGTTATGTAAAAAGTCAGGAATGCATCTTTTAATCTTGGATTTATCTTTGATAAATTGATGTTTTGTATTGATCGTTTATGAATTGACTGATTGAATTGGCATAATACATTTACCTGACTAATAAATTGTTATGTTTTGAATGATTCAAACAGAGTTCGTGTTATTATCACTGGTAAATGTTGTTGTCCATAGCACTACAAGCCACTGTACAGGTTAGTAACGGACTAAAACATGTTAGACGGAGCAGCGTGGCACGCTAAACAATGTTGTTAGAGATCCGACTAACAAATTGGCATTATTTCATGTATACTTGGACTGTAAAAGGCCAACTATTTAGAACAACAAAATATTGTTGAAACTACTTTAAATGTGGATATTTAGGCCTTCATCTACAATAGTATAATCCTGCGCGATTATTATTAAAATACTTTGTCTTGATTAAGTAGATAACAGATCCATGGGGACCACATAAAAATCTCCTAAATTGAGTAAGTAGTGTTCTGCCTTTTTAGGAGAGTGGTTAATCGCCTCTGTTTAATGACCAAGACTGACAAGCTTGTATTAAGAGATTGTATACCCGGCCGGTGCAAGACTCGAGATGCTATCGGAATCTGAGTAAATGAAAATAAGGTATAATAACAAATCAAAAGAATATTCAATCACAATCTAAAATAATGTGAAAGGAAACAAAATAATCTTCTCAATGTTTTATAATTGGAGTCAGATAAAACGAGGATAAACATATTAATATTCTAAACCATCTCATACTAAAATTGGAGTCAGATATGAGTTAAGTTTAATATAAATCAACATTGTGCACTGGAAAGACCGAACATGCAGTGAACCTTCATCCACCATTGGATACCGTCATTGGACCATCTGGCTGGACCCTACACTTTTAAGTCAATCTAATTCTATCTATCTATCTATCGATCTATCGATCTATCTATCTATCTATCTATCTATATGTCATGACTGTCTGTGTCCACCAGATGCCACTGTAGTTTGCCAGCAACTCACAGCGAACTACAGTGGTAAAAGAACTACAAGTCCATACATACCACGTGCACACACCCGGTCTTCCATCTATACTGATTTGCAATACACAGCTGTCTCCGTTTTCCTGTTGATTTCCTGGACTATTTATACACCCATTCACCCATTGTTTGTCAGTTCGTCCTTGTTGGTATGTTGTTCTTAGAAGTAATTTGTATCCTGCCATAGTCCTGAGTCTTGTTCTAGTTTATCTGTCATAGTTCGTTTGTTTTGTTAGTTTCTTGTTATTTTGTTACTTTCATTTTTGGATTTCCTAATTTTTCTGTCACTGCACATTACCATCATTTAACTGCACTTGGATCAACACCTTTTGTCTACGTCCCTTGTCAGCGTACCGTGATATATATATATATATATATATATATATATATATATATATATATATATATATATACACACACACACACACACATACAGTATATAGACATTTGAAATGACACTTTAATAATCAAAGTTCAACTTATTTATCCCTTCAAATTAATAAAATATACAGCAAATGAGAAATAAATTACAGAAAAAAGAATAAAAACAGAATAGCTCTAAACATATTTATAAATAATCATAGTTACAAGATTCAAACACGTAGATTATTTAAAGAAGGCTAATGCTTTGATTACTATTGGTGTATATTTTGCAGCCAGTTTAAACGAGTAAGGAGAGAGAGAGGATTTTCCACTACATCGATCGCGGATGTTTGGTTAAAATTGGCGGATACAAAACAGTGTAGAAGAATGATTATAACTGTACAAACGTGTCACTAAATATACTTAGACGGCCCGCTCAAGTGTGGCAAGCACTGACTCAGACTAAATAGTATAAACTTTGATTAGCCGTCTTGTCTTTAATCTTTAAACCCGTAAAATAGGCTACTTTGGCGGAGCGCCTTCGATTCTCATCACCGCATTCTGATGGCCGAATAGCAAATGAATCGTTCAAATGAATCATTTAAACCAGTTCTTCTGAACCAAATCTAGGTCTAGTTAAAGCCTGTTTCACACCGCAAGCGTCAGCAGTGCTTGAGCAGAGCGTGAGCAGTGTGTGTTTTTTCGGCATCCATGTTAACAGATTAGAGCTTTCATACCGCCACAGCAGCAGCGCGTCTGCGCTGAAGCAGCAGTGCAGAGATAGTTTCGGCGCTGGGTCTATTTTTGACGCGCTGCTCACGCTGAATTAAAGTGACAGTGCATTGATAATGACCAAAACACATTGAGTGACAGTAAAAATAGCAATTTTACCCAATAAATGCGGTAATGATATCCACTGACTTGTATATAGTCAATCAAATGAACTTAAACGATTAAAAATGGCAACAAACATTTATTTAGGCCCGAACTACAAAACCAAATGTAAAACAATTGTAGTATCAGTTTTGCTTAAGTTACACACTAGTGTTGTAGGAGAGGGGAAATAGAATATTTAGGGGAGTTGTAGTCTATAGCGAAGTGTATTGTGGGTAGTGTAGTTCGACATGCATGCTGGATAAATGACGTGAGCTCGCTGTGTTCTGTGCAGCTGAGCAGAGCAAGAAAGTTTTAATCGGCTTTGTTTTATGTTAAACATTAAAAAAAAAAAACATTTGCAGGTTAAAGAAACAGCATAGGAGGAAGTTGCCGCAGGCCTTGGTGCAAATGAAAAGTTTAAAAAGTGTATTTGGATATAGAGAGACATATGCAACTAGATAGAAAAGACAGAGTTATGTTGATATCTGCAGCAGCTGACGAAGAGCTGCGCACTGCAGACACAGCTGGTTTGAAAGGCAAACACCTGCGTGCTGCTTCTGCTCTCTATATGCACTGTGCACGCTCTGCTCACGCACCGCTGACGCTTGCGGTGTGAAACAGGCATAATACTGCGCATGCGTGACTTAAAACTTTCGGTTTTGTTTTGTTTTTAAATGCTTAATATATAACAAATGGTTGTGATTTAACAAAACCAAGTTTTTTTTTTTTTTCGAGTCATTTAACTCAAGTCCAAGTCAAGTCTCAAGTCATGACAGCCAAGTCCAAGTCAAGTCGAGTCTTATTTGGATATTTGTCAAGTAAGTCTCAAGTCCTAAATTTTGTGACTTAAGTCTGACTCGAGTAAAGTCATGTGACTCGAGTTCCCCATCTCTGATATATATATATATATATAATACACATTTGTCTTCTATTAGATAAGCATGATCTAGGAAATTTAAAACTGAGATTAAGGATGTGCAAGTACTCACCCCACTGCTGAGCTTCAGATGCTTTCACTTCTGTAAACCGACACAGATTTATAAACCCTTCAGGCGTCATAAACCCCACCCAGAGGTGGAAAGAGCTCATGGAAATGTACTGGACAAAAGTGGTTCTGATGACAGTGCCTGTTTCATTCTTGTAAAATCACACTGTGCAATCTGAATTCAGTAAATCTGCCTAGAAATTGTGCAGGCAGTCATGGACCTGTAATTGTGATTAGTCAAACATTTTAAGCTCCACCCCTCCAATGCTTAAGAGAGGACTTTGGAAAATCAGCTTCTCTGCATTGGGTTTAATTCAGAGGGGTTTATTCCTATGCCCTAATCCCTTCAGAGGGTGAACGTCATGACATGTGGGCAAGTATGGTAACCTATATCCATAATTTGTACTCTGTATTTAACCCATCCAAGTGAGCTAACACACACCCAGAGCAGCGGGCAGCCATTGCTGCGGCACCTGGAGAGAAGTTGGGGGATCAGTGCCTTGCTCAAGACTGGTGTTGAGAATGGTGAGAGTGCTGGTTATTCACTCGCAACAACTACAATTCCTGCCAGAGCCAGGACTCGAACGGATGCCCCCTGTGAGTGCACTGTGTGACACCAAACAACTTCCATGCACAAAACATCATGGCCCGGAGAGTGAATCAGTTGTATTTTTCAAACTCCATTATTCTAAATGGCCTTTCTTAAGTGGACAGTTTTGAGCACTTCAGTTTGGAACAACACTTTAGTATGTTGGCTGTGAGTATGTTTACTCTGAAGTGCCATTTAGAGGGCAATATATCCTATTTGGAATGCACTACCAGTCAACGTGCACTACCCAACCTATGGAACAATAGAAAAGAATGCAGATCACTTATATGACATACAAGTAGCAGTACAGGTTTATTTATGTAGCAATATTTTTTATGTAGGTGGACCAGCTAACGGTCGCATGATGTATTTGTAGAGGTGGCCAACATATATGTAGAGAGGGGGTGAGGGTTGAATGGGGTGACTGAAGGTGAGAGGGCAGGTGTTGGTCAGTGGTTTCTATCAGGAGTCTGTGACGCGCGACGTGTTTAGAGGGGTGGTTACACATAAAGTATTTTGGAAGCATTTTGGGGCAATAACAGTAATGCCTGATCCCCCTTCACTTTCACCGACTTACTACAGAGAGAAAAGACTGATCTGATAGCCTTATTGACCTACTGGGCCTGTATATGTGTAGGAGATCTGGGGGGTATTCCAGAAAGCAGGTTATGTCAGTGGTTCCCAACCTGGGGTCCGCGCCCCCCTAAGGGGGGCGCCAGAGTTCACAAGGGGGGCACGGGAGAGGATAAGTATTGAGGTAGAAAAAGGCATAAAAATGCTCCACTATTATATAGGGCTGTACAATTAATTCAAAATCCGATTTCGATTTCAAACGATTATAAAAAAGCATTAGTCAAGATAAATATTGTTTCATATTTTTATTTAATTGTATTTATTTCTCTTTCCTTTGCAGGGTGGAAAATAACTGTATGTACTGTATACACTTGAAGTCAGAATTATTAGCCCTCCTGAATATTAGCTAAATATTAACTTTTCCTGCCCAATTTCTGTTTCATAGAAAGAAGTTTTTTTTTTCTAAACATAATAGTTTTGATATCTCATGTCTAATTTCTGATTTCTTTTATCTTTGCTATGATGACAGCACATAATATTTGACTAGATATTTTTCAAAATACAAGCATTCAGATTAAAGTGCAATTCAAAGGCTTAATTAGGGTAATTAGGCAAGTCAGTGTACAACAGTAGTTCCCCTTCGGGGGGAACTCCAGCACTATAAGTGGATTTGATTGTTAAAATCCACGCATTGGGAGGTTCGGTTCAGAAGCTACTCGTCTGAAAGAGTATTGAACGGGCCAATTAAGAATGAATTGGCAGCGCAAGCCTGCGCAGGTGAGCGGCATAAGCAATCAACTGAGTATATAAGCTCACCTGGCGCCAGCAGATGCTATCCTTTTCGCTTCAGAGACTTTTCTGATCGAGCTTCATGAGGGTTCCTCCTGCTGTCTACAGCAACTTCGAGCGAACGAGTGTCTCCCGGTCCAGAGCGAGTCCACGCAGCGGCAGATGGTCGAGCTGGGTTTCTTCCTTGCCTGGCGTCCCTTTGGGTCCGGTCCTCCAGAGCGGTGCGTATTGTTGCAAAGCATCCTAAAAGAGCAACACAGTCGTGCAGCACGTCCTTTTCAGGACGGCGCTCCGACTGTGCGTTTCTGGTTGCGGGGGTTTCCTGGCTCCGGATGATGGGCACGATCACTGCATTACATGTTTGGGGGTCCAGAATGTTAATGTGGTGCTCGGGGGCGGTTCATGTCGTCACTACGATGCCATGACCGTCGCGCAGTTGAGATCGCGGCCTACTCTCGTGAGAGAGCGAGCCACCCCAGTTGCCTCCTGTTCAGCAGCGGGCGCTCGGGCAGATCTGAGGGTTCCAGCGAGAGATAATCCGCCGCCTAAGGGCTTGCGGACCTCTCGCTCCTCCAAGCGCTCCATCCAAGCTTCGGGCGCTGGGAGTGATCCGTCTAATCAGATGGTAGCTCTCACGCTCGCTGTCACCGGAGATCAGATGTCCTCCGCGGCATCGGAGGGTGGGCTTTCATTGTCCGACGATGATCCGGACCCGCTCGCCCCCTTCGGGCAGGTGAGCGCTGTCAAAACGAATCCTGAGACGGACATGTTAGCCGTGCTTTCCCGGGCTGCTTCGGCCGTGGGTTGGAGATGGTTTATCCCCCAGCTCCGCGGCCAGACCGACTAGAGGGGCGTTCCCTTCTTCCCGGCCACGCACAGTAGGCTCATGCGGTCTTAAAGAGCACCTTTTTTCTGCTCGTGCTGCGTGTCCCTCCACCCTCACCACTCTTGGTGGTGGAGCAGCCAGGGGGTATGTGGCGATTCCTCAGGTTGAGTGTGCGATGGCGGTTAATCCGCGCAGCGCCTCTTCTTGGCGGGGTCTGCTTCGTCTCCCATCCAAAGCCTGTGAGTTTTCGGCTCCCTCGGAGCTAGAGCTTACAAAGCTACGGACCAGGCTGCATCCGCCTTGCATGCGATAGCCACCGTCCAACGCTACCAAGCGCAGGCGCTGGCCGAGCTGCACGAGGGTGGGTCCAACCCAGGCTTATGAGCTTCGCACCCCAGCCGACTAAGCTCTTCGGACTACTAAGTCCGCTGCGTGTGCTCTGGGGAGGACGATGTCCACACTAGTGGTCCAGAAGCCCCACCTCTAACAAAACTTGGTTGATATGCGCAAAGTTGACAAAGTCCGCTTTCTTGACTCGCCCATATCCCAAGCTGGTCGGCGACACAGTCTGCGAATTCACCCAGGAATTCGAGGCAGTGAGAGAGCAGTCCGATGGGTGATGTCTAATCGGCGGCCCCGTAAGCCCGCTCCGCCCGCCGTGCCATCCATACCTGCTCCTCGCCGAAGGCGCCCGCCTACGAGAGCTGCACCGCCCCCGCACTCGCCTCTGGCGAAGCGAGCGCGTCGAGCACCTCGGAAGCAGGCCACTCCCCCTGCCCAGAATGCCGCTAAGTCTGGCAAACGGACCGCGAAGCGTCCCTGGGACAGGTCATCTGGAGAGGAGGGAACTTGCTCTTTCCCCGCTGGAGGGCGGGGCGCCATTTCCAACGGCACTTTTTACTGCCATGAAATGAAAGGGCACTTTTCCACTTCTCCGGAGGTGACAGCCCGAAATCTGCCAGTTTGAGCTCAGCTCTCTAGTTCGTTGGTTCGGTGCACTCCGCCAGTGGCTCACGGGCACTGCAGGCCCTGCCAGCCTGGGACGCGCCGCCTCTCAGCTCGCAAGGTCTGCATGCTCCGCCAGCGGCTCATGGGCGCTGGGGGGACGGTCTCCCTTCTTCCAGCCCTCAAGCCCCCCCTCCGGAGTCAGGGTGCGGAGCCAGATCGAATCGCTCTCCTCCAGCTCTTCTGTGGGACCCTCGCGCTCCCCGGATCAGCACACCCGCTCCGCGCAGGAGTCAGGGTGCGGAGCCAGAGCGAAACGCTCTCCTCCAGCTCTTCTGTGGGACCCTCGCGCTCCCCGGATCAGCACACCCGCTCCTCGCTGCCCCTCCGCGGGTACGTCAACGATTGCTGCGATGACGTCATTAGCGAGGGCTCTGCCTGCCTTCGTCCTCAGGATTGGTTTGCAGCCATAGACCTGAAGGACGCGTATTTTCATGTCTCCATTCTTCCACGCCACCGTCAGTTTCTGCGGTTTGCGTTCGAAGGTCGAGCATGGCAGTACAAGGTCCTCCCCTTCGGGCTCTCTCTGTCTCCGCGGGTCTTCACCAAACTCGCGGAGGGTGCCCTAGCCCCTCTGCGGCTTGCGGGCATCCGCGTACTCAATTATCTCGACGACTGGCTGATTTTAGCCCACTCTCGGGAGCAATTGACTGCGCACAGAGACGAGGTGCTCCAGCATCTCCGCCTATTGGGGTTGCAGGTCAACTGGGAAAAGAGCAAACTCGCCCCGGTGCAGAGGATCTCTTTTCTCGGGATGGAGCTGGACTCGGTCACCATGGTAGCGCGCCTCTCCGGAGAGCGCGCTCGCCTGCTGCTGAACTGTCTGAGGGAGCTCGACAGCAAGTTAGTGGTCCCACTGAAATATTTTCAGAGGCTCCTGGGGCATATGGCTTCCGCTGCGGCCGTCATGCCGCTCGGATTGCTCCATATGAGACCACTTCAGCACTGGCTTCAAGATCGAGTTCCGAGACACGCATGGCATGCGGGCACACACCGAGTCTCTGTTACTGCGCTGTGTCGCCGCACCCTCAGCCCCTGGAACGACCCCTCGTTCCTGCAGGTCGGTGTGCCTCTGGGACAGGCGTCCAGTCATGTTGTTGTTTCGACAGATGCTTTCAGCACAGGCTGGGGAGCCGTGTGTCGCGGGCATGCAGCTGCGGGCCTGTGGGTAGGTGCCCAGCTTCATTGGCACATCAATCGCCTAGAGCTGTTGGCAGTGTTCCTTGCTCTTCGCCGTTTTTCTCCGG